GAGCATGCGCGTGCGTTGTAGCAGCTTAAGTTAAAGGGAATTATACAAATTATGTAACGATTTGTAAAACTCAAACCAAAATCATTGGACTCGTATGTCACTTGAGATAATCTTAATCAACCTGCGAAAAACAGAAACATAAATTGTGTTACTGTACTTATAACTTATGACTAAAAATAAGTCGTGTAATTTCGTTTAATTTTTGGCTTCTTTACCTTCTAACTTTTACAGGCGAAAATAAGATCTCTGAATGTTAACATCCATATTTTGGTATTTTCTAATTGGAACCTGTCAAGAAAACTTAGTGCTGTGAAGTCCAGTCTATCTGTCTGAAGATTCAAGTTCTTTACGTTATTATCGAATGCTGTTGTCTTTTGTTTTCAGTAAAGTAAAGTTTTTCTTTATTTTGTTCTTTTGTGGTGTATGCCATAATACCAGCCAGTAAATAGTTTCTAGTAGTGCAGCGGAACTGATGACACCTTATTGTGTTGCAACAATCACCACTCTGATTGCATAGCTAACAAGCGATATGTCATGTTAAAATTATACCAGTCTAGTTCTTTTCTGCATTCACGTAAGCCATAACAATATTAAGAGAAACAGATTTTAAATACGTATACCTTATCTAATATCAGCTACAGAATGTACAGACTAATTAACAAATACATTCTATGGTGCTAAATATTAATGTTCAAAAAATTTAACATCGAGAAAACAAAGCACAATGAATGAAAGGCCTTAACGTGTTGAGGAAAACAAACTAGCAGTGTTTTTCAAGAGCAATGTAATTCAATGTCAATAAATAGATTTATTTCGTGCGTCCTCAATGGTGTGACTGGCAACATTGTGACCAATAAAAAAGACTCAGGTTTCGTGGCGGCGGTGAGGCGGCCGGCCGCACCGGGCGACCCTGAGCGCAGCTGCCGGGGACTTGCCACTTTACTTCGACTCGACTCGAATAGTCGACCGAATACTTGCCGAGCATTTGGACATCGATAACGTTTCTGGTTATTAATCGACCAATCTTTTTTGTATAACTCTTTGACAACTCCTACTATCGGTTTTCCTCTCGATTTAAGATGTAAAATCGACCAGGAAACTCGAACACTCCTTAATCAAAGTGCGCTTAGTTCTTGTGTTACACTGTAAATGGATAAACAGCTGACGACTTCCATCGCAGACTGCGGCGTGCAACTTCCGCGTCGAGTGTTGTTCGTAAAGACTTTGTGAAAGTGCAAGTGATGTAGTGAAGTGATAAAAAATGGTGAAAAATGGTATCGGAACGGTCGCCACAGTACGGAGTGGCGCCGCCGCTGCCCGCGAGGCCGCGGACTTTACGAAGGAATTGCGGCGATCAAGGTTCATTTTAAATTTTCGAGATAAATGTGTCGCAAGTCCTTGCTGACTCAGTATTATTGTAACAATATTGACTTTAAACTCGTCCGACCAGTTTTCCCTTTTTAGCGCCCGGTGCGTAATGTTTGCTAATCAATTCCGTTGCATTGCAAGCTGATATTGACACAGCAACTGTAGCTCGAGCGCATAGCTCGCCGGTCATTAACTGGGCTGACAGTTTATATATCTAACTTGACTAATACAATCTACTCGTAACTTCTAACTTAACATCATAAATGCGAAAGTTTAGATGGATGAATGAATGGATGTTTGTAAGAGTTTGTAGCCTAAATTGCTGAAAGGATCTCAATGAAATTTTGCAAAGATGTAGAAGATAGTCTGGAAAAACACATAGGCTACTCACTTCCACTAATCTCAGTAGATAGGACAAATTACCATTTAGTCACATACAAATCATCACAGACGAGTTTAAAGTCAAATTCAACAACCAGCAAACGTACCTTGACCTGCCGCAATTCCCGTAGTTTCCGTTACATCACCGACGAAGGTGTACATCGAGACGAGCGCGAAGTCAGCACACTACAGCGCCAACGACGAACAGACCGGGAGGAGAGTCCGACGCGGACTCAACGATGACTTCGACGACAGAGTGACAGTTATTAAAGTGTTGGATCAAACGTGCTGGCTGTGCATCCGGACTGTACTGCAAGATGGCGAGATCGAGATCCAAGATCTTGTTGCATTTATCGGTAACTATTCGAAAACAAACAAGTTATATCTCGTTTACAACAATCCATTGTTGTATTTAACTCTTCAATTCCTAAAATACAATGCGTATTGGAAATGCGGAAATTATTTGCAATAATAAATTTCAAACGTGATTTAGTAATAACCAAGTAAACTTAGATACTCAATTAATTTGAACGTTAAGGCAAGGACAAACTATATCCTTTTCGTGATTGCAATCCATCGTAACTTCAGTTCAGATATGTTTTGAAACCCAAAGCTTTTGAAACTAGACACCCTCAATATAGTTTTCACTTGTAGTTAGCGATATCTATCAGCTGAAATTGTGGAATAATTAATTAATGTAATTAATAGTACTCACTGAAAGTTAATGGTAGCTACCTCTTGTCTTGTTCAAACATAAACACGGTAGGAAGGGAAAGAAATGCTTACTGAATTTAAACATTATTATTGTTAGTCACTGCAGTGTTTTTATTTGGTGTTATTTATTGTTAGTATATTTTGTGTTATGACAAGTACCAAAGTCTCAGCAACGCCTTCAGTTGTTACTAACCATTCGTCAACACGATAATAAAATGACACCGCATCGTCCTTCGTAAACCGCATACATTGCTATCATTAATCACATAACCTTATGTCACAGAGACAAAAGACTACGACTTATGTCTGTTTATATAATTTTTTTCCGTTGTTTTTAAAATTCATATAGCATTGATTGTGAATGAATGTGGCTGTTTTGATTGAACGCCTTTGTATTCGACGCGAGCGACCTGATGTTTGTCAATAATTCTCTATGCTGGATTATTTTCTATTGTTACATTGCCAGTTCTCGTGTAGGTGTCAAGTGAACACGCCGTGTCATGTGGAGCTGATAGTGTTGAAGCCTAGTGGCATATTGTATGGAAGTGAAGTTAGGAAACCAATATGAAGATAATATACACAGCGCAGGGACAGGATTCGATAACGGAATGGTGTTTGCTGAATAGTTTCAACAGTGAAGCGAGGGTTTACGCTACCGTGTCATACTCCAGTTTGCCATTTCGGAACATATTTAGCAGTAAGGAACCTATCAATTGTTATCAATTGCTTGGTCTTATAGTAGATTTGGAAAGGACTTTAAGATTCGATTACTTTTAAATACTTTTTTTTTAATTTCTTATTTTTCAAAATTCCTTGTTTATGTTCTGCTTTTGTAATTCCATATTATTCTTAGTTTTTTTTATCAAAAAATTTTGTTTTAAAAACATCCCAAAGTATTATTTACTTACTCTTCTACTTTTCCAATTTTTTAACTATTTGTCAAATAGATTTTTGTACAGACAGACAAATTTATTATAATATAGAATGCTCCTCTAGTATGTTAAAGAAATTCATATACTATAACATCATCCATAGTAATAGTGAAATAATTCAGTTTTTTTTTTTATATGTGCTTTTTAAAGAACAATAAATAAATTCATTTTGATTACAAAGTTTGGAATTAATTACGTGTCTTTAGGTATCCTTACGTTATGTTCACATTACTATTGGATATTTATAATAACAAATATTTATATTCAATAATCATATGAATGACCGCGGTGAATGAAAGTATCTCATTTAGATCAACATATTTATTAAAAAATATAATAATAATGTATTGATGTTGAGAGCCTTGCATTCTTGAACGCGAGTAGTCATTGGAATTCTTGCCATTGTGCCACGGTATAACAAAGGGACAAAAGCAGGTTACTTTTATAAATATTTAGAATCGCAATAATTAGAAATAGTGAAAATTCTTCATTGATGTTATTACTGTTTGTGTGTGCGTTTAGATGCTGTTAGTGTTTTGTTTTGTGTTACAACATGGCGGACTGTGGTTTTATTAAAGTTTTATGTGCCAATTGAAGCAAAAAAGTAAAAGATTACGACATTATTACAAAGAATTTTCGCATAGTTCACGTTGAATAAAACTTTTTTGATTATTTATCAATCTATTATCAATAAACTGATCAATCTAGCTGGCTTTTTGTAAATACAACCAATTCTAAGAGTGACCAACTCTACGATTTAGCCACGACATTTATTATCTACATAAAGTATTGTAGGAAATGTTATTAGAATTTATAGGTTATGTTAGTGTACATTCAACAGATTCACTAAACGCTCGCGCACTTGCGTCAGCCGAAGCATGTCGCCACTTGGTACCGGCAATTTGCGTTTATGTAACCGCCCAGTACCGCACCCTTGACATTTTATCCGGCGCATTCTCACTTTCCGATACGTAGTTTTCGGTTTTTGTCAAAATGTACTCGTGCAAGGAAAAATTTAAAGAAGTATAGTTGAGGAAATATATTTCCAACCTATCTATAATTTTTTGATCTTAAGAGCACAACTGTTATGTGATTGTCGATTGTTTTGCAGTCGATTCAACTGTTTAGTTGCACAACTAAAAGTCAAGTAGTGAGCACACCTCGATATAAGCTCAAATTAATCAAAGCAAGTCAACAGTTGTGCGATAGTTTAGTTTCAAATGTGGTAAATGAATTTAATTCTCCGACACAACAGGTAAACCCTGACATCAAATTTTGTATTAAAAAAAATCCAGTAACTAAACTGCAGGTGAAGCACGTTGCAGACATGAAACATGTCCACGGTTACCACACCGGGTGACGTCACTTGACGTAACGTTTTGACCCACTTATTTTATCATGGATCTTTGAGCACAATAGGATTTGTTTCTGTACGTATTATGTACACAACGCTATGAAGATATTGGCTATCTGTAATATCACACTTATGGTAAAAAAATATGTATTTAGTTTAATCTCGAGAAAGAGGTTTTCAAAACTATGAGTTAATTTATACAATAACATCCTAAAAAATTAATTCAGCAATCTTATTATTTTTAATTCCAGATGGAGACAGCAGTGATTCGGGACATTTCTACGAGTCGCTGGAACCTGCGCCGCCTGTACCTGCACACCCGAACCACGTGGCCCACATGGCACACACACACGACACGCACGTTGCCCACTCCGCCCACGGTCCCCAAGCAAGCTCAGCATCACACATGCTGCCCCTCGAAGATGACTTCGATTCATTCGATAGTGACACCGACTCAGAAGACCATGAGCAGGTGAGATAAATCTTACATTATAAATGCGAAAGTTTAGATGGATGGATGTTTGTAGCCTAAACAGCTGAACGATGAAATTTGTCATAGATGTAGAGGAAAGTCTGGAACAACACATAGACTACTTCCTTTTTTTTAATTCCACGGAGATGGGGTCACGGGCGAAAGCTAGTAAATAAATAAAATAGACATAAGGTTTGCTAGCCATTGATCTAAGGTAGTTCGCTGATGATTAAGGGGGAAGGGATGGTAGTAAGGGGCGCATTACCTGACGACCAACATTATCAATTTGTGTACAAAATGCGTATAACCGTGTTTGTTTAACTACTGGACGATTTCAAATATTATTAAATAAATTGAATTAAGATGTAAAAATATAAATGGATCGTATTTCATTTCAGTCGGGACCCACACGCACCGCTCCGGAAGTGCCGTCCACGAGACTGCCCACTCCGCCCAACGGCGGCGGGCCCTACACCCTCACTAAGATCGCCAACGCCGCACAGAAGAAGATGAGACAAATCAAACGCAATCTCACTAAAAGATATACAGGTGAGATGATTTTCAACACAGATTTCTATAGTTTATCGTGTTTATTGTTGTTATATACAGAGTCAATCACACTCGTGATTCATAATTGTGGGTATAACGTATTAGAATGAAGTGTATTCTTTCCTGGAAAATTCGTTGATTTTTTTGTTTGCATAAATTTTTCGGATTGGTTAAAAATAATTCGGATATTTCAAATAAAATTAAATTTCTTTAAAACAAAATATATTTTTCACAAAATGAACAAAAAGAGATTTCCGATACCGGGAATCGAACCCGAGCCTCCTGGGTGAGAGCCAGGTATCCTAGCCACTAGACCATATCGGATGATGAATGACGTAACAAAAATAATTAAACCATCATAAATTTATTACATAAGTAATATTTTGCTTTGTAAAGTTTAACAATCATCTTCAAAACCAGATTAGTCATATTGTATGTGGGCGCGACCACCAAATACGAAGTTGTCAAACCGAAACAGGTGCCAGTGTCATTTTTTGGAAAATAGACTAAATCAGGGTCAATAAAAAACAAAACAAGTCACAATTATTGAACCTGTTCCATATTATTTCACATAATAACCAAAATACAATTTATTTTTAAATAAATTATCATTTGTTTCAGTGGCAATGGACGGCAAGCCATTCGCGAAACCCACACAACAGAACGGAACCTACGACATACCTAAAGCCAAAATGAGATCACCTATCTACGCCAATTACGAGAGACCCGATCTACAGACTAATTACACAAATATCGCCTTCAACGAAACTAGAAACTTAAGCACTAAAAGCGATACCACCATAACCAAGGTCGGCATCAAAGAGGAGGGTAAATCTACAAGTGGGGATAAAAGACACAGTAATTGCGAGCAAGGATCACCACAAGAGAAGCCCACTACGCCCACGAATGAAACCAAAAAGGACACTGGAACTCTTTCGCGGAAGACGTACTTCTCATTCAAGTCACGGTTCAGGAGAGCATCCTCGATGGCGGTGGACCTCAATTCGGAAGTTCCGAGCGCGCTCAAGATCACCAACTCCACGTTTTACTTAACAGACTCTATGGACGGTGACTCCGGATTCAGCAACTGGTCTGTATTTAATTATAATCTATACTTCTATATATCTTTTCTATATTAAAGCGTAAACACATACTACTTCGTGGCGCATGATGTCAGCAACCCCAGTTTATTTTTGAATAACTCTTTCTATAACAAAAAGCCCTACACTTACGACACGCTTTGGGCTATATATTTTCACGCTATTAAACTTAAAGGTAAGTAAATTAGAAAAAAACCGTCATATGGGAACGATACTATAATTTACAAATCTGCCAACATTAAGAAAGCAAGGTTATTATGGTAACGGTAATTATGACATTTACAATTGAGAATTTGACAAATGTAAAAAATGAAATAACGTTTGTATAATGTCATGCGATCTAGCTGTTGCTAGTTTTATATAATTCCCTAAACTATGAAACTATTTGACATTTGAACTTGTCGTTAATACTTCTCTATTCTTACAGCAGCGACAGTGGCGCCACCAACACTGACACTCTCTCCGCGTCATCCCGACGGCGTGACGGTACGCGCGCGTGGGCGGAGTCCTCCCCGTGCCTGGCGCCCCCGCTGGAGCGGCCCGCGCAGCCGCCCCCGCCGCCTCCCGCCGTCCCGCCCGCCCCGCACCTGCCGCCCGCGCCCCCCGCGCCTCCCGCGCCACGCACCCCGCACGCGCCATTCCCGCCCCACGTGCCGCCCGCGCCACACGTGTCGCACGCGCAGCACGCGCCCCACGCGCAGCACGTGCCACACACTGACCTTAGCGCTGTCAATGAAGGTAACGTGCAGGCGTCAACTGGACTCGCAGCATTACTGACCAAAACTACAAAGTAAACACAAATTAATATGGAAGAAACATAGAAACGGCAAATTCAAATGACAAAATTTAATACCTAATATTGGCTTATATCCGGATTTTTAATACTAAATTTCATTTTACACTAGAAAACTTACACACTTGTACTCGCAAATACTTACGTTATTTTACGTGAAATGTCACAAAAATGAAAATGCTGTTACATTAGCATTTAACAATACTTATTTCCATGGTAAATTCTTCTTTCATATAAATTAAATCTCAGGAACTTAAGATGTACACCACTATTAAGGTTTGAAAGATAGTGTGCGCGAAAACGAGTCATTTCTGTTCTGAAATCAAAGGGCAGTGAGTTATAAAGAAGATTTAAGATTTCAGTTGACGTCTGTCCGTATCGTCCATGTCTTCTCAAGAAAATTCATCGAAGTATTTATAAATTAAATCAACAGACAGCAAAGTAAACGGAGACAGCGCTAAATGAAGGTCAGAGCTCCGAATGCTGATAATAACTAATATAAATTACTTTGGTCATTTCTTTAATTAATTAAATTTCATCGAGAACCAAAAACACGAATATTTTTTTTAATCACTCAATAGCTATGAAACTGGCTGGAATTTTGTTCGAATTCAAAAAACAAAGAATTTAACCGATAAGACTAATGCATTTTTGGTCACTTAAAAACTCTTTCGTAACCTTACTTTTACTTTTTTCTCGATTTATCTTTTTTTCTGAGAGTTTTTACATATTATATCTGGTCTTTTGAAAACCAAGAAATATTGTAATTTCGTATATTAGTTATTTCCAGTCGCAGGAGACGTCTGGTTGCAGCGGTCATGCTTCGTGAATGTCTTAGTGTTTGCACTGTCCTTTGTATCTTTATTCTTCTTTACTTTTTCCACTAGTTTTAGTGATCTTTTCTTATCTATGTTGGCGAGGTTAACTTTTCTTTGACCTTAATCTATGACATTTAAGGTTCCGTCTTTTCTATTAGCTATCATGACTTATTTAAGATTTATTACCGCACTCAAACCTACTTAATAGTGGACGGTATTAGGTGATATTAAAAATTAAAATGGGATTGACTCGAGGTTGGTATTAACTTATACAGATTCAAAATTACACTTTATAATCACAAAGCAAAATTACTAATACAATGCAACTGGAAAAATCTTCTAACAGTCTCACTTTATAAGAGCTACAATTATAGAGGCATTATAAAAACAATTTAAAGCAATTACTCCGTGGGTCGCAAACTCAACGAAGCCATTGTCATTTGTCAGTCTATTCTTGCGCACGCGCTGTGCCACGCGATGTCAGCGCCGTCTGACGTCATCAATGTGAAATAATTGCATTTATATTATCTGTGCCCTGTCGCGATATCGCTGAATGTTTAACATGGGACGTGAGTTTTTTGTTTTCTATTCACACATAAAAAAACAAACGTTTATTCAATTTTTAATTATTAAAAATAAATCAACAGCATATTAAGATTTAAATCAATAACAAGATAAATAAAATCTATCAGTAAGCGTCTTATTAAACACTAGCTTTGAACCGTTGCTTCGTATGCGATAACTTAAAATTTATATCTATAGTACTAATAAATATATCTAGCCCATGTGATAAAGTAGCTTTTTAATAATGAAAGTTTAAAATGAGTCTAATAGTTTTTTCCAATAGTTTTATTTTGTTACGTACATAAATTCAAACATTTTTTCTTTATAATACTAGTGTAGGTTAGGTTAACTTTTCACACATGTTTACACGAATACATAAGTAAATTAAAGTAAGCGATGAGTTACAAAATTTATGTCTTAGCTTTCCTTATATCTTCAGTCTTTCTTCTTATCAGAACAAATATGCCTGTCTCGCATGACTGTCGCATGACGTGTTTGCAAAGCATCCAACCGGCCATAGAGTATTTGCATGCATTTGATGTTAGCGCCAATGCGCTGTAGTTAATACAAATATATAAACTATGCACTTACTGTACCCGCAACACCTTGTACACTGAAGGACACGAAAACTAGGACAATTTTGTGTCAAAACAAATGATATGGTTTTGAGTTTTACACTGAACACAATTTTATACACCTACTTTTGAGATTGTACTCCACGTCTTCAAACCATTCATTGTGCAAGTTTATTTTTAAGATGTATATCGCCAAATCATAATTTTTTTTGTTTATTTTAATGTAATAATATAATATTGTTCCCGTTGAAAGCTTTTATTATATTTGAAAGCACTAATTACATAAAGTTTGCAAGTAAATATAAAGTCAATTTTCTGTCATAAATAATTCAATATCGTTAAAGCAGACCTTAGGGGTGTCAATTCCATTAATAAACTGAATAAAACTTTATGATGTACAGAACTAAAGCGGCTGCTGCCCACCCTATCTCGGAAGGACAAAGGGCCGCGCACGCGCACCTCGTGGTACGCGGAGTGCGAGCCTGCACATCTCTCCACTACGCCCTCCTGGTGAGTACTCAACAACTGTTTTACTTGACTGAACATTTGTTGAAATTCAGCGCATATTTGCAACGATGGTAACAAGAGAGAATGAGTGATACGGTCTTAAGATATGAAAATGTTTTACATATTTTTGATAGTAATTCAAATGAAATCAAAATTAATACATTGTTTAATTGCAAATAATGTCTATAAAACCATCTGTCTCGTATATATACATCAAAATTGCCTCAAACACGTGTCCGAATTGACTTTGATCAAAGTAACAAAGTGTGGTGCAATCGAAGCGCAGGCGCCGAGGCCGTCAGCGCGCCGACTTTCACGACTAAGGGCCGATATACACGGACTGTTTCAAGTAATCATTATTAACACGTTCAACTGAAGGTATCGACTACTTAAAGCAGAGCTCACCATCGCAGCATGCTTCGGTAGAGAGAAATACATGTAGAAATCTCTATCTCCTCTATCTCTGACTCCCTTTGCGTGGAATTAAAAAAAATCAAAAGTAGATTGCCTATGTGTTCTTCCTGAGTGTCCTCTACATCTATGCCTAATTTAATTGAGAACTATTTAGTTGTTTAGGCTATAAACATCCATCTAAATTTAACATTTGAAATTATGATGTTAGCTTAAAAACTACAAGGTAAATATTATAATACGAACTAGTTCTTGCAACTTCTATCCACAATGGCTATCGCAACGATTGGCATTGAATCGAGCACGAGATCGTATCACAATGACCTCTTTCCCGGCTCACAAAAAACATCTCGCTTAAAAGTGGTCGCGGGGCTCGTAACTTCGCGGCCGGTTCGAGCATAACCAGTAAATATGCCGCCTGTTGAACCGGTCCTTTTCGATACGCGAATCGAACCGCAGCCCAGGCTACTGTTCGCTGTACGAATAAACGCTGAAAGGAATCTCGGCACTAATGTACCATCCCGCGTTACTCAGGAGCGATCGTGTGACGTCGTCATCCAGCCATGAGGCTGACTCACTACCCAGTTTTCCGTACCACCGTTAACTTTGGTCCAATTTATGAAACTGCGATAGTCGTAAACAATCACAAGTAAATACAAATTTATGATTGAATAGAATTGCATCAAAAGCTGTATAAAAATATAGTTATGTATAAAAATCCGCTAGGAAATAGGATATAAGGAAATTTCTTTCACAACAACAAAATAACTCACTCTAACTTAGGGGTAGGCAGATACCGTGTACCTCCATGGGTTAATTCAAACACTTCTATCTCGCTTCTATATTCCTACATCTTCTACATTAACAACGGTTTCATGTGATCTTAATACCTTAATATTAGAAAATTCAATTGTAGTTATAAAAAAATTAAATCGCTTACGCTTATGACCTGACCCTTATTTGATGCCGCAGCAGCGCGACGACGTGCATTGTGTGTTCGAACGTCTGTTCGTTTCGTTTCGCATTCGAGCGAGAAGGTTTTTGTACTACGAACGCATGCACACAGGCCTTGCTTTTAAAGTTTCAATTTATAACGTGTATTTAATACGATAAAAAGTGATTTGTTTTATTGGATGCATTATTAAAAGGTGGGATAATTTTATATTATTAAAATTCTGCTACTTTTAAATCTTTCTGTACTTTTTAATCGTTATGTTGAATCTTGGAATTACAGCTTCATAAATCTTATTTATTATTGTAGATATTACTGGCAAAGAATAAATAATTATTGTTTATATTAGACATTAGTTTTATGTCTTGTTGTCCTTCGACGGTATAATGAGTAATGCAAGTTTATTTTTCTATACGATGATTCAATGTCATAGTAAAATGTACATTTTAATCAACACAATGATTCATTAGGATATTACTCAAAACTTATAAAAATATTGTGGGGATATGTTAATTATTATTTACAATTTTTACATTTGTTTCATAGTACTATCGTAACCGTGAGTTTTCACTGTTTTATTCGTAAAAAAATATTGTTATCTCATTATTATCTGAGACAATAACCGAGGCGACAATATAATGTTGTCAGAAAAACCCCACTGGAACAACCACCGTGGATTCATCTAAGCAAAATGATATCACGGTATCCAAACACAAATAAAACGAACGACCGATAAACTGTGCTGTTGTAAGTTATAGATAATCGCAATTAAAACCTTAAAAAATTTTAACACAGCTGTTATCAGTTCATAACATTGCAGAATACTAGTGTTTCGAGAATTCACGCATGTTAAAAAGAAAACTTAACGCCAAAGGCCTTTGCCACTACTGGCTGATAGAGGCTCAGATTGCTTAAAATCTGATATTTCGAACACATATTTATTTGACGATTTACAAGAATTATGACAGGCCCTAAGTGTTGTATTAATTTATCCTAATCGAGCTGTTGCCCGCAACTTCGCGCGGTATTAGAAAACATACTAACTATATAAATTACAAAAAGCTACGTATCCCTCGGGAACCGGACATTTCTCTGGGATAAAGCTTATTTCATGTGTACTCCAGACTTTGTTTTATATCTGTGCCAAATTACAATAAGATATGTTGTACCATTGCAGAATGATCGAGTGAACTTTAAAAAACTAAATTAATGAATCCCACGGGAACCGTAACTATTCCAGGGATAAAAAGTAGCCTATGTGTTCTTTCAGACTATGCTCTAAACCTGTGCCAAATTTCATGGAGATTCGTTCAGCCGTTTAGGTTACAAACGCTAACAAATATCCATCCATCCATCTAAACTTTCGCATTTATAATATTAGTAAGATTAGTAAGAAGTAAAATTACTAAGGTTCCGTAATCTAATCACTATCGCATTAAGTTTAATTACTTTAAGAAAAAACCTTGTCATAATTCACTAACCGAGGCTATTTACTAAACGGTTAACCAAATTAATAAAATGACTTCCGTGTATATCGTTTAACCTTTTAAACGTCGCAACAAACACTAAATTTGTCATATTTAATGTTTCCACGGTTAGGCACGTCACGTGAGCTGTGACGGTGTTTATAATTCGACCGTGTGAAATTGGTGTAAACTAAAATGAACACCGTGTCTAGCTACGCACGATCTTAAATTCGTATACATTTTTTTTCTCGTGTCCGTGAGTTTGTCAATGCGTTCCTTATGTAACAAAAACTGTCAGAAGCAAGACTTTGTTATGCGTTTCCTTTATTTATAACTTGCCGGCATACCTAATGCAGTTTCGTATAAGTTAACATGTATAAAAGCAATGAATTTGCAGAAATAATTGCTAGTGGAATTGATCCCTAAATAACAAACAAAAGAACGCTAGTAACACTTCGCACAAGATAAACCAAAGACTTCTGAGTATTTTGTGGTATTCATTCAGAATAAAAAGGGACCGATAATCGTACTTCGACCTTGGACCTACGTCCTCCTGTTCCTATGTTTAGATGACGATGGAACAACCTACACATGCAAAATATAAGATTCAAAATGTATGGCGGGTCGTATTTAGCTGCGAGCTCGTGTCTGCAAGTGGGCGTCATTTGTGCCTATGCTTCCGGAACCCTTTTAGTTGTGTTGTGTAAAATTGTGCTAAGCACAACATCTCATACGAAAATCACAAAATTTGTATGGCAATATACAAATTTATGTTATTTTCTTTGAACTGTGTATTTCGACAGTGAGAACTGGCGATATCCATGTTTAAATCGGTGTTAACTTGTCCACAGGTACTCAGAGGCGGGCCTGTACCAGGGCAACGCGTCGTCGTCGTCGGGCGCGTCGTCAGGCTCCCACCCCGCCTCCCCTCTCCCGCAGCCGCACTCGCTCTTCACTCACGAGCCCCTCTACCAGTTCTACAACGCGGCCAAAGTTGAGGTAAACATTTGAGTTTTTATTGTAGCTTCAATACTTTCATTTAATAATTTGGCATCGATTCTTTGGTATCTTTGACTCCGAATTTATAAAAAAAAATTAGAACCATGGACACATAGAGATAAATACACAGGATGCTAATAATCGTATGAGCCATATTTTTTTTATCTCGTTCTACTGGATATTTCCACTTATACAATGTGTTTACATTATTTTCTTGGTATTTTACCAAAAATAAATTAAACGTTTTGATGCATTTTACGTTTTTACAATGTTAAATATCTACCAAGATTACCTAATCACACAACTCTATCAAAATAGAGCGTCTGTACGTCATTGTGACTTATTTTTTAATTTCCTGTACCCTTGTACTATAGTTATATAATATAATTCCTGCGAAATATTGATGTCTATTGAGTCTACATATTGATGTACACTTCAATTGATTTGTAGTTTCTATTCAATGCAGACGGTACTGTATCCAGCAACGGCTTTCACTTGTTTTACGTCCCTGTCTTGATTTTAAACACAGATAAAATATACTAGTAGATGTTAACCATGGAACCCGTGCAGGCGTCTTCTGACTGTGAACTGGAAAGGAACAAAAACGTTTAATAAAAATACGCCCGATGTTGTTTTTTTATTGCGGTCATTGAGAACCGCATACTTGACGGTTTTTAACCTGCATCACGGCGGTCGCCTTTCAAGGAATTGTTATCGTAATACGCATTAAATTTAATGGACACAAACTTTGCTTACTTACTGCGTCACAAATGGCGGGAGTTCTCATGAAACCGCAACAAGCAAATTAAATTAAATGTTCCACTAACTTATATTATCTTTAATATAATATAATAGAGTTTAAACAGTCTTTTTACGTTTAGATGTTTGTTTTTTTTATAGGTATTACGAAGTTTAGTTTCGTTTTTAATCTCAGAACATAAAGAAATGTAAGTGTTAATACAATAAATGAAGAAAATGATAACAGTGATTATAGCAGCTTAATCTATTGATAACCGCCAAGATCTGAGGCGTAATAAAACCGGAAAAACGCTATAAAACATGCAAAGCTGTTAATACCCTATGCGCGTAAAACGAAACGTAACGTATAATGAACAACAATTAACACGTCACTGAGGCGCTCACAAACACGTTATTTATAAATGTGTGTGTTAATTTTTATCACTTCTATTAACCTCTGGAATTGATATGGCCTTAACGTATCCTTGATATTGATCTCCATGTATGCGTTATTTATTTTCTAATTAGCAATGTACGCGCTAAACGGCATAGCTGTTATTACGTGTGCCTAATCTTGCACGCACACGATAACGTAATATTTCTTTGTATTCTTGAATAAATGTAGAAGTATGAATTAAAGAAGAAATAAATGCTCTCTTATCAAATAACGTTTAGAGTTATATTAACATTATTGCACAGTCGGCGTGTCGTGAGAGCGGCGACTCGGATTCGGACGGGTACGAGGCGAGCGCGGCGCGGGCGCGGCCCTCCGCCATGGCGCTAGTGGCGCCGCGCGGACCTGCGCGCACTCTCTGGTGCGAGGTGCCCGAGGTGCTTAACTCAGCCGTGCTCAGTGAGTAACCATCCTATGAAATAGCTACGAAACCAAATATTTAACTGTTTAATGGTATTTTTTTTATTTTGTGTTAGGCTCACTAGCGCCAGCGCAGAAGCGTTTGCAAGAAGCTAAATTCGAGGTCCTGACGTCAGAGGCTTCGTACCTGAACTCTTTGAACGTGCTAGAGGCACACTTCATCTCGCATCCCGCCTTCCGCGACCCGCACGTGCTGCCGCCACACGATTGGGATACACTCTTCTCTACCATACTACCAGGTACTTACATGACAGCTTGGCTAACTAGCGCCACGATCATCAGTTTACGTCAAATAAACATATCTATTCGTGTTGTAGTGCGCAAATGCTCGCAGCTGCTGATGATGGACCTGGAGAAGTGCTGGCAGGAGAACATCCTGCTGCAGGACATCTGCGACATCGTGCGGCGGCACGCCGAGGCACGCTTCCATGCTTACGTCAAGTACTGCGAGAACCAGGTGCTGATGGTGCGCGCGCTGCAGCGGCTGCGAGACCGACCCGCCTTCGCTAACGCACTCAAAAGGTATGCAACTGGCTCTGAAAAGTCAGTATATGATTAAGCGTTATCTCTTAAAAGTCACATTTAGTCTTCTGCGATAAAAGTAATAAATGAGGCAATATGTGCAGACTGGAGAGCCACCCTGCGTGCCAGAGCTTGTCGCTGCACTCGTTCCTGATGCTGCCGATGCAGCGCGTGACGCGGCTGCCGCTGCTGCTGGACGCGGTGCTGCGCAACCTGCAGCCCGCAGACCGCGAGTACGACGGCTGCATGCACGCGCTCGCCACGCTCAATGACGTGAGTTCACTTCACAGCGCACTAGCGCCTCTGGTGGTGGTGGTGGTTCTTGTCCTTTGTCCCCGAAGTGGAGCAGTGGGAGTCCACAGTGCGCCACTAGCTCGCTCGGTCTTGGGCTCTGCGTTTTGTCTCGGACCATGACAGCCCGATTACCTTCAACTCGGCCGCCGCAGAACGCCGCCAAGTTTGTTTAGGGCGGCCACGCTTCCTTGTTCCTTGTAGGATCCACTCAAGGACCTCGCTGGGAATGTGACTGGGATCCCGGCGAAGCGCATGGCCAATGCATAACCACTTGCGGCGTTTTATTTGTTGACAAATCGGCTGTTCTCGACAACGTGTCAGAAGTTCTTTGTTGCGTATCGTTTCTGGTCAGAAGATTCCTAGAATCTTTCGAAGGCAGCGATTGATGAAGATTTGGACCCGCTGCGTTGCAACTTTTGTCACTTCCATGTTTCACACTAGGGCCACTGCTACATGATAAGACATGAGATGTTTAATTGTAAAGATGTTGCATATTTAACTTGTGGTGTGCAGTTCGTGTCGCAGTGCAACGAGGGCGCTCGCAACACGGAGCGCGTGGAGGAGATGTTCCGGCTGGCGGCCGCCATCGAGTTCCCCGCGCACGCGCGCGCCGCGCCGCTGCTCGGCCCCGCCTGCTCGCGCAGGGACCGCAAGTATGACACACGCTAAGGCGACAGTTTCCTTGCCTACTGCCATTACTTATAATGTACTAGTTTTCGTCCGCGACTCCGTTCGCGTGGAATTAACAAAAAAAAAGTGAGTAATTATGTGTATTATGTGTTCTTCCAGTGTCCTCTACATCTATACCAAATTTCGTTGAAATCCGTTCAGCCGTTTAGGCTACAAACTCTTAACAAACAACCATCCATCTAAACTATCGCATTTATAATATTAGTATGATTACCGTCTAGACCGATCCGGTGGCTGGTGCGCTCCGGCGAGATGACGCAGCTGATCTGGAAGGCGGACGAGCTAAAGCTGACGTTCGGCAAGAAGTTCCACAAGGTGCCGCTGCACCTGTTCCTCTTTAACGACCTTCTCGTCGTCACCAAGAAGAAAGGGTAGGTTACTCCGGCATCACGTTATAACCATTTGTCTAATATTCTCAAATTGTAAATATTATGTACGTGTTGCAGCGAGGAGTCGTACCTGGCGGTGGACTGGTGCGCGCGCTCGCTGCTGGAGGTGTGCGAGGGCGCGGCCGCCCCGCCCGCCGCCAAGCACGCGCTGCTGCTCACCCTGCTCGAGAACAGGGATGCGCGCACCGTGGAGATGGTAAATAACATTCATTACGAAAAACAATCGTCATAGGAGATAAATGTCGATTTGACGCCACAGAAGAGTACTGAGAGCGTGAGCCATCTTTCGTCCAAGTAGACCGATGCCCTAGTGCACATGCCGGGAAGTCGTTGAGTGCGAAAGGCGAAGGATCGCTTACTTGTAGAATGCATTGGCGAAGTCCTATGTCGATAGACAGATAAAAGCTGATCGTGATGATAAATATTCTTTGTCTATGAATTTTAATATCCTCAAGTATCACGCTTTACTCTTAAATAATGTATGTTTTTCAATGGGCCGTTCCACCAAATTCTTTTAGAAATCTGTTTGATTGTGTGTGTGTGTGTGCAGGTGATGTCGTGTCCGAGCGAGACGGACCTGTCGCGCTGGGGCGAGGCGCTGGCGCCGCTGCGGGGCGGCGCGGGCGAGGCGGTGTACGCGGGCTGGGACTGCCCGCAGGTGGCCGCGCTCTACGCGTACGCGCCCGCGCAGCCCGACGAGCTGCCGCTCGCTGAGGGCGACGTCGTCAACGTCACGCGCAAGACCAGCGAAGGTAACACACATTCATAAACTTCCCAACTAAAAATAACAGTAAGTAGTTTTGGACAATAACATAATTGTAACAACCTTTTAATACTTCAATACTAAGTCTATGGACTGTAGCCAGAAATGGCGCGCTTATCCTTAATACTTGAATTGACATTGACAGATGTCACCGGAATCTGTACGTCAATGATCTAGTGTTGCGCCATTACACTGTCGCGATATCGATTTTTTTTATAATAGTAAGCTATGTGTTCTTTCAGACTATGATCTACATCTGTGCCAAACATCGAGATCCGTTAAGCCGTTTTACTGATACGTAGTAACAAACATCAACCAATCGTTCGGACTTAAATTATTAATGTTTTGTCTATATTAAAAGTAACTTAATTATCTAAGGTTGGTACTACGGCGAGCGCACGCGCGACGGCGAGGCGGGCTGGTTCCCCGGCTCCTACACGGTGGAGATCGCGTCTGCGCACGTGCGCGCGCGCAACCTGCGCCAGCGCTACCGCTTGCTCGCGCTCTCCGGCACTTACCTCGGACACAGGAAGCGCGCGCCATAGACTGCACAGCCACTAAGGAGGACGTAAACATCACTTCACTTCACTATAAGAACCGTACAAAGTTCACATTACAATAGGCTTGATAGACGATAGGTATTAAATATTTTCTTTCCGTGATTTAGAAGTTATAATTATAAAACAAAATGCTGTTTTAAAAAGAAAAATTAAACTATTTCGACAAAAAAGGGACCAAAAGTTTTATAAACCACATTTGAAAACAAATTAACTTGTCTAAAATTAAATTGATGACATATTTAATCACTTCTTAATGCATTTTCTTATGAACTATGAAATTTTTTAACTTTAGCTATTGCTGGTAGTCCAAGCACTGCCTTATTACCGCTTAGGATTTAAGTATTAAGTCTACTCGGTTGGTAGCTTAAGTGACTGCACCGAACTATGAATATTGGTGCATATTTATTTAGGAAGAAGACATTACAATCTAATTTGATAAAATAACGACTATTATTTGTATATATTTAAAAAAATATACATGAAATTCAAATGAAATATGAAATATTTTAAGGCTATTTTCTGTGTGATCCATTATTAAATAATGCTTTGTTTTTAAGAATTGTAATTTATGTAGAGTATTGTACAGTTACGTTTGAGATTCGCAGCAATTTATTGTACAGTATAATTTTTAATCTTTACCATAGAGTAGGTATCCGATAGCTTTGCTTGCCCGCTACATAAATTAACTAGTCAAATAGCGGACAAGGAACTAAACAAAATTGTTATATTATTGATTTATTAATACATTCCTTAATACTTTTTCATTGTAATAAAAATAGTAGGTAGTTTTAGACTTTTTAAACAATAAGTATGTCACATTAACTTCTGGATACGAGTTTATCTGTCGTTGAGATGTTTTTTTTTCGGCGACAAATACGTAATAATTGTTGTTTTAATTCTTTTGTTATTTTAATACATTAGATAACGAATTCTGGTCGAAGAGATCTAAATTTTTACGTACAAAGCTTTTGTTTTTTAATTTAGAATTGTAATATTCAGTTACCTTTTAACTTGTAAAGCTACATTATAAGAAAGATATTCGAAATCATCAAACTTTGTCTACTGAATATGCACAAAATTACTTAAGAATGTTTCAAGAAATAAGAATGTCTATATGATTTTGTACTAGTAATTACCTAAGTAAATTATTATAATTGTATATACACTTTTTTGTAACTTGCTGAGACTTGCATATGGTGTTAAACGAAATAAACATTTTCATTAAATAAAATGTTTTCTTTATACTGTCCATTTTATCTCCATTTTTTCAGCAATGGAATGTGCAGGAAAGGATAAGGTACATTCAGAACAACTATTGTTTAAAAATAAAACAATTTATAAGTACTCAACATTTATTTATATTATTCCATAGTCATTTTCAAGGCCGATTCATCACAAATAAATCAGATTCTTTGTACAATATAACAATTAACACCACATAAAATTGGCACATGATTTGTTAACTTTATTAGGTAGACTTTTCAAGTAGAAATATACATATATTTCTGCAGAGCACAGATATGCATACTAAATAGGTATACAAAAATATGTCTTTTAATATAAATTTGGAATTTGTATAACATCAAAAATATAATTAATATGTACATCAAGCGAAGGATTATAACTATTAAAGTAAAAAAATAATAATTTATTATTACTGCATTGTGGAAATTGAGAGTATTATTTCAGGGATTTTTTAATACATCCCAATATGCTTATAAAAATAAAAAAAAATCGGAGATCATTAAACACGAATGACAAGTAACACAGAACTCAGTCAGAAGGGAGACAACAATTAAAAAAACTTAACATAACAAATAAATCATATTCTTGTTTTGGACGAGTTATCCTTAACCTCAAAAAGTTTTCTTACAAAATAAACCTGCAATGTCCCCGTAGCTGCAATAGCTAAGATCTGAATGAATGACCATCTGAAAATGAAATCGTATTTTAAAAATGATTTTGTAAGAATGATTAAGAAAGTTGCAAACACTCATCACATTGAGGTAAAGAAAGAAAAAAATGCAATTAGCCAAAATGTCTTAATAGTCTTAAAAACATTGACCATCTATAGATACCCTCTGCTGTTCTGTCTTTTTTTTACACATTTTAATGTAGACCATGGACACATACTTTATTTAGCAATATCTAGGGGCCAGTTTGTTTACCTAATACAGTAAAAGAAATACTCACCTAAGTACATAAGCATTATTGTCCTGCAATAGATTAAAGTCTCGGGATTCCCGAGCTCTGGAATGGTACTGATACTGCAGGATCTCATTGATGTTGTGCTCCACAAATTGAATGGAATGCTACAAAGCAAATAGTACATGTAAACTTTTACTGTCTTTGTAATAAGTATAATTTCTGATTTACAAAAAAAAATATAAATACACATATTTTAAAATTAAATCAGCATTTGTTATGCAATTGGTGCTGACCTGGATATGTACTCAGCAAATTAATTATTGGCTTACAACTCACTTTCTTTCTTTTCTTTCACAACTGCCACAGTTCATTTTACTTGTACAAATGAGAAAAGAAAATAACTTACTGTAAAATTCTTTATATTCATATCAAGCTCTTCCACCTCCTTGGCATACTTCTCCCACATGTCATATCTGATCACTGATAAGTACAGATTCACCAGCTTGCCTGCAAACCTGGAGAACTGATTGTCAATACACACGGCGTAGTACCCGCCCGAACTCGTCTGGTCCGCGTATTCAGCGCTCTGCCGCCATTCGTACGGATGTACAATCTGCCCATTAGGATGTCGCACCGCAAAACCACACATACCATCTCCTCCTTTTAACACCTGGAAAATATACCAAAGTTTAAAGCCACAGTATAACAGAGATAGAACAGATCACTAATTAAATAATTTTGAATTAAACCTAATAGATAAAACACACTTTTACCTGATAACTAGCGTAAAATGTCGCACCAGGTTGCACATACTGAAAGTAACAATCTTCTTTGCCAGCATCAATGTGTACTTTATAATCCATGGTGACTGCTGGCAAATTCTCGTACCATGGCCCTGGTGATGTTGATAAAACATCGCCTACAATTGATAAAATCGTAAATATTAAAACTAATACGAAGAAAGTATGCCACGTCCGTTGAGCCATTTTTTGATGTTGTTAGTGACAATTTGATGACAATGACAGAGAAACGCTAGCGTCATATGTCAAAACATCACAACAATGCATAAAAAACACAAACATTATTGCTTTTTCTTCAGGTTATTCAGCGAAAATGAAAAACAACTTTAGCGAATGCGGGCAAAAATATCATTTTACTCAATCTTATCGAGCTTTTGTAATTATTGCTTTTACAATATTTTTCGGTATTGTCTTGCTTTATTGTATTTTTAACTATAATAAATGTTTGTTTTGTCTGCTTTTAGCTGTCAGCGTCAGCTGTCAGTGCAGTAGTGTCATCTTGCTTTTAAGAGGTTATGTTACTTTTCTATCAATTATTAACTAATTAGTTATTATTTAAGGGGTAAATTATGAAGGCTAGATATCTCACATTCTTTTCTTATATAGGCACTAAATTTAGGTACACTATTTGCAAGTACAAAATAAATTTGTACACTTTCAGTCGTTATACCTGTGTTTATATTTTACAAAACATTTTAGATCTTCTGAAAAAATATGGCTGAAAGGCGGTAAAAATTATCCTGATCTGGAAAGTATACAAGGTTTATTAGAAATAGGGCTTTTGAAATTGAGACCTCTGAATTATCCTAACCTCACCTTATCGAGCCGGTAAATAAATTCTTCAATTTTTTCTAACACAACTAAGGGTAGTTATTTATTTCACAAAAATGTTGTGCTATTTCTAAAACAACTATATTTTAGTTAAAATCTATAGATATTTTCTATATTACAGTACAGATGGAGGAGTGCATGCACTCAATTCTACTGCACACTTTGATTTGGAGAGATATGGCACCAAGGTTTTTGATCCTGAATACATTACATATGAATTAAATAAATTCTTCTACAAAAATGAAACTAGTATACATGTGAAAAAGTGTCTAAGAGTATCTGATGACTTCAGCGCAAGATTTAATGCTTTATCAAGAACATATTTATATAGGTAACATTTTTAGATTCAAAATACTCTCATGTGTTTAACATTTTCAGTGCTTAGACAGCTTTAACGACTTCATCCAAATTCAATTGAACAAATTTAATGATTTGTCTTAAGACAAGTCTTTAAAGACTTTAATTTTAATTCTTTCAGACTTGCAGTGGTAAAACCTGATATAGTGCTTCCTGAATCAAATATAATATCTTCATATATTCCCATTGAAGAATGGAAAAGATGTCATTTTATCAGGTAAATGGTAATAAAACTATCCGATTTTGATTATGAGATAGGTTTATCCATGTTCCTAATAGGTTTCCAGGTTTCGACATTGAAAAGTTTAAGGCGGGTGCAAAATATCTTGTTGGCTATCATGATTTCACCACATTTAAGAAATTCGACAAGTTGACATCGCACAAACAAAACCGTAGATACCTACATTCATTTGACGTGAAGCCAGGACAACCATTGGTCACCAGCTACTCTAGTACACAGGACAGTTTGTTTGATTACTGGGATATTAAGATCAAAGGCAGATCTTTTGTTCATAATCAGGTAGAAGTTTTTATATATTGAAAGCTTAATGTAAATGACTGAAAAAAGTATGGATGAATAAGAGGAAATACATAAAAAAGGAGTGAAAATGAAATCTGATAGAGATGTATGGAAGACAGTACATGCTGTACAGAACCTTCTGTCGGTATAAGGATATAGGCAGGTTGAGATGTAGATTCATTATTTTTGGATGAGTTATTTTTGAATTGAACTTTACCTTACCTCATTGGATACAATAATTTCGATGTTACAGATTCGTCGTATGGTGGCGACATTAATAAGTGTTGCGATAGGAAAAATCCCTCCAGAGGAAATAAAGGTGATGTTACAAGTCCCATCAAAACACTCCTGGTACACATTCATTCAGAACTGTCCTCCCGATGGACTCTATCTTTGCAATGTTGACTACAACCCTGAAGACTTAGTTTTCCAGCCTGTAGATATTGTAAAAGAGACAGAAGATCTAGAAGAAAGTGATAAGAAATGAATTTCTTGGAAGAATTAATTAAAAAGAAACAATACCTGAAAGAGACGGAAACAATAGTGACAAAAGTAGATGGGAAAAGATTTATTGAAGGTAAAAAAGAAAATATTGCATTACCAAGTAATTACGGTTTCGTAGTGGACACAAAACCAGACGATGTACCGATTTTAATTGTTGATTATGTGTACATAGGCTCACAGGATTGTGTTGCAGATAGTGTATTAGAAAGTTACAATATAAGTAATGTACTTAGTTTAGGTATTGAAAGAAACATTAAAGTTAAGAATAAATATGTTGAGTGTTTAGATTTACCAGAGACAAATATAGTGCCTGTAGTAAAAGTGTGTTTGCCTTATATCAGTGATTCTGTAGCTAATAAGGCAAATGTTCTAATCCATTGCAATGCTGGTGTTTCGCGAACATCTATGGTTGTTATCGCTTACTTGATGTCTTTAGGAATGGAGTACGACAATGCGTATAGTTTAGTGAAATCTAAAAGACCAGCTATACAGCCTAATGTCGGATTTGTTAAACAATTGAAGACTACAAATTTTTCCCAAATGTCAACTTTGTAATATAATACAAACAAGGCTTTAAAATATGACGGACTTGACTTTCTGTTTTTAATGAGGGATCAACTTTATGGCCAGTTTATATCTCCATCTGGTCTATTCTGTTGTAAAATCTCACTATTGTTAATAAATACCTCTAAAAGAAACAGTTTTTTGCTTTTCTGTCACGTAAATAACAATAACATTAATTTTGAAACAGCTTTATTGACAATAAAAATTAAGTACTGACACTGAAATGTACGGCAGCAATAACAGTTCATAAATTATTTCTTATTTAATATCTTCTTTTTACATAATTAAATCTGAAAGCACTATCAAGTAATAAGGTACAATATGTTATAATATCTAGCACCGATTCATAAGTCATGAGCTAAACTTAACATAAGTAAAAAACAAATTTAAATCCCAAACAATACAAATTAAAAAATAAATTTGTGTTTTCAACAGCCAATGATTCCCTCTTGTATATTTGAAATTTTATTTATTATCTGTAAAGATTTAATTACATGATATAATAAACAATAAGTATATAAAATAAATATAATATTACATAATACCTTTTTTACATTGAATTGAATTATAACATATTAATAATGAATCTTGTTATAGCAATTTGAAAATTAGACTATATAAACATTTTTCTTATATTTATTGGGCACATACTAAAACATTGGCACTATTGAATATAATCAAATACTGGTGGTTATTCTAAAAATACTACAAATATTATGCTTTATATATAATATTTAAGTTGCCAATCGGCAAATACACAACCATTAATACAGGATACATTAAAAAATAAAATAAATTGTTTACAAAATAATGGTCTTTTAATATCCCCGTAACAAAACAATAAAGCCCTAGATTTCTGCAATATTTTATGTTTAAACTTCGGACTAAATTACGTTCCAAAATAGAAAATTGTCTTTTAAATAATTCACCATTAGATGTTGCTAACAATGCTCTAAAGCCTCAAAGGAGTATAACAAGTTTCTTATTGGTAGAGAATACAAAATATTTTTGTATTATCATATTGTGTTTTTATTCCATCACTGAAGGTCGCAGAGGTCATATAAAACTTTTTTTTTAATGAAACTTGATACAATTACAGCTATGACCAGTATTCAGTCTTTGAGCTTTAGGTAAAATAAGAAAATGTCATTTTTAACGTTTCCACAAAACACAGTCAGCAATTTTAACTCATAAATGTCTGCACTGGTAAGTGCAAGTTGAACTTGCATTTAATTTATATCTGGATTTCCCTTATTTCATAATAATTTAATATTCGATACAACATACATAACCTAAAATTTACATGTCAAAACGTCAGAAAACTTAGTTTTTTTTTGCTAAGAATTTTTAATTGTACTTTTTACTTAAACATCATTATATATAAACACAATACATATAAAAAACTATGCTTAATTTAAAACCTATCTATAACATCCAGTATATTAAGTACTTTAGTAAATTGACAAGCATATAAACACAAGAAATGTATAAGTTTCTAAAACTCATTAAAACACAATATAAGTACAGATTTTTCATGCAAACAGCAATTTCCATTTGTATAAGTAAAACCTATCCATAACTAAACCCATATTTTGCACAGTATCATAACCATAAATACTAGAGGCAATGTCACTATGCCGTCTTGTATGCCTTATTTGGGAAAATAATTCATTGAAATTAACTAGGCGTTTATTTGCTTATTTTTGTTCAAACTCAACATAGAATTTGCAATTCTTTTAGTATTTCCAAATCAAAACAGCCTTTAAAAATACGCTAATTTGACTTAGTTTAAATGGAATGTTAAAAAACTTTATCACATAAATATACAATGAGCATTTCGTTACAAAGTTGACTTTTAGTTTAAATAATTTAAAGAATCTTAAATCATAATGACAGAAGTAAAATGTTAGTGAATAGAAGTGGCAGTGAATTGAAAACACAAACAAAAAAAGTAAATAAAAAAAAAAGTTAGACTAACCTTAGTGTTTTATGAAACAAAATACATTTGAAATTTTCTAGTTTCCTTTCAACAAGGTAAACATTGTTATATTAAACTAAATATCATGCTTATATAATAGTATGCAGTTTTTAAGGTTATAAAACAGAACAAGAGTACATATAAATTAAAAGGTTGGTACTATTGACCTTTGAATTTTCACTGCCAACTTTACAAAAACGTACTTTCGTTCAAAGTAAACGTTTTTTAAGTGTTTCTGTAGTAAATAACAAGATTTAACAACAAACATGATTATGGTCTATATTTAAAATTAATTCCGCGGTGGCTTGCTCAAATTACAATATAAATTAAGTAATAATATTATTTCATTATACAAATATATCCCGGAAAACCACTATTATCAAATATCAATTATTATACTGATATTTATCAGCTAATACAAAATATATTAATATCTTGTTTGTATATACTATTCTTACTTCATTCTAAAACTTATATGCAATAAATTCTTTGATATAGCTTATATGGAAGTAAAAAAAACTGTTACCAACTATTATAAGTACATGAATGGCTTTATAGTTAAGTACATTCGTTTTAATGAAAGGCAAATAATTTGGCAAGTTTAGTAATAAAAGATTGTATTATTGCTAAATTCGAGAATGATATATTTGAATGTTTCCAACGTAAGCATTTAATATTTGTATAGGGATTAAAATACAATTTCATTTTACATAAAAATTGTCGATGTCTAAAGAGCATAAAGGCTTCTAAAATGGCAACATTTCGTAATATTTCACGTACTTACAGAAAACTATCTCATTTCAGATAGGTGATGAAAATACTGAAATTTTTAATCTAAAAATTGAAAGAAAACCGTTGCCCGAGAATCAATATTTATCTATGATAAAAATAATTATTGTATTTTAATACATAAATTGTTTATATCCATTGTCTTATGAACTACGTTTTGAACTAAATCAACGTAACGACACAAAGTATCAACTCTATATTTAAGAGCTACATTTGCTTCCGTCACAAGTTTCCAATTATTATATAACAATGATAATATAAATTGAGCACATACGTGTATTGGTGGGTGGTGTTCAGAAGCTCTTGAGGGTGAGTCCTCGTGCGGGCAGACTGTTGGCCTTGGCGGGCGCGTCGCGCGCGTGCGAGTGCGCCACCGCGATGCTGAGGCACTGCGCCCACTCCTCCGCGTTCTTGCCGTCCTTCGGCTTCAGGATCAGCGTCTGGTCTCCAGTGAAGATCTCAAACGCCTTAGGGATATTCCGCGCACCCCGAGATACTTTTACCGATCGGATCTGGTTTATATCTATACTTTCGCCCCCACTCTGAAAAAATATAGAAATTTTGTTTATGGCATCGAAATAAATAGTTGTTAGATTTGTTAGAGAAAAATACTCACGGCGCCTTTGCAGGAGAGGTGATGTCCGGAGAGCGTGAAGTACCTGGTGCGCCAGCGGCGGAAGAGTCTCCAACGACCTTTCTTCTCCTTGAGCTGTCCCTCTATGACGGGCGTCTCCGCGGCGAGGAAGCCGACGGCGCGCTCGGGGCGCGTGCAGAGGAAGCAGCCCCAGGCGGCGTGCGTGGGCGCGGGGGGCGCGTTGGGGGCGTCGGGCGCGGGCGGGGCGGCGCTCAGCTCGAAGACGTCGAAGAAGCCGGCGGCGCGCAGCTCGGCCACCAGCATCTCCTGCTCCTTGGCGGCGGGGAAGGCGCCGGTGACGAGGGTGAGGAAGGTCTTGTTCTCGCACTTGAGGATGTCCCAGCAGTGCTTGAGGCTGGCGACGGTGGGGTCGCGCGAGGAGAGCGCGGCGGCGTGGCGCGCCTGCAGCGCGAGGAACATGAGGTGTATCCAGACGCGCGGCGCGCGCGTGCGCATGGAGAAGGCGGCGCGCGCGTACAGGCAGTGCGGCCCGCGCCGCCCGCACGCGAACTGCAGCCGCGCCTGCTTCTTCGACCGCCGCTCTGGAAACCATATACTCTTAATCTGAGTTATTGAAGCATTCTATCAGACTTCATACTTAGAATATACAAACTAAAGTTCAGTAGAGGGATGTTTGTTATTACTCGTCACTAAAACGACTCAACGGATCTCGATGAAATTGGCCATAGATGCAGAACATACTCTGGATCAACACACAAGCTCCTTACTAAGGTTTTTAAAATATTTTCGTGCGGACGAAGACGCGGATAAATGCTTAGTCTATACTAAAGAGATTTGTAGTTTTATATGTATTCAGAAAACTCTGTAACTTCTGGGCCAATTTTAAAAATTCTTTTACCATTAAAAAACTACTTTATCAGTGAATGACATAGGCTGTGTTTTTAACTTCACATGGGCGAAGTCGCGAGCAACAAGTGAACATTTATCTTTAGAATTTTGGTTATTTCGTAATAAAATAATAGTTACCTTCGATGGTGCACTTGGCCGGCGGGGGCAGCCTCAGCGACACATTGTCCATGTACGCTTTGATCTTATCGAGGTGTTTCTCGCAGAAGTGCTGCACGGTGTCGCGCATCGGGTACGGCTCGAACACGCTGATGCGGTGGTTGGCGTTCGTGTTCGTGTTCGTGTTCGCGTTCGCGCTGGAGTTGATCATGGTGACGCTGGTGTTGTTGGCGCGCCGTGACGTCACCGTGACGGGCCCGGAGATGGACACGGGGTGTGGGAGGGGTGCGGGGGGTGCGAGGGGTGCGGGCGCCGCGCCGTTGTTTGTGAGCGGTTGCGCCGACGATATGACAGATATTTGTCCCAGCGCCGAGTTGGAATGTTGTATGGAGACGGAGGAGGTGAGCGGTGTGAGCGCGTCCGAGGACTTGCCCGTGAGAGGGTTCACTGATATTGATTGTGCTTGTAGAGGAGGCCCCGAAATTATAGTTGGGCCCGTACTCTGAAAATTAAAACTAATCAAGTTAAAAATTCTGTAAAGTAAAGTAATGAAGTTAAAAGTTCAGCGCATTGGTGGCTGTGGTTTTATACACTTGACTTGTAATCTACAGGTCTTGGGTTCGAATCCCGCCATGTACCAATGTGATTTATGATTTTTCGAATGTCATATGTAAATAATTTACCCGACGTTCTTACGATAAAGAAAAACTTCATGATATCGGCAAAGATATGTGTGAAGTCAGCCAACCCGCAGTAGGTCAGCGTGGTTGACTATGGCCTAGTCACCCCCTTACTTAGGGTAAGTTCCAAGCCTCTCGGTGGGGACGTATCGTGAGCTGATGATCAAGTTAAAAATTAAAAAAAGACACTTTTATGACGAAACTAAAACGTAAATATTATTACCGTAGAAGTGGATGGTCCGATGAGTATATTGTGGTGGTGGTGTCGCGCGGGGTGGCGGGGGGCGCGCGGCGGGGAGCCCGGCACCGCCCCGCCCCCGCCGCCGCCCGCCACGCCCCCGCTGCTACCCTTCCCCACGCCGCCTACACACAGACATCACAAAATATACAAAATTCCACATATTTTTGGTAAATTACCAGTAAATCATTATCATTATCTAGAACTCACCGGCGGCGGGCTGGTTGGCGTTGAGGAGATTTATCTGCTGAGAGGAAGAGAGTCGTGTCATGCTCTTATGGAGTCCTCCCACTGACCCTCCTGCAAATACAAATTAATGTCAAATAACTTTTAAGGTACTAAAGTATCAAAGAATAATTAAAAATCAACTCACCAGCAACATTAAGCCTGGTCATACTCCTGTGTGAGTTAGGTCCGGTGTGCAAGCGGCCTGTGCTTCTAGAATCTCCTAATTTAGCTCGTCTGGTGTATCCGGTGGTGACGGGCGGGTTGGAGGGCGTGGCTGCGGGCGCAGGGGGCGTGGCCACACTGGGGTTCGGTATCACCGCCCCCGCGTTAGCGTTTGTCGCTCCTCCCAGTTTCACTATAGTCACGCCCCCTGACGTTCTGTTTACTTCGCTATGCGATATCGTTGATTTTGGTCGACTGCTGTAAAAAACAATTAAACTTATGAATTCGAGAAGGTAGAATTTTTATTTTACTTGTGTGGATTATTCAGTTAAAAACCACAAAAATTTATTAACAAAATTTTAGGCAGTTTAAAGACAAAATTATTTATATTAACAATATTTTTTTGGTTAATGAATTGTTTATGGCTTATTTGCACATACTTGTTATTGGCGCGCAGTGCGGCCAGCAGGCGGTCGGTGAATAGCGCGGGGTATGCGGAGCAGAGCGCGGTGGCGGAGCGCAGCAGCGCCGCCTGCTCCGCGCGCTCCGCCCCCGCGCCGCCGCCCCCGGCCCCGCCTCCACCGCACAGCCGCTCCACCACGAAGTTCAGCGCCTCCTGCGCCCGCTCCTATATGTTACAAAAAATAAAAATACGTGAAAACGGTAACTCACAGCACTGTACACATAACACACAAATGCTTGTTAAGCATCCCGATTAGAGACCTACAAAAACGACATGCAACAATAGTAGTAACAACCTTGCCATTCTTAATTCCAAATTCCATTAAAAGTCTGTCAAATTGTATTGTATTATGTAATTGTATTGATTAGTTTAACAGAAGGTGGTGCAAGGGTCTCTCTGGGATCATTCAGAACCTCAATTCAGAGGGAATCGATATGTATCACTGAAAATTCCGGGACCCTTGCAGTCGGATTTAAGGTTAGCAACCAAAGGGATTGTATTAAAAAAAATCCCACATACTCCTGTTTTTTCCCAAAAGGGGCATTTTTCGAAGATTTCCCTATAATACCAAAAAAAAATAAGGTAAGAGTGTCTGACCCTGCTGGTGTGTCCGAGCTGCGCGAGCACGGTGGCGACGAGCGCGCTGGCGGCGTGCGAGGCGTGCGGGGGCCGCGCCGCGCGCCGCAGCGCCGCGCCGTGCTCGCACACCAGCGCCGCGCGGCTGCGGCTCAGGCACACCATCAGCTGCGCCGTCATACGTCACCGTCAATTACAACTCACATATTGCTATTTTATTTATAAAAACGATAACATTTTCAAACGATAAAGTACAATTATCTTTTATTTAGTACAAAGACTTATGGCCTATTTGACCATAAACGGAAATATCTATAAAATATATGGAAAAATAGATAATGTTTTGAAGTTTACTAGATTTGTTTTCTCATCTATACTAATATTATAAAGAGGAATGATTTGTTTTGTAATTCTCTTACCATTAAAAACAACAGCTAGTTAAGTCATAAATCACAATTTTAAAGCTATTAACAGTATAAAATTCCAATTACACATACCATACAACTTTGGATTGTATGTGTAATTGGATTCCAAAAATGTTGGAAATATTTGACATTAAATAAAAGCAAACCTGAAGCAGATCAATACACATGCAGGATGGGTCGGTCTGGCTGGCGGTGTGCGGGCACAAGTACGACAGCAGCTGCGGCACGCACGTCTTCAGCGCCTCCGGGCGACGCACCGCTATCTGCTCAAATAGAGCAAACAGAGAATTCTTCTCCACCTACAAATAATATTAAACACATAACTCATTTTATTTATGTATAAAACAAAAGAAAAAAAGCTGATGTCAGATTTAAAATTACTGAATAAATTTAATATAGTATTATATCTGACCTGTTCAGCATGAGGTAAGAGTGAAACCAATGCAGTAACATGTCCTTCTAGTGGCTCCGGACATACTTCATACAAGTTGGTCAGTATACGACATAATGGGTAGTTGCCTGAAAGAAAAAACAAATTTACATATATTTTTATTACAGAAAATAAATATAACTTTGTTTCGTTTAACTTAAATATGACTATTCACACTGTTATTACATATATGTAAGTAACATGAATTGTTGAGACCTATATTTAAATTTCATAAAAACAAGAAATTATTTACACATGTCACTTGGTGACTGTCATTTGTTGTCTAAGGATTTATTTTGGAACATTTTAATGTTAAAATACATGATACCAAAATAATGTTTTTATTAAGTCTGTAATTACAGCCTTATAATAGTAAAAATATTTAGATTGGTGAATATTTAATATGTTAAGCATTTTGTAGTTAAATGAATAAATTTATACAGATAAATATGCTACATTCTATTACAAAATGTAAAATTGTGATGTGTCGGAAATAGTCAAAATATGCAATAAAAGCACCAATTACCAGACATAATAGAGTCCATAATAGTCTGCACATGTGGCTTGAGTAAAGGAGCATGGTGCACCGCTGCTAAAGATAAGTAGCGAGCCATATGCCGGGATATCTCCCTATTGCCCTTGTGTAGGAACTGCACAGCAACTGGTAGGAATAGTTCCATCACATCTTTATTGCCACTTGTCTCCTTGTCTGATTGTAGTGGAAATGAAACCTAAACAATGTAAGACATCAATATTAAATTATAAATTGTATTTTCAACATTTTATCATAAAATTGAAAAACAATAACAAAATTTTATTTTGCTTTTAAACTTTTAAACAGATAATCACTAAGTAGACTGACATTTACACAGGTTTTAACTTAGTCTCTTTAAAATTCAAGTTACATACCAAAACAATACATGCTATGATATCAGAGGCAATTTTAGCATGTGGGGGATCATCATCTCTGAGATGTCCAACTGGCATTAAGTTATGATGCAAGCAGGACTCAAGTAATGACACCAGAGCCGCACAGTACTTGGCCAGAGTCCCTGTCTCTTTTATACAGGATGTGGTGCGCGTAACACATATCTCTATCAGTGCCTGGTCTCGGTCGTTACGGCAGTAGTCGGGTCTTGATGATATTTCTGTTATTTGTTTTAACTGCAAATTTAACAATGTTTTTAATTCCCAAATCCCACTAAATCATAAATAGCTACCTTGTAAATATTATAAAACTTTACAGCTTTATAATAGTGATACGTAGATAAAATACGACACTTACAACTTCATTTAGATCGTCGACGATTTCTGAATCAGGAATGGCAAATAAATCGCCGGCTCGAGTCAAGTCTCGCTCGTTTAGTACGTGCTTAAGTAATTCATGCATTTTGCCGCTGCGCAAGAACTGGAAAGCCTCAGAGAAACCGAAACAGCCTTCGAGAAATAAACACTCGTAATGGACACATCAACATAACTTGCCACCTACGGAGAACTTGATTTATCCATCATCCAACACACAAAGTGGCGCATCACTCTTTTTACATTTAAACCATGCTTTCCTCATTAAGTAATGCAATAAGAAATAAAATAGTAAAAAGTAAAATATATCTTTAACAAAAGCGAAGTTTTGTCCCGGATTTGAGTTGATTGGGATTGGTTGACAAGTACAAAATGTCAATCAGTCAATGAACTTTCACTCATTCATTCGGCAAAAAAATATTTGCGTAGATTGGAACCGAATAATTTATTTTAAATGGAAATTAAATTACAAAACCGCACTATAGATGTTGAAACGAAAGGAAAAATACTTTATGTATTTAATTCATAAAATTTGACTCCTAGATCTTATTCCAAACATTATAATTAATATTTTAATTGCGATTTGAAAATTATGTTGATCAGTTAGTCTCCGGTACTTTTGCCTTAAATCTAAAAACAAACTCTAAACGTCAAAAACAACCACCTTGCAAAATGACACACTTTTTGCATATATTTTGCTTATTTAGAGTTGAGGTTATATTTTTTATTAATTAAATAGTTTTAAGAAGGTTTTAAATTAATTAAGAACAAAATTCCACTATAATGCCTATACCGTGTAGAACAGGCTGTGGTAAAAATGCGATGCTTAAGGTAAGTTCCGTCCGTCATTAGTGAGATTGAAGAAAAAATTTTGAAATACACCAATTATTTTTAATTAATATATTTTAGCGTCCTAAAACCGGTGATGCGCTGTGCAAAGAGTGCTTTTTCTGGGCATTCGAAACTGAAATCCATTATACTATAACAAAAGCTGAATTATTCAATCGTGGAGACTCCGTAGCTGTTGCTGCTTCTGGGGGGAAGGATTCTACAGTCCTTGCGCACGTCTTGAAGACCCTCAATGAACGCTACGACTATGGTTTGAATTTAATGTTACTGTCAATAGATGAAGGTATCACTGGATACAGAGACGACAGCTTAGAAACTGTGAAAAGAAACCGCGATGATTACGAGATGTCATTAAAAATCTTATCATATAAGGATCTCTATGGTTGGACTATGGATGAAATTGTAGCACAGATTGGTAGGAAGAACAATTGTACCTTTTGTGGAGTGTTTAGACGACAAGCATTGGACAGAGGTGCAGCATTATTGGGGGTGAAGTGTATAGCAACAGGACATAATGCTGATGATATAGCAGAGACAGTGCTAATGAATGTGTTGAGAGGTGATATTGCTAGGTTAAAAAGGTGTACAGCTATAAGTACTGTAGGTATATCTTCTTTTTCTACCTTAATTATGAAAGTTGCACAACTCCTATGCAATGACACAGTATTACATATTGCTAACTTTTTCACTATTTATGACAAAACAGAGACTGCAACAATACAAATGTCACAGTATTTGAATTCAATAACATAGTATTTTTCACACATTTTGTCGTCTCTTAATATAGCAATATTATAAAGAGGATTTGTATTGTTGGATTTTTGTATGTATTTCATTCACATAAAAACTACTAGACCGAGTTTAAAAATTCTTTAACCATTATAAAGTTAATGTATCTGTGAAATAAAGGTAGTATTTGTACTATTTTTTTTCATTCCATGCAGATGCAGTCATGAACAATAGCTGGTATTAGAGAGCACTGAGCACAAATTTAAATGTTAAATTATAATTTCAGGGTAGTGAGGGAACAATACCGAGAGTGAAGCCACTGAAATACACATATGAAAAGGAGATAGTAATGTATGCACATTATAAGAAACTGGTGTATTTCTCAACAGAATGTGTATTTGCACCTAATGCATACAGGGGACATGCGAGAGCACTTCTTAAAGACATGGAAAAGATACGACCCACTTGTATCATGGATATAATATATTCAGGTAAAACATAAAAGCATAATTTGACTCTTGTTAAATAGTTCTCATGCAAAATAGTAATTGCCAGGCAACTTGATGTTAAATTAATAATAATATCTTTAATTGACCAATTGACAGAAATGCTCAAAACTAACATAACATACACTCTGACACGTGAAACACTATCTGACACACATACACATACACAAACACACAAACACGCACACACACACACACACACACACACAAACACGCACACATACACACAAACACGCACACACACCAAAGGTACACACACAGATGCATCAAAGAAACACACTAATAAACATTAAAAAAAAAAAAATCTTTAAAATGTATAACTGTTAGATATAAGCAAAATGTAATGTATGCTATGGAAGAACGGGACATTCTGTCACAAGTAAATAACTTACTTACAAGAATGTCCCAGCACCAGAAATCTACTTGTAAAATATGTATGATTTTAAGTAATAAATTATTATTATTATTATTATTATTAATTAATTTAACCAAGAATGCATGTAATAAATGAAGTGCCAAAGATAGGGTAGGTTGACAGACATCAACAGTTGTGCAAAAACTGTCTCAAATATACCAGTTACACCCAGACTCCTTAAAAGCTTGTAATAAAGGGGGCTTCATAAAAACCTCGCCCAGGGTACCAGTAGCGCTATAACTGGTTATGAATAATACATTCCTGTTCTGAGGATTATATAATCCTACAAAAAGGTCTTAGAACAAGCTGAATAAAATCATGTGATTTTTCCACAGTTAGTTTAAAATATTATTTGTAGATGTAATTAAATAAAATATCTAATTTCAAGGTGAAACAATGGCTGTTAAAGAAGAAGTAAATCTACCAACACAAGGAATTTGCACAAGATGTAAATTTGTATCATCACAAGAAGTTTGTAAGGCCTGTGTTCTACTCGAAGGTTTAAACAAAGGTCTACCAAAGCTTGGTATTGGTAAAAGTTCTAAAGCAAAGAGAATGCTTGATGAATATAATGCAAAACAAGAACAAAACCTACTAAATGATGCAGTAAAGGAATTAAATGAGACAGAAAATAATTGTCAATCAACAAAATGTAGATCTGGATTGTGTAATAAAAGAAATGGTTTAGTTAATAATGAAAATAAAGAAACTAAAGGTTGTAACAAATGTTCCGGGAATTGTGAAAGGACAAAAGTGAGTGTTGAGAATACTAAAGTTAGTAATTTATTGGAAAAATATGCTATAAATGAAGGGAAAACCAATACAGATGATATTAACAATGTCAAAGTAGATGACAACATTGATATTTCCGATGAAGAAGTCAATGTAGAAGAAGATGACACATGTTCAGCATCTTGTGGTAAAACGGGATCATTACAAATCGGATTTTAATTAATGAATTTAATTAATATATTACAAAATAAGATGTACATTGTGTAAATAATAACACTTTTTATGACTAAAATATTTTATTCTTTGATTCTTCAATGCAATCCCTATACATAAAAATGTACTTTTCATACTTAATTTTTTCGTAATCTATTTTAGCTGTCTAATTTCATTAACGTTAAATATATATTTTTAAATATAACTATAACAATGCTTTGCTAGTAAGTAGATTATTCTATGTCTTGTATCTATGTAATAAAAGCTGGCGCGCGGGCCTCTATCCGCTCTCTGCAAATGGGACAATTGTCTTTGATGTTTTCCGAGCAATCTTCACAGAGGCAAACATGACCACAGGGTAGTAATATTATCTGAAAACATTTAAAAAACTTGAAATACATAAGAAACATATGTTTTCTATGTAAAATTAATGGCACATTAAAAAAACATGTGATGACCCCTCATTCATTATTTAATTCTCTCAATATCAAACAATACAATTTGAATTTCGTAAGCAGACCTCTTTAGGGTTCTCCGAGCAGACCACACAGAGCTGCACATCGGTAAGGTTCTTCTCCCGTGCGTGCGCGCGGCGCTCCTTGCGGCCGGCGGCGAGCTGCCGCTTCAACGACTCTTCCAACTGTCGCCGCTTGCGACGCTTAAGGTACTTGTAAGCTACACGACCCGATGCTAAAACTGCTACCGCCCCAAACACAACCAGCAAGATCCTAAAATAATTTAATAACACTTAACTTCTTCAACGCAATGTCATCAATTTATAAATAATACTAGCTTCCGTCCGCATGAAATTAAAAAAACCACAAGTAGAGTATCCTATGTGTTCTTCCAGACTTTCCTCTACATCTATGCGAAATTTCATCAAGATCTGCTCAGCCGTTTAGGCTACAAACTCTAACAAACATCCATCCATCTATCTAAACTTTCGCATTTATATTTATAAATAATATAAACCTTGAAAACAGGGAAGCAATTAACCTTTGACTACCTTTATTAAATCACTAGCTATTGCCCACGAAGGAATAAAAAAAAAACTTTCGTCTGTACACTTCCAGTTCTGTATCTACAACAAATTTGAGCGAGATCTGTTTAGCCGTTCTAAAGATACGTAATAATAAACAAAGGCAAATTGTATAGTTATAGCTACTCACACGGTCGTAATAAACATGTCGCGAAATGGAACTCACAATTAATGTCGACGTCTTCATTCGATTGATTGAAGCGTCGACAGTTAACTGTAGTCAATAAGGAATATAGTAGAGATAAACATATCGCTTTGTACAGACATTGAATTAAAACCAGACCATACTTTATTATTTTGCTTACCTTAAAAAATCTCTAGAGCTGGCGAGCCTTTTCAGTAAACTAGACTTAGTGGCTGTAGTGAGGTAGAGAGGCAATCCATCTCTAGGTGGTTGTAATTTTAAAGCACCAGTTTGTGTCCTGCTGAGTTCTCCTATTGCTGTGATGTATGAGCCATCGCGGAGCATTTCCTCCATTGTCTGAAGGCCGCGCTGCCGGACTCCAGAGAAGAAGCCCCACACATGATCAATGACGCCAGGCGACATGGGTTCGAACTTGTCAGATATCACATCAAGATCTGGTGATAAAATATTTTAGTATCCTTAACTATTAATATTATACCAGTCACCAAAAACATGTACAAATAATCTTTTTTGAAGCTCTTGGAATCCTAAATCATTTCATTTTGTTTTTGACTGGGAATATTATTGATTGTTCACTCAGCACATATGAGATAATCCCAATATATTATAAAAAAACTCACCTGTATTCTTAATAGATGTTTTAAAATTCATACATACCCAACAACTCAGCTGCCAATGCATCTATAACTTCAATACTATACTTCCCATTACTGAGAACAAATGGTGTTGAGTTGTATACTTCATGTATGGTGCGAGTCTGGTCCGACCAGAACCCAGCAGATGTTCTCGCAATAACATGCTCCTTTATTGTTAACCTTTTAAAACACATTAACATGTTATCCATAAAAGGTGTTGCAAATTTTAATTTTTTCTTCATACTAGCAGTTGATTGAGACTTCATCCGCACAAAATAAAAAAATGTAATATAGCCTGTTACTTAAATGGTAAAAGACCAAATTCTTTTAAAAATCAGTCCAGTAGTTTTGCATTCATTTGTTACATAAAAAATACAAATTTTATTTATAAGATAAATAGATAATAATGGCTGTTACCTCTGTATGACACCAGTAACAGTGTTATTGTAATTGCTAACTATTGGATTACCGAGGGGTTTCACCAGCCCTCTGATCACAACATATGGTATCACCTGGTCTGAGTATTTGTTAATCTCTTTATTTAATGTTGAGTCAATATCAAGTATTGGTGCTGTCTGAAATTAATTGTTTTAAGATATAAATTACGTTTACATATGTGTAGAGTGTTAAAGTTAAATGAGTGAAGAGATAATTGTTTTTTTTTTTTAATTACATCACTTATAAAAACTGTGATAAATCTATTACATGACCTTTTATAGGAAAATAGATGGATACAACGTGATGATTTAAATGTTAACGATACTTAATTAACACGTAGAATAAAGATTTTTAATAACGTAGTTAAACAAGAATAAAAAAATAAAAATAACCTGCAAGGCGTTCAAGATATGTTTACATTTACTCAGCTGTTTTACACAAAATCCTAATATAAGAGAATCGATTCCAAGGACGACAGTCTCCCCTATAATTTCAGAAAAGAAATCCATTGTTGGTCACAATTTTTGTTTCTTTAACAACTCAAAAATACAGCGTAACACATAATTATTTCTAATTTTCGTTCCAAAAATAGATGCAAATATTACCAAAGTTTTGCTTAGAACTTTGACAGTTGACAAACTGTCAAAACGACACTGACGTATTTAGTTACGTCGAAAAATTGCTTACATACAAGAATAAAAATCGACTATCTAAATAACAATGGGGCCCACGATTTATTGAGAGAAAGAATAAATAAGCATGCTCAAGGAATTACGGTAAATACAAGAGAACACAAATAAAAGAGAGTTCTACTGTTCTATTTTTATTAAAACTTTATCTTATCTTGGTCACATAATTAAGCAAATACACGACAAAACCAACAGACAAATCAATTCCTTCTCCTTCTGACTCTTGATATCCTCCAAGCGTTGGGTTCTTCGTATTTGTTGTACAGAGGTTCCAGTCTCTGGTTCTTCTTGAACTTGGAGAGTTTGGTCGGGTCTGAGAATTTGAAAAATGCCGGAGCAAACTCGACCAGCCACTTTGGATCTATCGTCGTCACTTCACGCATATATTCTTTCGTCGTTTGAACTAACTCATGGTAAATAACCCTGTAATAAAGAAAAACAAATTATTTTACTGTAAGACTATAAAAATAAGTATTTTTTTAAGTTAAATATCTTTACCATTCAGGTTGTCTGTTAAATAATGCACTTGAAGGATGGATGTAGACAACTTGGCTGTCGACAAGAGTTCTGTACCCCTCCTGCGGGTCTTTCTTAGCGGCGTTCCTGAAGAAACCTGAGCATATGGTCTTCTGAATGCGTACTGTATTCTTCCCTGCTGATACCACATCTAGTTTATGCCTGAAACACAATTATCAAATTCTTAACAAACTTATCGCAAAAGTAAAAATCATCTTGTAAACACGGAAATGATTTTGGTTACTATGGTAACAAGTTCTTTTAGGCTGATTTTTATGTGGTCACTTGTTTTCGGAGAAATAGTGTACATCTGCCCATAGAATTTTTAACTATTGTCTCTAACCACTGACCTATCCATGATGCCTAACAACTGCTTCCTCACATCCTGTGCCCTCTTCAACGTGCGTATCTGAACGAAGTTCTCATAGCACCAGGCGTTAGAGAACTTGTTGTTCCTCCAGCTGTTGTAGACCGCGAGGAGTGTGAGGTGGTCACCCTCCGGCTGATTGAACTTGGCCTTCTTCTGGTCAGCGAGCGCCTGCTTGTCTTTGGGCCGGTAGAATACGTTCTGAACGCTCAGCATTGATACTATTGTTAATATTTCGTCCGAACATTGCAACGCGACCGACATGATTAGTATTTTTGATAGATTCGGTTCTAACGGGAATTCAGCCATCTGAAAATAAACAAAGATCTTACTAATATTAGAAATGCCAAAGTATGGATGGACGTTTGTTACTATGTATCTCAAGAATGGCTAACAAATCTCGCTAAAATTTGGCATAGATGTAGAAAAATCTGGAAAAAGGCGCTGGAATGAGATAGTCTATATTAATATATTTGTATTTTTTATTTTTGTATGTATAGTAATAACTCACAAACTACTGGACCGATTTCAAATTTTTTTTTTTACTATTAAAAAGTTACGTTATCAGTGATTAACAGACTATTTTTTAATTCCACGCAGATGAAATCGCAAGCCACAGCTAATATTTAAATAAATTGCTGTAAATAACAACTTGCATGTCTATAAAGAAAAAATCTTAGATATGAGATGCAACACAGGCATTCCAAGTCCAAAAATTAATATACATTTGCTACAATTTAGTTACCCTGCGTCCCAGCCTAGTGAGCAGCCCCTCAGAGTCGAGTGCGGAGAGGGAGTGCAGCTGCTCCAGCGCCATGATGAGGGACTCCACGGGCGGCGCGTCCATGAAGTCGAAGTGCAATAAATCGTTGATACCCATTGTTTTGAGTTGCAACACCTAGAATACAAAACATGTTTTAATTCCCTTATTTTATCCAATGATAAAGTTTTTTTGAATCAAAGTCTAAGCAATCACACAAAACAAAGTATTAAAATCGCATACGGTTATCTAAAAAGTAAGAACCAAAAAAGTGGTACATACTGTGCTGACACCCCGGGGATAAAGACAATAACAATGGAAGGTATCAAAGCAATAATAAGAACAAGGCGTGTGTATGTTAAAGAGGTGAAAATGGTTTGGGACACCATTATGACCTAGTGGTCCTAGTGGTCCTAGTTGTCCTGGTAGGTTTATTTACCGACCAAAACAACTCTATTGTCTTTTTTGTATTCCCAACATGATAAGTTCAGGATGATGTATGTGATGCTTACAGTGGTGGCGAGGTTGGTGCGCTGTATCTCCGGCACGGGGGTGGGCAGCATCTCGTCGCGGTAAGCGCGCTCCGTGTACAGCCGGTAGCACTTGCCGGGGCCCGTGCGACCGGCACGACCTGCGCGTTGCTTCGCCGCCGCCTAGATAATAAATACTAAATTTCTTCATCCATTACAACACTATTACTTAATAATACCAAGATATACAAGTCAGATATGGTTTACCACCCTACATTGACAATTTTATTTACAAAGGGTGAAAACAGCAGAAAACCGATATTATTCAAACGATGTCAATGGGTTGCCATGTTGCCAATGTTTGAGGTAATTGTATGCCTGCTTCTTTAAGAAGCCGAAGTTGCATTGGTTTTGAAATAAAACTATAAAAAAAGTACTTATCTTCTATGAGAGAAGAATACTAGAACCTCTTAATATTTTTTTCATAAACAAATAATTTTTATGAACAAAATATGTAGTGTAAAAATAATCTACCTGTGAAATAGGCGTGACAACTAAAGAGTCCATCCCCGTCTTCGAGTTGTACACCTTCTGCTTCACAAACCCTGGATCCACCACATAGTATATACCATCAATGGTCAGCGAAGTTTCAGCTATATTGGTAGCTATGACCACCTTCCTCGACCCTGGTGGTGCCGGTTCGAATATCCTTGTCTGCATTTCTGAAGGCAGAGCTGAGTATACTGGTAGGATGATCAGTTCTGGTACATCAGGACCTAAAGACTTCATACGTTCGTATAATATCTCACAAGCTGTGTCAATCTCTTCTTGACCCGTCAAGAACAACAGTATATCTCCCGGAGGCTCCCTTAAATGGATTTGCATAACTGTTATTAGCGACGCATCTAAGTAATCAGTTTCTGGCTCTTTTGTATAAAGAACTTCGACTGGGAATGTTCTTCCAGGTATAGTGAAGATGGGCGCTTCAAAGAAGTATTGTGAGAATTTGACAGCATCCAATGTTGCAGATGTAACAATCAGTTTTAACTCTGGTCTCTTCTGAACTGCTTGTTTGAGCAGACCGAAGAGTACGTCGGTGTGGATGGTCCTCTCGTGAGCTTCGTCCAACATGATCACGGAGTAACTCTTCAGGTCTAAATCCATCAGACACTCTCGGAGCAACATACCATCTGTCATGTATCTGTAATTCAAAAGATTGATTCTTGATTACGAATCTGCACATTTTATAATTTTTTTTATACCAGAAGTATAAGACACCTATGATATTGAGATATGATAATTAAAATGACCATTTTTTTGGAAAATAACCTTGTTCTAATGCATATCTAAGATTCCGACATCCTATAAAATGAAATCTACTTTTCAAACACCATCTACCACAATACACCTAATTTTCATACACCCTGTATCACTTTATATCTAATTTTCGCACATCAAACAATACTTACTTAATAATAGTCTCCGGGCTGGTACAATCTTCGAATCGTATGGTATACCCGACCTCCTGTCCGAGTCGACAGCCGAACTCCTCCGCGACGCGCTTGGCCACGGACATGGCGGCGACTCTGCGCGGCTGCGTGCACGCCACCTTGCCGCGCGCCGCCAGCCCGCACCCCGCCACGTACTGCGTCATCTGCGTCGTCTTACCCGACCCAGTCTCACCTATCACTATTAATATCTGGTTGTCCGCTACCGCCTGAGAAAGGAAAAAGGAAAAAAGACTGTTTCTGAATCATATGGTCAATTTGGCCAATCAACCTTCTCTTACTTTAAGATTTACATATTTTATAGATATAAAACATATTTTATATACATGTAATTTAATTTAACAAATACATAAGAATCTTATTTTTGAAGTTGATTAACAAAATATAAGGAAAAGTACTTACTTTAATTAATTCATCCTTTAGTTTGTAAATAGGTAACGATTGTCTCTGTTCCAAGAGTGATAGATTGGTCTTTTTGCCAAAAGACGACTTTTTCCCGCCAATCACATGTTTCTTCCACTCTGGTAGATCTTGCGGAGTTATTCCTGATCCTCTCATATTTGCAGCCAGAGTCCGTCCATCAGCCTCAGGTAGTGGATCTATCCAGTTTTTATTTAACCCAGTCGGTAGACTTTCCATTTCTTGTTCTCTTTGCAGCATCTTCTGTTCTCTTCTTTCTTTCGCTAGAGCGGATTGCATCATTGCCGCCTGTGCCAGTGAGCCATCAGGGTTCTTGACTATCCTTACTGGTGACAGGTCGTGAAGTGCTCGGCCATGACCTTGTAGGAACGGAGGTTCGTCTTCTACCAATTCTATTTCTATATCAGCTTCACCATCTTCGTCTTTTGGTAGTAGACCAGTTTCTTCATCAAAGTCGGGTAATTCACTTTTATCAATTACACCAGACGATATCATCTAGAATATAAAAAAAAAAGTAACTTTATTGACATATTTTTTTTTAAGTATAGATAATTCAGATTGTCAGGACATAATAAACTTTGTCTTCTGTAATTCTAGTACCTGTTTAATCTCCCATCGTTCAGGACTAGAGATCCTTGTGACCCGCTTGCGACTGGAATCTTCATCAGGGTCCAGATTACCTTGTAGTCCAGCCAGGACTGTGGCCGCGGGGGCTGGTCTGTCTGGGTTACGCCCCTCTCTTTCTGCCTGCAATGTTTTAATCATTGTTAACACCTTTAACCTCCACAATGCTTTGCTTTACTTACAGATATTAAAAGATCAAATCATTGTTTTAAAAGTTATGTGTAACAGTATAGCAACAGAAATATGAATCTTACCTCTAAATGTGCATGTGATGTTGGATTCAGATCTTTTCCAGTCTCTTGGCATACATCTTTTAATGTTAGAGACACTTTTTGGCCAGTTATCGACAGCACCTTTACCTGGAAATAGACAATATATTTATAAGTGTTTTTATAGACTCCTATAAAAGTACATTAAGAAATATTGAAACAGTAAATTTAAAATAATGTGATTATTTTACCTTAACTTTATCACCCCTGGAGACAACATCAGAGACATTGGTGACTCTACCCTCAGCTCGTAGCTGTGAGATGTGCACCAGGCCCTCCCATCTCTTCCTTAAACCTTCCATTTGTACAAAACAACCGAATGGAACTATATTTGCCACTCTCCCGCCATATATCTAAAAAATATAATATACATTATAGAATACAAGTTCAATATACATTTTTAGAAAATGTACGTAGAAATAGTATACCTTTCCTGGTTCCGGATCATCACTCATTTCAACTTCAGGACTCTTCTTTTTTCTCTTATCAAAGTCTCTATATCTATAACTATCTTCTCTATGCCTATCTTGTGAACGGGATCTAGATTTCGATCTCCTACCTCTAGATCTTGACCGTCTACCTCGCGACCTTGACCTCCTACCTCGAGATCTCGATCTTCTATTCCTATCCCTAGACCTTGATCTATGACGATGACGACTTCTGGACCGTCTCCTTCTGTCTTTATCTCGTTCTCTACTTCTATTTCTGCGATCAGGAGTTCTACTTCGTCTATCCTTACTTCTGCTACGTTTTCTATTTCTTTCACGAGATCTGTCTCTTTTGACTTTACTGTCACTGTGGTCCTTAATTATATCTTTTTTTTCTTCCTTCTTGACATTTAAATTAGAAGGTGCCAGTGCTTCTAACTCTGCCATAGCTTGATCAATCACATTACCACCAGATTCTTTAACTTTTGCCTCTTCTTTAAATAAATCCTTATTAGTTATTCTATTATTTTTGTTCTTCTTCTCATCTTCATCACTGCTTTCTTCAGATGAAAATACTGGAGGTTTCTCATTAGGGATTGCCAATCCGGGAAACTTTGTTGCCAGTGGGTTGGAACTTGATATGTTTTTGTCATTTTTATCCGCTGAACTGACTGGCTTCATATGCTGTATGATGCGGAGTAAATTGGTCATAAATGAGTCTGAAAACTCAGCCCCATTCTCAATAAGACATTTCTTAAAAGCGTCAAATGTTGGGTTTTTGTCTGCCAAGTCAATTATAAATTCAGCTGGAAACAAAAAAGGACTATTTCAACTTTTTAACAAAGAACATGAGTAATATGAAATGGAATAATTTGTTTGTTATTGATTTATAGATACACGGTAAATATACATGCACAGTACATACTGCCAATAGTTAGAAGTTGTCTAACCCCATCAGAGTATTCTAAATTCATACTTGGGAATGAGAATTAAGTATAACAGAACAAGCATAACAGTGTAACTAGATAATTACTAATAATTCGGAATAGTTTACGAGACGACATGTACGATGTCGTCTCGTAAACTACTATACATGTATATATGTTTATTGTAGGACATTTTGAATGGAAGAATTACAAAACATAATTAGTGAAAATTAATTTTTAGTAGGTTGAATTCTTACCTCTAAAAGTTGTTTAACATAATAAAAAGTAGTATAACCAAGGAAATTGATTATGTTATGGGTAAAGACACTCACCTAGATCTTTGTCATTTAAACCTAAATGGTTATCCAATTCTGTACATATTTTAGAAACTAAAGAGAGATGCTCTAATTTTGCAACTTCATCCATTCTGTAAACCTATAAATAACGATAAATAATTAAATCAAGTTGTAAACAACATTTATTGGACTGCAGTTTGCACATTTATTTGACATTTCATTTTGGATTACTTGTCATATTTTCACAGAGCATCGCTTAACTCTAGAATCAACAACAGAATTTGTAACTATTATTAACATTACTTTAAATATTGATATTACACTATCAAATTAAGTTTTACAAGGTACTGAACCACCTAATACGCTCGACGAATTTAACTTTTACTGTTCTATTATTTGTTAAATATTGAAGTTGTCCAATTTTATGGCTTTTATCTTTGTTATGTATGTTTTCTGTGTATTTGACTTTGACACAATGTCATTGTCCGATGAAATATTATTGTCTTGGTTAATTGGTTATTTATTTTAGAATGGAATATTAATAAAGATAAGATTTGAGTATAATCCAATCATTCTTGAACTTAGGCAAGTCCATTATCTTTTTAATTAAAGTTGTTCTACAATCCCAAAGTACCTCTAATGGAAGGCAACTCGGAACTTTCAGATCCCAATAATTTTAGTCCTTTCAATGTTCAGGACGTAGATGTAGACTTTTTACCGATTGTTTACGAAATCATACGAAGGTATTTCCGTCCAAATTATTTTTAGATAACTTATCTCGTGATTGTAGGTTTACAACCAATATTTCATGTTTTAGTGTTGAACGGGATTTCCACGACAACTCTGCTAAAGCGCGCGAATCCCAGGATTGCAGTCAAAAAGTATTGGAATTGCAAAAAAAGTTTGACATTGCAAGGTCCCAGGTATGTATTATATCATTGCGTGGCCAAAATAGTAATTTTTGCATAATCTGTATAAAAATAAAGAAACTGACATAAATATTTAATATTTTTAGATCAAACGTCTCCCTGGTATTGAGTACAATAAGCAAGACCAATTGAAGCAATTTGAAATACTTAGAACTCAGCTGCGACTGAAGCGTGAACTCTTGCAGAAGTATAGGAACATGTGTTCATTTGAAACATCATTCAAGTGAGTTATACAAGATGCCACTCCGAGCTCTGCTTAAATACTTAGCTAACAATGAACGATTAGTTCAAAGGCTTGCAGAATCATATCCAGTGAGAAGAGCTGCACAATTAGCTATCTCAGTTTTCTACAGAGGAAAAGAAAAAGTATCCGAAATGGATCCACAAAAAGTCAATGTTTTGTTATCATTTTTTAGAAGATTCAGTCAACATTTAAGAGAAGGAATAGAAGATGCCAAGAAACAAATTAAAAAATAAGACAACAATTATTGCAAACTTTTAGTTTTTATTGTAGTCAATAAATGATGAATTTTTTATTTGTTTTTATAAAATATGTATTTATCAGAAATGATTTATTTCCCTAAATTTATGTAATGGAATAAGTACATCTAAGTCTAGCCTACTAATTTAATACTAGTAAAATGCTGCTGAAAAAAACTAAAAAGCAGTATTTTCTGCTGTCTGCAATATTAGTTGAGAGTTTAGTTAAACTACAGTATTATAAGGAAGAAATAATAATACCAAAGTTTTTTAGCTAATTTAATTTGAAAATTGTGAAACTTGTCGGTAAAATAACTTCTCGCTTAACCTAGACAATCACATTACAATGGTACAAAAAACAAATACTGAAGTAATTGCAACCACTAAATCACCAACCAGTTCTAGTATTCATAGCTCTGTGGAGTGACAGCACTGTCAGTAATACAGCCACCTGATGGCTGATACTAACTTGACATAAATGACAACTGTAGTTGGAATTTTCTCCACTTTACAGATATTGATCAGACTTTTATTGTAGCATTTATAACATACTATTGAAATTATAAGCAGAAATTATTGCATATGTCTATAAGTACGTATTCCATAGATCATGATATTTTACATATGAAAGAACAGTTTTTATAAAATTTGAATATTGAAACAAAATTAAATTGTACAATTCTGTAGCAGTAGTCACTAAAACGAAATATATTGACGTACTTAACAAAGTACAAACAATAAAGATGAGCCAATTTATACCGAGTTATAATAACCAACAAAAAAAAACATTTTTAAATAAACCAAAAACATTTAGGAAACCAAAATATATTTTAATATACATTAATAAAATACAAACATTTCTTTTATTGTCAACATATAAATTTCTTCTTTTAGATAAAGTAAATTATAGATTTTTTTAATAAAAATTAAACAAAACAGATTCTTCACTTCACAACACACTGATATGCTAGAAACAATGTTATATAATTTTTCAAATACATTGAAAATATAAAAATTGTAAACTTATTGTTAATATTTCAAAAATACTTGAAAATTTGGACCTACTTCTAGTAATCGAATAAAATGTTTGAGCTAAATTTACTAGCGACAAACTATCAATTTTGTATGTAAATATGACGTACTGTAAATGTACAGACACAAAAATAAGTAGAAAATATACCATTATACTAATTTTAGATAAAATATGGTGCAATCTGATCGAAAAAAGGAAAAAATTTAGACTATAAAAATATGAGTGCCCTATATTAATATGTAAAAGTAGACAAAAATGTGTCACCACGCCTACAACTAAACAGCAAACTACGGCCTTGTACTTACAATAGACTTTACAACTTCGCCAGACAACTGCAATGGAGTTTTTACTCGAATTTAGTAATTATTAAAAAATAATTACTTCAATTAATCGATCAATGGACAAACAATTTTAAATCGGAAAATATTTTAGAGATTATCATTCCTCTGAGTTTAGACGGCCATTAAAATTTTGCTGTTATAATTTGAAAATTTATTTAATAAATAATATTTCACTTTTGAAAGGCGGATCGAAATTTTTATTATGTTAAAATGGAATAAAAATACTTATAAGGATGTCTTATGGACAAAATACATTTCAAGACGTATAGATAAATCTAGCTGAACTTTAGCAATGTCTGGCTTATGCTTCCTCAGCGTTGAGGATAGGGTTTAGTATGGTAGTGGGGGTGGGGGTGGGGGTAGGTGTGTGTCAGTTGGCGGGCACGGCGGAGTGCGAGGGCTGTCCGGGCTTGTCGTGTCGCTTGCGCGGGCGTCGGCCGCCGCCAGCGCCGCGCTTGTCAGCCTGCACTTCGAAAGGAGAATCCGCAGCCGTCACATCGGTGTCATTCTCTTGTGGCTGTTCGGATAGACAGGATTTTAAATGTCTTAACTATGAGTTTTTACTATTAAAACAAATATTTTTACCACATTTATTCTTTTACTAAAAGTATATTGGAAAATACAGTTATATGTAAGCAAATATACTTTACTCAAATTTAAAACGCAACAAAAATTCAGTATGGCTAGTTCAAACTATTTGTTTTTAAATTCATTACATGATCAAAATTCTTTTAGACGTTTCTAATCCAAAATAACTTTATTACCTTGCTCAATTTCTTCATACTATTGCATTTAAATCACCAATATTATTACTTTTATATTATGAACGAGTTGTTGCTCGCGACTTCGTCCACGTTAAATTAAATAATAGTCTATGTTACTTAGTGATAATGTAGCTTTTTAATGGAGACAGAATTTTTGTAACAGGCCCAGTCGTTTTTGAGTTATTTCAATACATACAAAAATAGAAATCTTTCCTCTTAATATTAGTATAGATTGTAATGAAAATTATGAATAGGCATTATTTTACAAGTAGAGTACTAACGTCGTGTTCGTTGTGCCTGCGCTGCGCGTTGTGCGTGTGTATGTCGTGCTTGTGGCGGGCGGGCGGCGCGCGGCTCGCCGACACCGGCTCCGGACGCAGCACGTTGCCCACGGCCTTCGTGCGCCCTTCGCGGAACACCTGCACACAAAGTTATTCGTCTTTAGCAAACCTTATCCTACTCCCATATTGTCGGCGCAACAGGTTTTTGTCCTACAAATAACTCTGTCATCGCAGTCATCACTCCCTCCTTGGTCATGTCACCTTTCACGCAATTCATCCATCTCCTCCTAAGTCTACTTCTCCTTGTAACACGCGATTTATCCCTTATAACATGCTAACCTCTTACTCCTTACCTTCTCTACCATTAGGGCTGCTCTGAAACTTTCTCTAATATACTTATTTCGGGTCTTTAATAAACCTTTTATTGCAATAAAAAATTTTAACCTACGCGAAATTAATACTCAAAGACATCGCAATGGTCGGCAAACTTATTAGTCAAAATGAAAAAAAAAAATAAAAAGTTGCTGACCACTGGCATAGACAATAACCGCGGTAGCCCTAAAAATATGTAACTAATCAAATAAAAGTACGTAGGATATGATAATAGTATGGTCAATTTGACCATAGTTTTAAAGATATGTTTTACCATGCGCTGTCCGTGCTTGAGGTACTCCGGGTGCTTGATGAAGCGGAAGCGCACGAGCGCCTTGTCGCCGGTGCGCAGGCAGTCGCGCGACATCGACAGGATCGACGCCGTCTGCCGGATACTGCCGCAGTGCACTGCACAACAGATATTTAACATAATAATAATACACAAAAAATAATAACAAACATATACTATTTTTTACACATTTAAGAAAATATGGTAGTCTATGATTTCTTCAAGAAATTAAAAAAAAAGGAGCTTATAATATTCACCTACCCAGCATCTTCCCAGCAATTAGAAGACTTTTTTAAAATTGGTTTTTTGGCTATTGGAGTTCACTAGCAATTTTTATAGATAATTGATTTTTTGACTAAGTTACAACATTGGATTGTGATTTGTCAATGTGTATGTACCCATGGCCTGATATCTGGAGGAAATGGTGGTCGGGTGGTGCAGTACGAGGATCTCCCCCTCGAACTGCCAGCACGCCTGCGGGTTCAGCGCCGGAGACACCATCACCATGCCCTTGCGAATCTGGGACCGTTTTATCTATAACATCAAGGTTAATTACAAAAATAGCAAAAAATAAAACTTAAAAAAAATTGGCAATATTGTTTCTTATGAGGTAGTAGTAGCGCGACTGTGTTGTGTTTGGTGGTTATGTTGTGTATAAGCGTGGTTGTATTGTGTTTAAGCGTGGTTGTGTTGTGTTTAAACACGTTTCTGTTGTGTATAAGCGTGGTTGTGTTGTTTTTAAGCGTGGTTGTGTTGTGTTTAAACACGTTTCTGTTGTGTATAAGCGTGATTGTGTGGTTTTTAAGCGTGGTTGTGTTGTTTTTAAGCGTGGTTGTGTTGTGTTTTAGCGTGGTAGTGTTGTGTTTAAGCGTGGTTGTGTTGTTTTTAAGCGTGGTTGTGTTGTGTTTTAGCGTGGTAGTGCTGTGTTTAAGCGTGGTTGAGTTGTGTTTAAGCGTAGTTGTGTTGTGTTTAAACGCGGTTGTGTTGTGTTTAAGCGTGGTTGTGTTGTGTTTAAGCATGGTTGTGTTGTGTTTAAGCGTGGTTGTGTTGTGTTTAAGGATGGTTGTGTTGTGTTTTAGCGTGGTTGTGTTGTGTTTTAGCGTGGTTGTGTTGTGTTTAAGCGTGGTTATGTTGTGTTTGATACCTTCTTGAGCGCGAAGCTGGCAGTCTGTCCGCCTCGCACCTCCGGCACGGGCATGCGCTTACGGTGTATTCCACGCACGGCGACCGGCGCGAACCTGCCCAGCGCGTCCGGCCCCAGCAGCAGCGTGTCGTTCAACCGGATGGTGCCTGCCAGCGTCGTGCCCGATACCACTGTGCCCACACCCTATAAGAAACGCTTTTTCAAATATCTTAGCATTCATTTACACTTACAGCGCACTTAATATAATGTTCGGCACAGCAAGTGAAAAGTTACAAAATTCATTCATTCACATAAAAATAACATATTAAACCTAATAATTTTTAATTACATAAGGTACAGAAATAAAAAAAAGATCCACCTGATTAAAACTAAAAAGATTTCACTAAGGACGCATAGGGTTTCTACAGCAGAATCTTGATAAGTAAAAGTTCAAGGGAAACATAAAATATTTTAAGTTATAGAGGTTATGGGCTCTGATAGGAAGGCAACATATTATTTTTTAAAGTTAGATAGGTTTTTAAGTTAACGAGGTTTGAGTTGTCGAGGTTATACTCACGGGCACGGAGTAGGTGTCGTCTATCTGGAACTCCGCCGGCTTGTCGTCGTGCGCCGGCATGCGCGTCTTCAGCAGGTTGAGGAACATCGTCAGCAGCTGCAGGTTCTCACCGGTCACATTCGACACTTGGAATATGGGACATAGCCTGCGCAAATATATACAAAACTAGCTGTTGCTCGCGACTTCGTCCGCGTGGTACAAGAAAACATATGAAATATATAAATAACAAAAAAGTAAATATCCCGCGCGTATCGGACATTTTTTTTTTATAACATAAGGTGGCAAACGAGCAAGCGGCCACCTGAAACCGCCTAAATGGCGAAGCGACCGCTGCCCATAGACAACCGCAATTGCAGACGCGTTGCCTACCCTTATCCGAGAGAGGAGGAGACGCACATAAAGGAGATATTTCCACTTCCTATGCATCTCCTCCACTGTCAAATCCACTTTCCCTTCCCATCCTCTCCTTATGAGAAAAGGCTTGTAAAGAGTAAGGGACTTAAATTAGGCCTCCGGCACCACACTCATCAGACGAAACACGGAATTGCTTCCATTTCTCGCCTGTTTTCTGTGTGGTCGTGGTATTACTGGGGGCGTGCCGGCCTATTCGTGCTAAGATGTTAAAGCGGGCACTACCACTGTTACATTTTTCGGCGATGAACCTTATCCCATGTGTACTCCAGACTTTATTTTATATCTGACAAATTGCAATAAGATATTGAACCGTAGCAGAAACTTTAACAAACATCCATCCATCCATCTAAACTTTCACATTTATAATATTAGTATAAAGTATGACTAGCCGTTGCTCGCGACTTTAACCGCGTGAAATTAGATAATAAAAAAGGTAGCCTGCGTTAATTATAGATAAATGACATTTCTAATTGTGAAAGTATTTTTAAAATCTGTTCCGTAGTTTTTACGTGAATTAAACACATACAAAAATATAATACAAATCTATCATCTTTAGTATATATACAAAACCAAAATTTAGGTTTTTCATGAGTGTGTGAATGTTACCTCTGTGATACAAAGTTGGTGGCGCTGACGATGACGTCATCCTTCGTCTTAACCATGACGGGCACCTTCCGGCATCCGGACGACTTCAGAATCCTGATCAGCATCTTCAGATTATCCTGTTAAACCGACAAAATACCAATTAATATTGAATTACTTCACTTAAGTTATGTATAAATCTATGTGTAAACTAAAAAATAATTTATATAATAGCAGTCGCCCGCAACTTCGTCAGGGTTGAATTAAAAAAAACTACTAAATTAGTAGGTCTTGTGATCTTCCATTGCCAACTAACTTCAGCGAGATCCGATCTGGAGATACATAGTAACAAACATCTATCTAAACTTTTTCATTTATAATATTAATAAGGAGCAGATTTTAAGTTGAATTGTACCTGCAGCACATTCGGCGGGCACATGTCAATCTTGGTGACAACAACGAACACGGGCACTGACAGCGCCAGCGCCAGCCCGAGGTGCTCCTTCGTCATGCCCACGATACCAGCGTTCGCTCCAATCTAAATTACAATTTCTTTACCAACAACATTCAAATAACATGCAAAAACAATCATATTTTAAAATGGTCCTTCGAGCCGGATCCTCAAAATCACTAATAGCACAATAAATTATTTTAAAACACGTGTTAACCTGCACATATCGGCGAAGATATTCAAAGATTTGTGTGAAGTCAACAGGGAGTGGGCCAGTGTGGTTGACTAAGGCGTAGCCTCCCTAACTTAGGGTAGGCTTTGAACCCCTCAGTGGCGACTTACAGTGAGTTGGTGAACTTAACAAACCATTAGCATGCCAAAGTCAGGCGCGTGTCCTGTCATTCCGAAGACGGTGGTCTTGAGGTACCGCTCGTGGCCTGCCAGGTCGATGAACGTTATCACTTTGGACGACTTCTCGCAGATCTTTACCCAGTCCAGTGTACCATGGTCCGGCTTGTTCACTACATTACCTATACACAACGAAATCATAGTTTTTATTTAATTTAATAAATTGTCCAATAGTGTCGCATCGAAATATCAATTTAGCATAAAGTAACAGATTTAGATTTGACATGGGCATTCAACACAAAGACTTTCTAACAAATATACTGTTTATTATGTTTAAAAATGCAAAAGTACACCACGGATCAAACTTTTGGGCACTTTTTATTGAGTTCTAGATAGACGTACGTACCCATGCTGTCGAAGCCGAGGATATCGTTGCCGACGGAGCTGGTACGACCACTCTCAAGTTCATGCTTGTGCCGGAAGAGCCGCTGTCGCGCGTGTCCTCGCCCGTTGTCCAGTTCACCGTGCGTCAACACGCCTAGCAGTGTCGACTTGCCCGCGTCAACATTACCCACCACAGCAACCCTAGACAGTACATACTAAAGTTAAGAAAATCAGTACTGGACTGGAGGATCTCCGTAACACTTGATCATTGATATAGACGAAGTCGTAAGCAACAGCTAGTTCAGGATAATTAGGATTAAGCGCGCCATTCTGGCGGGAGTTAGTGGTCTGAGTGTTGAAGTAAAGTACGCTGTTGCGATTGTATTAATGTCTAAAACTAGGAATCCGCAAATTAGTGATGGTCAACACGAGTTCGTAACTCGAGTCGACTCGAGTTGAATTCTCTTTAACTCGAGTTCGAAAACCGAATGGAACCGACATGGAGCTAAGTTTGACCTCTGTGAAGTTAGCCCCCTCACTTTCTTTTTTTTTTTACTTTTTTTATGTAAATCGTTTAAAAATAGTTAGAGAGAGTTAAATCGAGTTACGTTTATCCCGAGTTGGCACATCACTACCGCAAATACTATAGGATACAATCGGATCTTCGAAATAGAAAATCTTACAAAGTCCAATTACATATATAATATAATAAAAAACCAGTAATGTATATAAATGTCTTATTTAAAACATAAGCAATAAGTCTTATCAAATTAAGTTTATCAATGTAACTTCTTGATTAGGTAATTGTCTATTTGAAATTTACTAAATACTTTATTGATAAGAATTCAAATGTAATTTAAAAAATCGAATAGTTTTTTAAATGCACTGTTAATGTTAGATTATGCGAAAAAGTTAAAAAATTGTGTATGCCTTATAAACTATAATGTAATTTATAGCAATACTGACCGTATCTCCATAAAGTCAGTATGATCAAGTTCAGTCCGGAGCAAGTACTGTCCGACAAGGCCAGTGCCGCAGTCCCAGCGGCGCAGCTCCACACACGAGACTTTCTCTCCGCTAACCAGCGACTGAAGTGTTGCCACAGATGCACTGTACTCATCCTCCGTCAAACCTTTGCCATCTAATTACATTTACAATAATTACATCTTGTTCTGAATAAAGCCTTTTTTATAAATATCTAACTAGTTGTTCAACCCTGTAACTTCGTCTATGAAAACTATGTAAAATATTCAAGTTTACTAGTTTTTCTTTTTTTATGAAATCTGAAGTAATTTCGCTGTGAAGATATTATGAAGAAAATTTTCAATTATTTAACTTTTAATAGTTTTCTATTATTACATAATTTTACATAAGATTGCATCATCATCATCATCATCTCCCCTGCCTTATCCTACTCCCGTAGGTAGGGTTGGCGCACCGGGATTTCGTCCTCCAAAGCACTCTATCATCCGTCATCTCAGTCATCACTCCCTTCTTGATCATGTCACCTTTCACACAATTCATCCATCTCTTTCTAGGTGATAAAGAAATATGATTGCATCATGATTAAATTATTAACATTTGTATTAAATTAAATTACATGTGTAATGCAGATTTTCCTTAAAGGTAAAGTCTGTGTCAAGATTATATTTAAACAAACCTTCCCCTTGTCCAATATCATAAATAATTTCTCCATTTCCAGCTTCCATCCTTTCTAGCAGCTGTTTCCTGAGCAGGTCATATTCATCAGCTGTTGGACTTACCAGTATCATCTACAAAGATTTATTTTTGAAAAATATACAGTACAAAAATCACTGAATTATGAAGGATAGGCCAAGAATAAGCATATGACAGGGAAAAAGTGTTCCTTGCTACAGAACATAGATCCGAGCCGAGATTTTTTTTTTAAATATACATATAGCGCAAAGATATAAATGAAAAAAAAAATCTCTCTATTGTAGTAAATTGTTCTATTATTATGATTATAGTAATTGAATTTAGAATTCAGTTTGTTACTAAAAGGACTTTAAAAAAATCAATCAAAGTCCATTTAGTTTTAATTCAAAATCTATTTTGATTTAGGGTTAAATATAAATAGAAACATACTTTGTAAATATTGCAAACGATGGAAGTAGTTGTACAATATGCATTAAAATTTCATCAGACTATGCATTTGTTTTTATGAAATTTAGTAATCTTGTGCAATATTTTTATTATTCTGAAATTCTTATGATAATTAACCGTTTAATTTATGTAACAGAGAATTAATTTTGCAAATGTTTTAGCGTTTCAGCTTTTTTGAATTTGGCGGCATAAATGAGCGGGAATTTTTCTAATAAGATGAAAAACAATAACATACCTTTCCTCTTATACTCGAGTAGTCAGTTTCGCTCTCCGCAAAGCCCTCAGCCTCTGATAGTGGACTTCCATCCACGGGTGAATCCATTATTTTATCCATATCTTTGTAATATAGTTTGGTCAGGCGTAGACGAAATTTTACACCATTATGTCACTAAAATACTTCGAACCGCACACCTTTGTGGAAATTTCGCTATAAAATGAAAAACGTACTCTTTGTGTTACGCTAATATTGTGAACTATACAAATTTGAGTTCCTGTAAATTCCCAGACCTTTTTCGAATATTTTATAACACAATATACAAATAAAAATATACAATATGATCGAAATTCTACTGCTTAGGCAAATGGAATACACTTACATTACAACTACAGTAAAGTTATCATCAAATTATCCAACTAGTAAAGAAAAGTAAATAACTATATGGTGTAGAAGAAAATAAAACAGATGGACAGATGAAATGCCAATTGCCAACTTTTTGACAACTCAGCTTGAGCGATTCTTAAGCGCAGGCGCAACTTCTTTTTTTATTTTTCCGCCTTAGTAACATGTATTTCCACCCCTTCAAAAACTAGTCACTATAATTTGTTCGTTGTGTATCTAAATATTCTATAATTCTTCTATAAAGTATCTCTTTAAAGAAAATAGGTGATACTACTTTTTTGCGTCTTGTTTACCGACTACTGGAGTTTAGAAACGCTAAACCGTCCACGAAATGTTCATATTCTTAATGTTCTATATTAATTCTATGTCTACGCTTAAGAAACAATGTTAAACGGTCTAAATCCTTGCCTATTTAAGGCGCTTAAGTTGGCTTAAGTGCCCAAATATCGTCCTACTTGAACATCGGCGGTTTACAAAGGTACATTATATTGTTGGTAACACTAGCTGTCAAACATCACTGTCAAGTCAAATGACATCCATCTGACATCGCCATTACATTTGCATCCAAGCAATTGTTTGTTTGATAATATTGTGCAAATTTAACCTTTTGTGTACGGTCAATTAATATGTGTGATTAATTGTGCGAATTTTGTTGGGGATTAGAGTAAAACAAAGTTTCTTTAAGTTGCTTTATTTATTTTTAAATCATAAAACAAACAAGTAATGCCTAACTCTTGAAAACACTTTAATTTTTGCCTTTTCTAAGATGATACTTTGGATATCCTTGTCTTCGAACAATCAACATGGGTAATGTACATCAAGAATTAATTCAATTAAAATGTATTTTCATATGTAACTGTGTGGGGTGAATGGATCTCAAAGTTAATGGACTGTTCTCATGATTTTACTGTGATATGCCTCTAAAAAAAGGAAGTTATGGAAAGTGAAAATGAAAATACGAAATCTGAAACTTGTTTATCATTGCCCGGAATAGTAGTTAAAACAGAACATGATGTTATAACGGAATCAAATATTTATCAAATACAGAACAATACAGAACCAAAGGCAAGATCACTTGCAAAAGATAGTTATTTTTCATCTTATCTTAACTTATTTCCAATTTCGAGTGCAACGAAAATTAAAAAATGGGGAAACAGTACCCGATTTAAAAATGAATCTCAAGAAAAACGTGCTGCACGTTTAGCGAGAATGTCGGCGCGGGCTGCTGAGAGGATCGCAGCTGAGAGTCCAGAACAACGCCAAGAACGACTGGCGAAAATATCAGAGTACAGCGCAAAAAGGCTAGCCAATGAAAGCCTTGCAGAACGATCGTTAAGACTTAAAAAAATGTCAGTATATACAGCAAGCAGAATAGCACAAGAAAGTGACAAACAAAGGACTGAGCGCTTGAGTCGTATGGCAGAATACAGTGCCAAAAGGATTGCTAATGAAACAAAAGAACAAAGGCAGGCACGATTGCTTAAGATGTCTGCTTATTCTGCTAGGAGACGGGCACTGAAGAAAGCTGCAGAGTGTAGTCAAATAAATGTAATAGGGCATTTATAAATCAGAGTAAGGACTGAATATGTTTATCTTACTTGGCAACATTAATCTTTTGTTAAGTTACCAAGTAACCAACTTAACTAGTAATGCAAACCCAAAAGTATTATAAAAGTTTACAGAAAAAAGCAAATGGTATACATTGTCATTAATTACTTAAGTGATAAATTTTTTACTTAAATTATTGTTTCATAAATAGTAAATTTTAATGGATTTTACTTATATGTAGGTTTTTGCACCAAATTGAAAATCTGTAATATCTGCCTACCCTTATGTGTAAAAGTGCAAGTGCATGTTTATATATTAAATTATTTGCATTTAAATTGTATTTACTTTGAGACTGATATCTATTTAACCTAGGATATTTTAAAATCTTAATATTTAAAGATTCTACCATTTTTTTTTTTATTTTTGTACAGTGACTGCTGTTCTTTGAATAAATAAAAGAAGTTTTTTTTATCTGCTAGTTTTGGTTATTTTATAACATGTTGACTTGTAGATATATGTCACTTGACACTGGCCCAATCTGCTAAGGGGAGCCATAAACAAGAAATAGATTTATGCATACATAAACACTGTATAGAAAGTTATATTAACACCAAGATACTTGATATTTTCATATATTTTATTAAGGACTAGCTTTCGTCCGCCATGGAATTTAAAAAAATCAAAAGCCTATGTGTTCTTCCAGATTATCCTCTATGTCTATACCAAATTTTATCGAAATCCGTACAGCTGTTTAGGCTACAAACTCTAACAAACATCCATCCATCTGAACTTTCGCATTTATAATATTAGTATGAAGTATGATTTAAAAATAAAACAAATCCATTATAATACAAAATTTTAATCACATAAACAATTTAATCCATTACATGTTCGATAGAAACTAGACAAATATTTTTTTAGTTATTAAAGACAACTACGCCACTTAAAAAATATAATAATGAAATACTTAATACTGCCATTTAATTAAATGTTATCAGTATTGTACAATACTAGACAAAGATATTTAAATGAGATTCTTGCATCAGATATATCTTAACTAGCTATCGCCCGCGACTCCGTCAGCGTGATAAAAAAAAGTAGCCTATGTGTTCTTCCAGACTATCCTCTTACATATATACCAAATTTCATTAAAAATCCATTCAGTCGTTTAGGCTACAAATTCTAACAAACATCCATCCATCTAAATTTTCCCATTTATATTAGTATGACGTATGATTTCAAGTCTACGCAACAATGTTACACTTACAATAAATGTAAATTACAATTAAGTGTGAAATAAATATAATTTTTCTTATTTACTACACTATAAAAGATTTATGAAAATTAAAACAATTGTTTCCAGAAACATCTATCTTACTATAAACATAAATAATATCAAATTAGATTACCTGTGAACCAGTAATTCTTTAACATATATTTATATACATTTTTCTTAATTTAAAACTCTAATACGCTTTTTGTTAACTTCAATGTTATTATAGATTTTGATTTTTTGCTATTTACAAATTATTATCACATATAAATTATTTTTTATTATCTAAACATAACAGATACATGGAACTACAGCTACTATAACATATTACTTACATATAGTAAACAAGTTTTTAATAATTTTAACTTTTTTTTAATAATCTTACAATCTCAGATCTACCAAATAACAATGAAAAACACTACTTCATATACTATAATGGAATGTCAGTTTAAACATCTAAAAATGTTTTATAACTTTCTACTAAAATTATACGAAAATTATTCAATTACATGTCCGTAGCCAATCGACATAACCATTAAAGTTCTCCCAACACCAAATATTTATAAAACTACTGGTTACTATTGGAATATTGAACAATTACGAATATTTTACAAGTATCAGAGTAATTCACTACAGACACATTCTTTTCTTGTATAGTGCATAAAAGATAATACAAATTAATTCCAGAGATGTTAAGACATTTGTGGTCGTCCTAGCGCTTAAAGGAAAAACATTAAACTGTTGATTTATATCCTGCCAAGTCACGTGATACTCGCTCATTACAAAATGGTCTGTATTACAATATCAGAAGGGCGAGAGTGGTGTGTCGGGAGCGTGGCAGGAGAGGGCGAGTCGCTAGCAGGGCTCTGCCGGCAGCGGCGCGGCCAGCAGCTGTCGCGACGATGACGTAGAGCTGTACGACTCGCCCGACGACCGCGCGCTCCACTGGCTCAGAGGAGTGCCTAAATACAACCTTAATGTCTAGTAACTAGGTCTATATTGCAATGGCACAATTCAGAATCTGAGTGTATTTTACGTTATATGTTGTCTATTCCATTTATAATGCTTTAATACTAACCCGTCATAATTTTCTGGTTATATCGATGCAATCTGATGTTTGAAGACTTTTGTTCATTTGATACAAGTTTCCGGATGTGGGATTTTTAAAGAAAATAATTATTTACTATCTATAAACTACACACAATTGTATTCTAATAGAAACATGCCGATAAAAGGAATAAATGACGGGAACCGTGACGCTATTTGTAAAAAGCCTTTCCATAGATTTTAAAAGCGCACTAGACGGGGGTAATAAGAAAAAAATCGCAATATTAAAGTAACATGCACATAAGTTTTATTGCATAAAATATGAACTAAAAGGACTTTAAGCTGTCATACCTGGCAGCGAGGTGACGTGGTGCGGCAAGGCCCAGCGCTGCGGCGCCTCCGCCCCCGCGGGGGCCGCGCCCTCCTGCAAGGAACCGCCACGTACAAGGGACAACCATACTAACTTAAACGCTACTACTACACAACGATTATAGCTGGAATACAATATTTCACTGACAACAGTGGCGCTACAATCTAAAGACGATTTTGTCTATGGTCAAATACATTTTTAATAAAATTTCAACATTTTAGCATAATTTAAACAACAAACATATTCCAGCTATATTAAAAATAAAATGACGCAACGAGCTATGACAAAATAAAATGGATGCAACGAATATAAAAACCAGAACGCGCAAAAGAAAGGCTTAGGGCAAGCGGTAGGAGGCGATGCGATGCGATGCGATGCGATACGATGACTTACAGGCCTGGCGGCGCGCGGCCCGCTCAGGATGGTGGTGGCGGGCTCCTCCGGCGTGAAATAGTCGGAGTCCTCGGCCGCCGGGGACGCCCCGCTCGGCGACCGGCCCAGCGCTGCGTGCCAGCCACACTGGTAACTAACACGCCCCACACCACACCCCACACCCCACAACCATAACCTACCCCATACCACCCCACAACAAACCTACCTCAGATAACTCTAAACTATCTCGTGGTAATTAGTTTGTGAACATGGCGTATGTAACTGTGCCCAAACAACCCAATCGTGGCAAGAAACCCGTATTACGAACATTAAATCGATTGGTTTTTTTCACTAAATTTTTCGTTAAATTGCCTAATTCCAGATATGTATAAATTTCAACACCCATAAAAGTATTATTCCGTACAGTTAGTATCAAATATGCAGCTTTCCAAAATATTATTAATGCATAACAATTCGAATATCATTTTAATGTTAAAAATAATCAAATATGCCAATAAACATTCAACAAGCAGTTGAAGTATGGATGCAGCCATGAACTTGGCACAATTTAAACGTCAAATGACTTTCGATCAGCTCAAATGGAAACGTTTTGACTTGTTCAACGGAAGCCGATTCGATAATGTACGCGACATGCAGCGCGATTGCAATGGCGGCGGAAAATATTACCTCAAAAATTTCTTATAAACTTCTGAAATTCTAAAAAAAATTATTAACCTAATTCATAATTGATTCTAACGCCACTATGCTGTAAATTAAAAGGTTTATTCCACTAGAAGTCGACACCTTAATAAAGTATGAAATTCTATTCTGGTATAACTTTATACATATGGCCACTTTGACCATACGAATGTTAGAGTTTCCGCCACCAATGCGCGTAGCAACATGCGTGTCACCCGGTCCCGCAATACAGACATACAAGTGTGATACTGACAGTTGTGCGCCGTGTCCGCCTCCTCCGTGTCGGTGTCGTCGATGTGCGCCAGCGCCGGCGCCGCCAGTCTTAGTGCGGCCCCGCTGTTCTTCAATACCTGAAAACAATCGAACTTAATCTTACTAATAAATACGCAAGTTTTTATAGACGGATGGATGGATGTTTGTGGCCTAAACGATCGAACGACTCCCAATTAAATTTGGAATAGATGTAGAGAAAAGTCCGGAAGAACTCACAGCCTACTTCATTATATTTTTTATTTCCACATAGTCGCGGGTAAAAGCAAGAAATATTTTGCGAAAGTTTGTTTGTATAGATTGATAGAACGATGGATGGATGTTTGTTACTAAGTATCTCCACGGCTTAACAGATCTGCTGAAATTTGGCATAGATGTAGAACATGTTAAAGAAGACCATGTAGGCTACAACTTAGTTTTTTTTTGTTTAATTCCTATGTTTTACCAAGTCGCAAGCAGACTAGTTATGTATTAACAAATATTATTAGTGAGATCGGCATTATGCAAACTTGCGTCGTAATGTATGTATACCGACCCCATTAACAGGCAGCGTGGGGGCGGTCTGCGTGAGTAGCGGCGAGCGGCGCTCGGCGTCGCTGTCGGGCTCCGCCCCCGCGGTGGGCGTGGCCTCGTCGTCGGAGGCGCAGGCGGAGGTGGCGGAGCCGGCGCGCGACGCCGCGCGGGACTCGCCCTCCGACACTCCGTGCGAGTTCAACGAACTCTGCGCAAATACAAACTTAATACTTAATTAAATAGTTAGCCCTTAACCTTCGAGAGTCTACTTATATAGGTTATATATTTTCGCGATACTTATTTAGGGGTATATATATTGTAAAAGTCGTCATAGCATAAAAGTAAGATCGCCATGGTAACGGTTTTTGTTAGCTAAAGGAAATTCAAAAAGAATTCTGAACACATGTAAACAATAAAATAAAATTTTTATAATAACAAATGCGGACAAAGCACCTCGGGCACAGCTATGTACTGCAATATTTATAATTCCATATTCGTACAAGTGTACCTTGGACAGTTTGTCAGAGGAGAGTCCGTTGTGGTTGTAGAGCAGCGGGCTGCTCGCCACCGCCTTCTCCTCCGCGCGCTTCGCCTCCTCCTCGCGCGCCAGCAGCACGGACATGCGGAACTGAACACAGCACTACTCTTATAATATACGTTCTATTCAAAAAATTGTTATAACGATTCTTTCTTTCCTGGGCCAGTTTTTTAACCGGCGTCCTTTAATAAATACGGCGCTCTCTAAGTATCAAACAAAGCCCACATGAAGGCGCCTTGGTCTCCTTCCTTTTTGGTATGGGGGAAACGTCAAAAGATACCCTGCTTTCTGGGAACACATTTTTACACAAAAATTAACACTAAAATCCCCTTGGTGCCAGCCTCATGCAATAGAAAAGGCTTCCGCGATCTCCGTAAAACTCACCAGAACACATCGATATATTCTAAAGCCCTTACTGAGTTTTTTGTGTTCTCTAAATACCTCCGGAGTGAGCGGCTGGTGCGGCGGGCGGGCCTCCTTGGAGCCGCGGCGCGCCTTGCGACTGCCGCCGCTGCCCAAGCTCGTGGAGGAGCTGCGCTCGCGCTCCACGTTGCAGCGGTTCAATATCTCCGCAGCCTGAGGTATGAAGCCATAATCCATCAGCATTTCAGGTTTGCTACCATTTTTCAAAATTATAAACCAATGAGTAGTATTTGAGTTTTCCTTAAAAAAATCGTACTGAAAGTCCGACATATTTATCCTGAAGTCGGCTTTAATTTTATTTTAGTTACAAATAGATTATTCTTGTTTCCTATCGAAGTGGGAAACCCTTCGAGATATGGTCAGAAGGAGTTGTCGAGAGCCTCAGGAATGATGAAACGATGCGAGAGAAACAGAGAGAGAGAGAGAGAGAGAGAGAGAGAGAGAGAGAGAAAGAGACAACGCTTACGTTTGTAAAGTTTTGTGAAATGTGTGTTTGTATGTGGGGGGTGGAGTGGGGGTACCTGTGAGGCAGTATCAGTGTCGGGGCTGGCGATGGCGGGGGCGGGTGCGGGCGCGGGCGGGGGGCGCGCGCGCGCACTCGGCCCGTTCAGCGCCTCCAGCAGCGACACCGGCTCGTACCCCGCGGGGATGTTCTCCATACTGCCCTGTACACAACAATTACAAATAAAACTATTTCTGAACTCTTTATCATCGTGCTGTCCTTATCGCACTATATGTGGGATCGTGTACAATATTTATGTCCTACAGATGTGGTGACCCCTATAATGTTATGAGGCTCAGATAGCTTAAAAATAACGTCACTGTCAGATAAGTAACATAATCCGATATTTCCATCTCATGTTTTACACTGTTATGAGACAATTTAGAATTTGGTGGAACAGGCCCTTAATTCATATTATTACATCTGTAGGGTTGTTAGGCGGCAGCAGTCCGGGCGCGGCGAGTCTCTGCAGCGCTCGTATCTGCAGCAGCGCGCGGAAGGGCGCGCGGCAGATGGGGCAGTTGTTGGCCTGGTAGCGCAGCGAGTCCGCGCACGAGTTGCACAGGCAGAGGTGTCTGCACGGCAGTATCAGCGTGTCGCGCACGTCGCACATACATATCACGCATTCAGAACCACCGTCTTCGGTCTCCTCGTCAGAACTAGGCTGTGATTACAAGAAAAAAAGTATATATACATAAATTACTTACTGTTGTCCGCAACTTCGCAAGAGTCAAATTAAAAAAGCAATAAAAAATACAGTCCATGTTGCTCACTGATAACAGCTTTTTAATGGTGAAAGAATTTTTGAAATCAAGGAGTTTTTGAGTTATCCCAATACATACAAAAACACAGATCTTTTCCGTTATACTAGCTGTTACTCGTGACTTTGTCCAAGGGGAATTAAAAATTAGTAAGTACTCTGTGCAAAATTTCATCAAGATATCTTTAATAAACATCCTTCTAGACTTTTGCATTTATTTAGTAAAATCTTCAAGCATTTTTCAGGTATTCGAAAATTGTTAAAAGGGAGGGCACAGTATAGTTGTAAAGCAAGAAATAAATGTTACTGATATACGAAAAATCTTGCTGAGACTTTGATAATTTAAAAATTTGATCCTAAAATGAATAAGCTTACCTTTGTATCTAAATTCTTGTTCTCAATGCCATATATTTCTTGTAGCAAATAACATAATCCATCAACAAATAACTTTTGCTTCAATGCTTTTAAAACATATGTCCCATCGGAATGTTTTTCTATAATAGCTATTGTAGTATGAGATTGGCGTATTTCTGAAAATAAAACAATCTTGATTACGATAAATATAGCATATTGTTTAAGTGGATTTAAACAAAACTTGAATTCATTTGAACTACAAGATTTTGATTCTAGATAGCTATCACATTAATATTATAAATGTGAAAGTTTAGATGGATGGATGTTTGTTACAGTTTATAGCCTAAAGGGCTGAACGGATTTTTGATTAAATGTTTGACAGTGGTAGTGCCCGCTTTAACATCCCGGTGTAATACCACGACCACATAGTAGACAGGCGTGAAATGGAAGCAATTTCGTGTTTCGTCTGATGAGTGTGGTGCCGGAGGCCTAATTTAAGTCCCTTTCTCTTTACCACCCTTTTCTTATAAAGAGAGGGTGGGAAGGGGAAGTGGATTTGACGGTGGAGGAAATGCATAGGAAGGGGAAATATCCTCTTTATCTATGTCTCCTCCTCCGTCGGATAAGGGTAGGCAACGCATCTGCGATCGCGGATGTCTGTGGGCAGTGGTCACTTTGCCATTTTGGCAGATTCAGGTGGCCGCTTGCATGTTTGCCACCTTATGTTATAAAAAAAAATTGTATAGATGTAGAGGACAGTCTGGAACACATAGGCTACTCACTTTTGTTTTTTTTAATCCACGCTGGATCACGGGTAAAAGATAGTTGCGTTATAAAAACATTACTTACTGCTAATTTTAGTAGTTTTGGTAATGCATTTTATTAAATAGTATAATGATAAGATACGAAATTAATCAATTTCTATAATAAACAGTAAGCATAATCTTTTATCTAATGTAGCGTAATAAAAACGAACCTTCCTGTCCTTCGTCAACAACACAGTAAATAGCTATAGGAATTATTTCTCTGTCTGCATTATATATCAAGTCTTCCTCCGGATACTTTGATGGGTCAAATACATGTGAGATCTGACAAAACTGCTGATTGGCACCTTTCTTGTAATGATATGTCTGTGAAGTCATTGTAGGATCTCTGGGATAGTACCTATAAAATTTCAACAATGCACAAAGTTTCTTTTCCTTTTAAAGCATTAAAATTTTATAATCATTTAGGAAAAGAAATATAATGGACTAATAATTCAATACTGAAATGAAATTTAAATTTGTATCAGCTTATTAAACGACAAGCTATCACTCTCTACTTCTTCCATTTGGAATTCAAAAACATAGCCTATGTTACTCATTGATAATGTAGCTTTTTAATGGTAAATTTGAAATTGGCCCAGTAGTTTATGAGTTATTCCTATACATACAAAAAAACAAATCTTTCCTCTTTATAATATTAGTATAGATTTTTATGTCTTATAAGATTAATTTTATATTCAACTGTCAGACCATTCAAAGGCTAATGTACTTACACAACACCAGCCGGAGTCACCTCTTCGGTACAGAAATAGAATACAGTGATAGCACATCTAGCATCACAGTCAAACGTAAACTCAATGTTGTAATATGTCCCTTTAACATTACAGTCTACACTTTTGATCATTCCATCACTAATCTTGTTATCATTTAATTTACCCACTGGTTCTGGACATCGGACAAATCTTAATGATTCCTTTCTGATGTTTACTAAACTTTTCAATGTCTTTGTTGGTTCGTTTGATTGAGGTGGAGGGTATGGAAACTGAAAATAAGATATAGTATTAAAATGTGTACTAAAAAGCAGTAAACACACTTATGCCTAAGATTTATTTGCCAGATTGTTTATGAGATCCTTTAATATTAATTGTTGTAAATACAGCAATTTCAACATATAGTAATGATTACTATATTCTTTATTTCTCACACATTACAGCCTTACAAATGAACATTGGTAACTAAGAAAATTTAGCACTTACAGGAGTTGGTCTGCTCCCAAGAAAATTCAAGTCTGCATTCTCTCCAAACAAGTATGCTTCAGGCTGGGGAGTGTCAAACCGTTCTCCACCCATGATGAAATGACTTCCAAAGTAATTACCTAACAAAGAATAAGCCTCATTATGATTTATAAAAAAGTTGTAGTCCCAAAATAAAACAGCAAAAATCGTTTAATCGATTAATGTTTATTGAAGTTCAAAAATGGCAATATAAGGCCATGTCCAATGTAGTGCTATCTCTGATTCAATTTGTAAATCCGATACTATCGCGAAAATCTAATGAAAAACAATCTAGCTCAGTACAAATAGGATAAAGGTCATGCGAACCAGATCTGGGTGGATATTTGTACGCATGATTAGAAACCACATCTGCCTCTTCAACACCAGCATTTTGTCTACTCGCTAGAGCACCCATGTTATTTTTTACAAAGTTTTGCACAAAAAAACAAATTCAATGTTGGAAAAACAACTTTTTTCACAATACTTCAATATACAAACAAACTCGTATTTTCAATTCAACAAAATCAATGATAAATTATAAATTGACATTTGATAATTTGACAATGACATTTATACGCAAACATCACAGATTAAAAACACATAGTTCACAGAGTCTGAAAAAACCGCGATTAAACCAAAAGCGTTAAGTTTTTATTAATATTTATGTAACTGGTGGATTTCTTACATAAAAATAAACATTTCACCATTTACGGGAGCTTTTTCAAAAGATTTTTTTTACGGTAAATAGGGTTGCTGAAAACCGGAAAAACGTGAATTAAGCACTGCTCTTTAGTTGTCAATTGTCATTCTTGTCATCTTTCTTTTCCAAGGAAACGGTGTCACTTTGTGAAGGTAAAAATATTATTTCATAAAAATCTACTGTAATCCTTCAAAGTGTGCAGTATTTTATGGTGTGAATTTAAAGACACAAAGTTTATTTAATACTGATTATTGTTTTTGGTGTATTTCAGATCACAATGGGGCGCCGACCAGCAAGATGGTAATTTGTTTCTTTCATGCAATTGGTTGATAGTTTACTTATTTGTATTGTGTGATTTACTCATTTTTATTTTTAAATTTCAGCTATCGGTATTGTAAAAACAAACCGTACCCAAAATCACGGTTCTGTCGTGGTGTACCGGACCCAAAGATCCGTATTTTCGACTTGGGCAAAAAGAAAGCTGCGGTCGATGACTTCCCTCTGTGCGTGCACTTGGTGTCCGACGAGTATGAGCAGCTGAGTTCGGAGGCGCTAGAGGCGGGACGCATTTGCTGCAACAAGTATCTTGTGAAGAACTGCGGCAAGGATCAGTTCCACATTCGTATGAGGCTGCATCCATTCCATGTTATCCGCATCAATAAAATGTTATCGTGCGCTGGAGCCGATAGGTATGTACTAAATAGTTTTTTTTTTTTTTTAAAGTTTGAAAAGTGATAATATGAAAAGTCTCAGCAACTCCACAATTAGCACGTATTTTTACTTTGTGTCGTGTTTAGAATAGATAAATTGTTTTGATAAACTCGTAATGTATTTGTTTAATGATTTATAACCAATAAATACATTGACAACTACTGAAAAAAAAAATAGCTGTGAAAAGTGTTAACTTGTTAATTATTACATGATTTGCCATCCTATGTCCCCATAGATTATTGTTAGAACTTAATGCTTTCTATGAAATAATAACTATGTATTTATGGGTTCCTAAGTAATATAGCGGTGGGGTTATTTTAAAAACAGTGTATTGATGTATTTAATAACAGTTTAATTGATATGTGTTGTTGATGATTCATCAGCCGTTATTGCCTAATATTTTCACTTTACTAAAAAAGCATTGTCATCATCTTGATAGTAATACTTAGTATATGTCACATGTAATTAGTTTTCTGGATGGATAATTTATAAATTGAATGAGATGACATATGATAGGTATGTATAGGATAAAAACCTGGTTTGCCGACCCTATGGGAGTAGGATAAGGAGAAAGATGATGATGCTTTAAGATGTACTTAATATATTGCTAAATGCGAAACTTTATATGGATGGGTGTCTGTTACTATGAATTATCCAAAAGAGGCCAGCGGATTTTAATGAGTTATGGAACAGATTTAGAGCATAGTCTGAAAGAATGCATGAGTTAAGTTTATTTTTAAATTTCGCTCTTAACATGGCTGCAGACAAAGGCTGGTTTAAAATTAAAAGCTCAACTATCATATATTCTCATCACATATTTATTCCAGGCTCCAGACAGGGATGCGTGGTGCTTTCGGTAAGCCGCAAGGCACAGTAGCGCGTGTGCGCATCGGACAGCCCATCATGTCGGTGCGTTCCAGTGACCGCTGGAAGGCGCAGGTCATCGAGGCTCTGCGTCGTGCCAAGTTCAAGTTCCCTGGTCGCCAGAAGGTATGTTTAATTTACGTGTAAACATAAAGTGAGCAACAAACTTTTGACTAAACTATCGCACGCCTGTCTTGCGATTGCTAATAGTTATACAGCCAATTTAGCTGTTTAGTTCCACAAGTAAAAATCGAATAGTGTCCATACCTCCATATAAGCTCATAGAAATCAAAACAATACAGAACAGTTGTACAATATTTTTATGTGTAGAACAGATGAAAATTTAACACTTAAATGCAGTAATAATTATTAAATCTTTTTTTTAAATTTGTAACACTGGACTCATGAAAATGCCTAGTAGAAAAGTTGCACTTTATTGTTTATATTGAATTTCTCTTTCAAAACTATAAATATTACATTGCAGGATAATATATAAGTACGGCAAAGTGTTATAATGCCATAGTCAAAACTGCTTGAATGTGTTTTTATTACTTGACATTAAGCAGTTATAAAATTGTTTCTAGATCTATGTGTCGAAGAAATGGGGCTTCACAAAGTACGAGCGCGAGGAGTTCGAGCAGCTGCGCGATGACGGCCGGCTCGCCAACGACGGCTGCAACGTGAGGTACCGCCCCGAGCACGGCCCGCTCGACTCTTGGCGCAAGGTGCAGAACGAAATATACGCTGTGTAAATGTTTTACAACAATAAACATTAATTTGTAACATAATTGTATTTTATTCCAATCCCTTGTATCAACAGATTATTGATATATACTCTATGAATAAGAGTAATACATACTTTCATGCTAATATTATAAATGCGAAAGTTTAGATGGATGTTTGTTACAGTTTGTAGCCTAAATGGCTGAAGGGATTTCGATGAAATTGGTATAAATGTAGAACAACGATTCTCAACCACTGTGCCGCAACAAAAAAAGTTTGAGAATCACTGATGTAGAGGATAGTCAGGAAGATAATTCCGCGCGCACGGGATCGCGGGCGAAATCTAGTTACTAATACAAATGCGGAAGTTTAGATGGATAGGTGTTTGTTAGAGTTTGTAGCGTTAACTTCTGAATGATTCTCTAAAGGCATAGATGTAGAGGATAGTCTGGAAGAACACAGGCTACTTGATTTTGTTTTTAATTCCATTCGGAAGGAAGGTAGTAAATAAAAAGAAGATATGATTACTATTTTATTGGTTTTAGAACATTTCTTTGAAAATTAAAGTTATTAACAAATATACATAATATAATACACATGCCCTATATATTACTTCTTGCTATCTAAAAAAAAGATCAATAGATTTACAAGGTACTTTAGGTTTTTTCACAGGGGATCCTGAATTTCTTTTTCTCTTTTTAACACTGTTCTCAACACTATTGCTTTTAACTTTATTGTTTAGCTCTCTACTCAACTTTTGAGCTGCATGGAAGTCTAAATGTTCTCCAAATTTGTCCAAAGGCAACTTTTTTCCACATTCAGCACAAGTCTCAGTTGGTACATTATCATCCATTTTCATAAAATAACTAGCTATTGAGGAACCTTCGTTCTTTTTAACTTGTTCTTGTATTGGTTTTATTTTTGTCTCTCGGGTGGGATTGAACTCTTTTACATTACTTTTATCTGGAGCTCTTTCTTTATTTTTCTCTAAAACTTCTTTACGTCTAAGTAGTCTTTCTTCTTCTCTTAGTTTAAGGGCTAAATGATAATCAGCGTGAGTGTCAATTGTTTTAATATCGATTATTTTACCACATTCTGAACACTTGAATGTTTCTAAATTAGTTTCGCTACTTTGAATGAGTGTTTTGTTATCTTCTATACTATCTGTTAGAGGATCAGTTTCGTGAAAGGATTTTTCTATTGTATTAGATTTATTAAGCAATTGCCGCATCCTACTGACCCGGTCTACGTCTGGAGGATCGTCTTCGAATAACGAAATACTTTTATTAATTTCCATATCAATAGTAGAGCCAGAGTAATCAGTATCATTGCTTTCTTCTCCATAGTTTACATTACAATTTGGCGAAGGGTCTCTGATTTCGTCTATTCTATTAGTTTTATCTGAAGTGTTATGTTCATTTTTAAGAAACTTGGCAAAGAATGATTCTTGCTTATCTAGAGACGATTGTAAAATATTATCTTCGTTTGAATCGTTTTTGATTGCGCCTTTTGCATCTATTGGTGCATTTGAAGATGTGCTGGCAACATTTTTAAAGAATTTTTCGAAAATATGCTCTTTGCCTTCATTTTTCTTAACAATCTTTTCCTCGTTAATTTTTCTAGTTATTGTTTCTTTATTTTCATTTGGAACTTCTTTTATTGAAGATGCGAAGGAAAAGTAGTCTTTAATCTTTTTTATTTTCTTACTATCGGCGTGATCCTCAAACTTTCCTACACTTAGACCCAAGAATTTTATTGGAGCTTTCAACTGTCTATTTGGTTCTCCTTCTATGAAAAAACATAAACAAATTAATTTACATCTTAATCAATAACTCTGCTATGATAGATAATTCTATACCTTTAGGTTTGACTCCTTCAGTGCTGTCCAACAATAATTCGAGAGCTTTTTGACAGAAAAGTTCTGAGCAGAGATCATCATCTGCTATAAAATTGTATGACCGTGAGCTGCTGACGTCACGCCCATTCACCTGCTGCGAGAAACTCACTACCATCTGTCGCGGAGTTCTGTTAGTATCTAATGCATCTTGCTCCAACCTTTCTTCTATCTCATCACTTAGCTCTTTGAACCACTTCTTGATACTATCTAAGTCTGTGAGGGCTGTCTTCCCTCTGAATTGTTTACAACAGCCAATACTTTTAGGGTTAAATCTAGCTTGAACAGGCTCCAGGTCTATACCACGGGCAATATTGTAAAGCCACAAACTGAAAAAAACACATGTAGTAACATAATACTAAAACGGAAGGTGTACATTTAATGTGTTTAAAATCTATTTACCCATTTTTCTCATCAAATTTGTTCTGGAGTTCTGTTTTACTGAACTTCTGTAGTTCACCCATTTTGCTGATTTTTAATGTTCCACAAACACTGTATCCAAATTTACCGCCTAAATTTTTCACTTTCTTTACAGGCAAAGACCTAAAAATAGTTGTGTCTTTTTGATTAACAACTTAGTTTTTGAAGATCAGAAAAAGGGTAGATCTTGGACACTCACTCAAAAAGTATATCAATACAATGTTTAGGTAAAACAGTTTGTTTGTTTGGTTTATTCATTCCACAAACAAGTTTGGCCATTATCTTGTTATGAGCAATGCCTGCTGAACATTCATAACCTGAAAGGTTAAAGCATTCTATGAACTTCCTGTATATACTAGTATTATAAATAAAACATCACACAAATTACCAGTTTCATTAAACACAGCAGCCCTGATCTCACTCACAATAGTTGCGCCTACAAGCAATTGCTTTGCCTGTTCGTAATCAAAGTCTATATTGTCACTTCCGCAGCTCTGAACCTCTGATATGAAGTCATCTATACTGTCATATCCAAGAACAAATGTATTGGGTACCATTGTCTTTGTTAATGCATTTACATTCATTGTTTGCAATCTTTGTTGAACCTAGAAAAATAAAATAAGATACTAATATGGCAGAAAGTATTAACCTATATTTTTAGTACTTGTAATTCTTTGAATGAAAAAATATGTATAGATAAGGAATAATGAGTGTTAAAAAAAATGTATTTAAACTTACAGGAATAGTGATGTCTAAGTATGCTTCATCAATGGATGCCCTTTCAAACAGTGGTGTGAACCTCTGCAGTACTTTGGCCACCTCCTTACCAGCTTCTCTGTATCTAAACAATTCAAAGTTTAGCTGATATTAAAATGATTTTTTTAAATACATATATTGTTGATATTTTTTCTTAAGAAACAAATGAAATCTTTATTTAAATTTAAGACAATTTCTCATAATCTGTTTAGATGAGCAGGCTTTTTTGCTAAAATTTACATCAATTGTAAGTTTGTGCTTTTTGTGTACCGTAATATTTTTTTTCTTTATTTCTAACAACTAGTATCATAGTTGGTAAACTGTGCATAAATAGTAGAATAACATACTTAGTGAGATCAGCTTTGCCTCGTATACATGGGACATTGGGCAGCTGGATATCAGGGCACTTCTCCTTGGCTTCGTCTCCTCTCAAATGTCGACTCACCCCCATAGCCCTTGCCACATAATTTACTGCAATAATCCTGTCCAAACCATTTTATTGGGCATTGTTTTATTAAATTACTTAATAGTTAGAAATAATTATACCGTTCAATTTAATGTATTATAGGTTTTTAAGTGAACGAAATATTATGCAATACTTATTTACAAGTAATATGAATATGCCGCAAAGATTTTTGGATTTAATTAAAATTAGAACTGTAATTATTGACTTACACTATTATGCTAAATAATATTTACCCGCCCCCTTTCCAGGGATTGTATTGTACAACAGCTACGGGTTTCCCTTTTAATTCAGGATTCAGCTTTTCTTCAACTTGACAGTAAAAACAATCCATATCAATTAAAGTCACTATTCTATTTTCTTGATCCATGATTTTTATATTATTTATTTCACTGTTATCAATAAAAGGCCATGATTTAATAATTATTATATTAATAACAAGAAGTAATTTAAAACGTTTGCCGCTCTTTTAAGTTTATTGCACATTGGCAGTTGACATTTTATATTTTCCGTCAATGTCATGATGAATTTTACATAGATTAGCACATCCAAGAGTTTGTAATTACTTATTATTTTAAAGAATTTACCATTTACAAAAGTAAACTACACATTTAGCATATAAACTATTTATTATTAATAAACAAATAAATAAGGCGTTTAAAAGCCTTGTCCGTATGTATTGTTCCACTTGACATACTGTCCAAGATCATCCTGCGATACACTGGGACGGACACGCTGTAGGGCATTCTTAAAATCTTGAACACTTACTGGACGGACCTAGAAAAACTCATATTTTTAAATATGTACCGCCAACTTAGATATAATGTGTATTCCTTATAGTTTTACCTTATCTCTATCTATGTTGATAATCTGTGAGAAAGGAACAGATCTAATGGGTCCCATAGCTGCCTCGGAGCAAAGCGACTTCATATCCGCTCCGGAGTATCCGTCAGTAAGCACTGCGATCTCCGCCATATCCTGACGCGTCAGGTCATTGTTTTCGGTATTCAGAAGATTGGTTATAATCTGCTCACGTGCCTGGAATAAATAGGTTACGTTAGGTAGCTACGTGCTTATGGTCAATTTGGCCATAAGGAAAAATGGCTATCAAACTAATGATTAGTTGACGCTCGGGCTATAATCCGAGATCTCTGAAAGCTCTAAAACAGGCATTGATTTAACTAACATTTGCATCAGGCAAGGGTATGTAGAGTCGTTTAACTAGACGACGTCGCGCCGCCTCGTCGAGTTCCTGAGGGCGATTGGTAGCACCTACTACGAGCAGACGGTCTTCTTCACCTGCAATGACCAATGACACATTAAAAACAAAACCGAGATATATAGGTAACAATTAGTTGCTTGTTTTATAATACATGCCAGTGGCAGCTCCATCGAACTGCACGAGAAACTCAGTCTTGATCCTTCTAGTGGCCTCGTGCTCACTATCGCACCGTTGAGTCAGCAGCGAGTCAATCTCGTCTATGAATATCACCTGTCATTAATTAATTTTATTAAAATACTGGACTTTTTAGTATCCATACAGTATTCGGAGTCTAATCAGTTCCAAATAAAAACTTATACGAAAAAATCGTCTCTATATCATTTGTAGTATTTTTTTTTTGAAATGTGTTAACATTTGCTGATAAAAAAATGGAGGTAGATCTTTAGTACTTACTGCTGGCTGATGGCAAGCAGCAACAGCGAAGAGTGCACGCACCATCTTCTCGCCGTCACCGAGCCATTTGGAGGTCAGCGAGGAAGCTGAGATACTGAAGAAAGTAGCATGGCACTGTGCTGCTATGCATTTGCCTCAAAAACACAAAAGATATTGCTTAAACATGTATTACAATTTCATTACGTAACTAGCTGTTAGAAATGATCACATAAATCAATACAAGTGTCGTATTTACAGGTTAAAGTATGAAATTATTATACCTATAAGAGTCTTTCCAGTGCCCGGAGGTCCAAACAACAGGATGCCTTTAGGTGGACGTCGCAGGCCAGTGAATATGTCCGGGCGCAGCAGTGGCCATACTACCGCCTCTTGGATAACAGATTTCGCCAACTCGAGACCAGCTATGTCCTCCCATGCTAAAATATAACAGAAACAAGTTAATTTTGTGTTAAAAAATAAGAAAAAAAAAAGTTTAATTGTTAAAAATTTTAGACAAGCACCTATATCTTATACTGCTAAAAATACTATGTTTTTTCAAAATGTTTACGAACCACTTACCAACTGGAGTTCCCTTGTCAATGATTTCACTTTCAATCAATTCAACCATTTTGCTATCAATGTGTTTGAGTCTGTCATCATTTACTACTGTTTCATTCTTCTCTTGTTTCTCTCTGAAAATAATAACATTGATATTGCTACATGTGAAATCTGTCAATATACATTTATTACAAAGACAATAAAACATGAGTTAGGGCAATAAAAAAATCTTAGTTATAAATAAAACTGCTAGCTAATAAACTAGGCAAAGAGGGACAGTAAAATATATATTTTTTTTTATTTCAAAGGTAATGTTTATTAGCTTCTTAGGGTTTCCAGCTGAGCCAAAGTCCTTCAGTTTCTGGTTACGCCCTTGTCAATATAGCTTGAGTTGAGTTGATTATGTAGTTCAGTGTACTTACTGAGCACCTATCATTGGTGAAACAAATTTGCCCTGAGTCTTCCTGGATACACCAAGTACTCTTTTAGCGTTAGGATTTGAAGCAAGAAATGTTTCTCTAGCTGTCTTGAAAGTTATTTTAGCAATGTTACTTTTATGAGCTTTATTTTCTTCTTCTTCTCTGTCTAAATTACTTTGAGGACAGACGTTTTCATTTGTACCATATTCCCAATTCGTTTTTGTGTTAATATCAGTCTTTAAATCTACTGTATTGTTTATAAAAGTATTGTAATATGAATGACTGGGTTTGCTGGCTGGTTTTGGTAAATTTGGTTTCATATTTTTTTGTTTATTGCTATTGCTTTTCTGTATTTTGTTTTGTTCATTTGTAGATCTACTTGTTACTTCTGGTTTACTGTTGCTTTGAGTATCTTCAAGTGAACATGTATCACATTTGCATACATTTGTGACAAATTTGTTGAAACCAATGTAGTTTTGTGATGTGGAGCATTTCTTGCATTGAGTCATCTTAACTGGGTCTGTAAATTTGCTGGAAAATAAATAAAAACCCGCTTATTATAGTACAGTATTAAAGATAACACAACATTTTTTCAACAAACAAATTTCACAACAAATTATAAATATTGAAACATAATTTTTTACCTTAGTGAGCTTCTCCATGTTTTAATATTTTGTGCTACAGGAAATTGTATAAGACTTTGAGCATTATTTAGAATTTTATTCACTCTTTCATTACTAAAAGAATCTTGTTTTGTTTCCCAAACTGAATCAAGAATGATTTTAGATGATAGATTTGAAGAACTGAAATATTATAATAAATAAAGACAGATTGTTATAATTCATTGAAAAATTCTAAAATATAATGAACAATTACTTTTGTAAGGATTGTTGATAAACTTGCAGTCGCTTGTTAAAACTATTGTCATCAAATTTATCGCTCTTCTCTTCGGGTATGAATTTTGAATCATCATCTCCCTGATAATTATACATTTTTAGCTTATAATAACATATAGTACTATCAGTTAGGATACACAGTTTTATTTTTTTTTTAATAAAAATCAACTTTTCCCGGGTTAAGCAAATCTAACGTCATTTGTCAATGTCAGATGATAAGAAAGTTTGATAACAAAAGCTTCCACTTGTTTTCACGCAAAATATTTCACACAAATACTTGATTGAAGGGAGGAAAAAATAAGTTTGATACAACCATGGCAAATACAATTCACAAACGCCCAATTATCATCTGAAGTTTAAATTGCCTATTTTCGAGTATCGATTCCTTTAATCTCAGTGCTAAATCACGATCAAATGTAAGTGATATAATCTGTGCTGCGCCCAAAAAGAATATGTCAAAGGGTAAATGTCAATTCCTTAAAATTGTCAAGTATAAGATTTAATACACAAAATTAATTTTATTGCATTGAATTAAACTAATGCCTCATATTAACGTATAAAATAGTCTGTATACAATTATATCGTGTAGTGATTTAAAATGTGTTTTTATGTTAAAATAACGTGCTAAGAATAAAATAGAAGAAATGAATTCTAAAACGCCGATTTATCACGAAAAACAGGTTAAAGAGCTATGCGCCTTGCATGCGCTTAATAATTTGTTTCAGGTGGGTTTGTTTGATACTTTAATTATGATTTTATACACTTTATTAGACAGTGGGATGTGAAATCGTTAAACATATATAAGTATAAATGGTTTGTTTACATTTCGATAAGTTTGTAGCTGACGAATCTTTTCATTTACTTTAAGCACTTCGTAATTTAATATCTTATTTATAGATACACTATACACGATTTTTCTAAATTCATATTTTTTCAGTAATAGAATCTAATGAGAAATGTATTACTGTACCACTATAGAAATTTCATGTCAAGTAATTTGATTAAAAATATATTTGTTTTGAGCTTTATATACTCACAAAATTATTTTATAATATTAGTAATATAGTAATTTTGCTTCATGGGTATTAATAGACTCAACTGTTAATTATTTTTGTTTAGATGAGAAACACATTTTCCAAGTCAGAATTAGATTCAATATGCAGCAGACTATCACCAAATGTTTGGATCAACCCGCACAGATCAATGTTGGGTCTGGGAAATTACGATATAAATGTTATAATGGCTGCATTACAAAAGAAAGGTTGTGAAGCTGTTTGGTTTGACAAAAGAAAGTAAGTTATACTAATTTCCTGATGTATATTAATCATAAGGTGGCAAATAAGCAAGCAGCCACCTGCATTTGCCAAAATGGCAGAGCAACCGCTGCCCATAGACAGTTGCAATAGTGGATGCATTACCTATCCTTAATTGGCAGAGGTGAAAACACACATAATGAGGCTTTACAACCTTCTTATGCCTCTCTTCCAACATCAAGTCCGCATACCATTCCCATCCCTTTCTTATAAGAAAAAGGGTGGAGAGGTAAAAGGACTAAAGTTGGGCCTCACCTGTTTGTGACAGCAGGCTGGTGAATTTTCATTAATATTTTTCTTTTTTTAAATAATTATTTGTTACAGCAAATTGTATCCATATTTACCACAATTTATAGACCTACAGATTCAATATGAGAGTTTTATTTAGTACTATAATTTATTTAACTTAATGCTTCACAGAGATCCCGGATGCCTGGATTTGTCGAATATTTGTGGGTTCATATTGAATGTGCCATCGGACTACAAGCTGGGGTTTGTGATGCTGCCTCTCCGTCGACGTCACTGGATCACAATCAGACAGATCCAGGGCAACTTCTATAATCTTGATTCTAAACTTGATACACCAACACTTATTGGAAGGGTATGTATCTTCACTTAAATAACTATGTTTATAGCAATGATATTTTACTTAATTTTATAAATACGAGAGTTTAGATATTTGTTACAAGTAATTGCAGGTGTGGCTTAACATTTGCGTATATTAGTTCCACATAAACAGACACTGACAACAGATTACTGGTTTAAATTGGTTTTATTTACAAAATTGTTGTATTTGTAAAATATACTTCTTTACTTATACAATACTCGTAGAAGCTTAATGATTGGCTTAAGAACTAGTTGTATTATGATTACTAAAAGAAATGATTTGATGTAATATAATTTTCCAGAGCACAGATCTGATTGCATATTTAAAAGAACAATTGGAATGCAAAGAGAAGGAACTATTTGTAGTAGTAAGTAAAGAAGTGGAAGAGAAACAGCTCTGGATGCATCAGTATGTGTTGCCGGAACGCATCTTAGACTTCTCTCACAGCAATAGCATTCACGAGAACCATTGTGATGTGACACCTGACAGTATCACCTCAAATGACAGCAAAAGTCATGAAGTGGAATGTGTCAAACTTGCCGAAGTGACAAACTGTGTTGCCATAAAAGAAAATAATGTTTAAGTGGTATTATTTTTTAAATACAACAAATGTTTAGTGCTTATAAATCATATTTTAGTTGCACTGTTTGATAATTTAATTCACTGGTTTTACAATCAAATGCATTTCGATGAAAGGTGAAGTATTTATGTTTTATTGTTTGTTCTTAATGTGCATGTTTTAAATTTGATATAATTGGGACACTTTTTAAAATTAAAATTGTACCGTTTGCTAATTTGTGGCTGTTTTCTTACATGAATATATATACGACTAAGTGTGACTAAATAGGCGTGCATGTAATTTTAGCTTTTTATGTATAGATTTGAGGTTGGCTTTTGCCGTTGAGGAGTTTATTATTGTTTGTAAAGTATGTTTATGTTATTTAAAAAATAACTTGTGATAGAAATGCCACAATTTTTTTTTTACATTTAAAAATGTTGCTTTCGTTATAACAATATGAATAATTTCTACCTAAAATCAATATAAAGTAAAAAAATACAGATGAATTGATAACTTTGCAAAATAGTTAATACCTAATAAGTATTTTACCTATTGATATATTTATTTACTAATTATCTGTGTACTTAAAATCTACTATTTGATTTTTTCGAATTAATTTTTTTTGTATTTTGCTTAAGTTTTTTTTTATTGTAAAATCTTTCTAAACATGTATTATACTTGTAAATAACATAATAAAAAAAATGTTCTTGTAATTAATCCGTGTGTTTTCAAAGAGGGTAGAATCTATTTCTCGCTTATGTAAAACTTTCGGAATTATTTTTCGAATAAATTTGTGTCAAATGATAGTGTATGTGTAAACTTGTGGTCTAAATTAGAATTTAATTTGTTACTTTCTATTTCTCTTAGTTGTCGATATTTCAGTCAAAGATTTTTTTTGCCAGAAGTTGGCGACTTCGCAAATAACGCACTGTGCGAGCGAGATAAAGGTATACGCAAGAGCGAGAACGACCGAACATTTCTTAACAGATATGACGTTTTGCGAGAATAATTTAAAACAATTTTTTTTACTTCTTTGTGTAATTTAAAAAGATTTTTTATTATCTGTGCCTCTAATAGTATTATTATAAAGGTGTTGGTAAGTTTTATTAATCTAAGTTTTAAATTATAATTTCCGTTTTTTTTCATTATAATAGTTTATTTAAATGTAGAAATACAGATACATTATATACATTTACTCATGTTTTTTGTATGGTGCTTTTTATATAGGTATATGTTTTAATACTAAACCAAATATTGCAACCAAACCCATAAATACCTCAGTACATAGGAAGATATTTTTGAAGCCACACAGAAAAATTTGATATTGAATAACATAAAGCATATAATATGCAGTTACTCTGGCTTGTATAAGAAATAATTTAAATCATGCTCAATTAATTGTTTGTAAAAGTTTAGCACTTGCTTTTTTATAGTTTTTTTTTTTGCGTCAGTGTTAATAATATAATCAAACTCTCTTGTGTACTCTATAGATTTTGTCGATATTTATACAAAAATATCTCTTATTCGTGTAAAGTAATTTTAAATTTTATAATCGATTATATAAAAAGTAATCTATATAAAATAGTCTATACATTGTATGTTGTAATTCGATAAAATCTTGTGTTCAATATAACGGTATTAGGAAGTTCTTAGGACGGTTAGGCTCTTTACATACGTTTTCTTTGCTTTAATGTACCATTTTCACTGCAACTGTGACTATCAAAATAATCGTAATTAAGCGGTTAGAGGACTAGTGGAAAAGGAGTTTTTAAAGCACGCAGTTGTATACAGCCTAACCAAGAACATGTATATTCTGGCCTGGGTAGATTGTAATTACCTTCAAAATGTTTTTTCTGATAGAGGTTTTTTATGATCCTGGTCAGGCCATAAATGTTAAATTGTCTACCCTTTTGTATTGAAACTAAAACGTGCAGCTAAATTTTTGGTGCAACTATTATTTTTTTACGTAATCCAATTATGTATTAATGATGTATATAATAATATATTTTTTAAAGGAGTTGTGTAAATGTTTATTATGTGTTTCTAAGTCTAGCGTTTATTTTTTGTGACGAAATTATATTATCAAACTTTTTTTATTCGTTTAGTTAATCTGTATAATTCTTGTAAATAAACAATACTATTTTTTCAAAAAAATAGCAAGTGTGGTGTATAAATTGTTTTATTTTATTTTCCTTGAAATTGTTACTGTTAAAGATACTAGATGTAATCGAGTTGTCAAATGTTTGTTTTTGTTTAATAGAGTTATGTTAAAATGACGGCCAAAGATGCAAATCAAAATGTAGTTCAGTCTGTTACTATTGCTGTTATTTTAAACTTCTTTTGTTTGCTCTATCGTGAGCTTGTTTGGCGAACAGCATCTCCCGTAAACTACAGATATAACGACCTTAGCTCTCTAGGACATTTATCTAAATATCAATACAGTCAGTCTTAACTTAAACGAGAAATTGTTAAGATTGAATGTGGATGTCTATAAAGGTGCAGCTAGACTGAAGAAAGTAAAGATGGATTGTGTGATAGAGAATATAAGAAGGGAGTGCATATGAAAAAAAAATATATGCAGCTGATAGAGACGTGTGGAAGAGCAGCAGATACTGTAACGACCCTCTGTAAAGACATGAGCAGGTTGATGATGAGGTCAATAATTGATCATAAGTGAAAAACTATTTTTCAGTCTCATATTGTTGTGGTTTTATTTTTATCGTAATCAGGACAATCATTATTTTTGGAAAGGATGAGTCTGTCGGCGTCCATTTCGAAGTTGTTCAGCAAGCTGTAGATGTACGCCCGCAGTTGCGCGTTGATCTCGCGCTCGCGGCCCAGCACCCACATGCGGTCTGCGGACAGTTCAAAACACAAGTCTCTTAGACAAACCACGGAGGCTGTTTTTAAATCTAGAATAGAATAGAATAAGAATATCTTTATTGCACACTAAGGATAATTATAGTCAGTGTTGCCTTGACGACTTAACTAGGATTCATACGAGTTATAAATTTTGTATAATAGTTGACGTAAGAATTTAAGGCACAGCAGGTATTTACACAACCAGCAACTGGCATTAAGCCTTTATACCTCAATTGAGCTGTGCCAATATGATTATTCTTTCCAATCTAACCAGTATGTGCGACGCTCAGTCCGGTGCAGGACCAGATCAGCGCGAAGTGGTCGTAGTCTGTGGCGAGGATGCTGTACTGTCCGGCGCCCGGCAGCAGTCGTCCGATGACGTACGGCAGCCGGTTGTTCACGCGGTACCGGAACGACGACGCTCCTTCGTGGTTCATCACACCCAGGCCGCGTGTCATGCAGTGCGTGCCCGTCCTTAACAAATGTTATATTTCGTACACATCATGTGATATGAGTGGAAGACTTACGGCTAAGAACGAAGGTGAATGTAGGAAGACCAAAGCACCTAAGGACATCTAAGGACTTAATATATGTGACTCACCATCTGTTTCTGGTGTGTATAATGATATCGAGCTGCCTACGGTCGTTGAGTGTCACCCTCAGCTCTGTGCAGCTCGACGACATCTCCATCAGATAGAACGACCGCTCCACCTCGTACCACTTGCCCACCATCTGATAACATACTTATTAATAATAGTAGAGTTCAGGTCTTACTAATTTTCGCAACTACGTCTTGCAAAACTGGATAAGGTTAGGTTTAAAGTACTTAGAATTTATGCGATTACGTATAAGAAGTTGTTAGGCTAAGTCCTTGATAATCAGAGTTCACGTGCTCTATTATAGTTGTTACTAATTGTTATAAGTAGTAAAAAAGTCGTTATCGATCTTATATGAATTTGGGTTTCAAGTAACTAATTGAGAATAGTGTGCGGTTTTGTTAAGTTCCATGGAAAACAAACAGTAATACTCAATACCAATAATATTATGCATATTTACGTGGAATGTATCAGCAATAAATGTAATGTATTGCTCCATCATGATTTATTTACTTTTTAATTGAGTTCCGAAGTGCATTGTTTAAATTATTCCGCGGCAACATTGTGCCCTAGCCTTTGGCCGGGACACTTGGCTTGACATTGGAAAGTGTTTTGTTTTTACCACGAAAGTTGTTATATAGTTGCATGGAAATTATACGATGATCATAATTTCATATTTATTGTGCGCGTAAACTCGTTCAATGGTTAACTATCCCGTGGAACGTCCTAGGGACTGTTAAAGTAACCTGTTGCATAGTAACTTAATGTAACTAAGGAAAAAATATTGTTTTTAACTGAAACAATCGTTTGTTATTGTTGTAAATTGAAATGTTAATTATATGTAAAGTTTAGCCGGGGCTGTTGCTAACAAGGTGAAGGTGACTATTCCTTTAGTTTCATCAAATCTAATACGTTTTTGGTTTTCCCTGAATAGGCATTTTTAACTCGTTCGTAACAATAGGTGTTTTAGATTCGGTGTATAATGAACGTTGATCAAAATCTTAAACGAAAGCACTTTTTTTGTTTGTGTACACAATAGAAACACACTGCAGGTTGTTGATGTTGGTTTCGAGTTTACAATCAAAACTGTAATAGAGTAAGAGTTTATACCGACATTCAGTTTCTAGCTTTTTTATCGCCCAGAGAACCATCATATTATAAAATATTGGGTTAAAAATTCTGCGTATAAAACCTCAGCAACTGATTTTAATGTTCTTTTTTAAGCGTTATTAGGTATTAATTTTATACTTTAATAAATAAATTATTAAACTTCTTACAACACACTTTAAAATGTATTCAATTTGATTATTATTTGATGAAGACGCAAGCGGCCGGATATTTTGTGATCTAACTGTCAACATCCGCAACAATCAAGAGTACATTGTTGCTATTCTACGTAGGATAGAAAGAGAAGTAGCGTAATACCGAGGAAACTACTACTAGACATAAGTAGACTGATTAATACCTCCTATCCCCAAATGATTACAGAACTCTATTTAAATTAGCATATTATTCAAACAACTCATACCTTATCGAGATCAAACTCCTGGAGCTGTCCGAAAATGGGGCATTGTCCGAGTCCCGTGGGTAGGACATGCCTAACAACACTAGCTAGGAGGAGGAGGTACAGGGTGGCTTCGCACGTGCGGAAGTCCCCCATGTCTGTGAGGTATGTGCAGGAGGAGGTGAACGATACGGACGGTGTTTTGTAAACAGCCGGCAGCGCTGCACTGGTCTGCGGTCGCTGCGCGCACGCACTGGCTCACAACAACGCCTCGATTCATTATACACCGCACTACAAAGGTAGTTTTATACGTAACGATATATTTATAAAACTTTTACACTTTGTTCGTAATTACATTGTAAAGGGCACTTTACAATTAAGAAACTAGATATAAAGGATTGATAAGCAAATCGTTCAGTTTATTGAAGATTCTGACTTCAGCAGCTGTCGGAGTTAAATGATCATTTAATATTAGTAAATTAATACATCGTTGAGTCGAACTTTTTGACCGTATTTTTGTTATTGTTTATTTACCCGGTTAGAAGCTGAGGTCTATGGATTACAACACATATTAAACTGTAACCTGCAATCTATACAGACCCTCCGCACCCTTTAGAGAAGAACAAAGGCGTTGCTGACGATCTTGGCTAGATCTAGGGTGGCAGCTACAACTAACATGGTCTAATTTAAAATATTTTTTATATCTATTTTACATTTCTCGATTCTCTAGGCGGGAGGAAGCTGAGCCCCCTCTTGGCAATGCTTATAAAGTAGACCATTTACAGTTCTCGTAGTCGTTCAGCTACCGTGCCGGTACCGCAGCGTATAAACAATCGGTTTTAAGCGTTTAAAAATTAACATAGAATTGTTTTAAATACATTTATGACGTGTGACCGTACTAAACAATACACGCAGTACAATACCAGGTGTAGCGCAATCCGCTGGAAATCTGAAAATGGTCTTCAATATTCAGAAAGGTCTAAGCCGAGTTTTAATACTACTGACTTTTTTTAAATTTTGTATGCGTGTATAGACTGCTAGTTTGAAATCTATCAATGGAAAGAATTGTAATAGATTTAAAATACATATGGGTCATGACCTTGTAAACTTTAAATATTGTTGTTTGGGAAATTTTCCGATATTGAATCGTACATTGAGACGCATAATTCAAAACATGTTTTTTTGTTTATAACGTGTACTTCTCAGCGGCCAATACTTCATTTCATAGGATAAAGGGGAAAAAACAATAAAACCCTCATAGTTGTGCTATTTACATTTAATAAATATTTACAACGCATTTTAAACTTAAAATTATCTTAAACAAAAATTGTAATTACACATTATTGAGGACCAAAAATGTCATATTTCTTTTTAATTGCAAAATATTTCTTTACTGGTAACAATATTCACATTTTATTAAGTCAGTGGAGATTTTAAATTTCAAAGCTAAGCTTCACTTGTATATTAAATTGCCGATTGCCCATAAAATTTACTTTGTTCGAATGTAGGCAACGGCGGATCCAGGGGGGTCATGACAACCCCGAGCGAGTTGGTTAAGAGCTTGACAAAATATATTTACATATTTTGGACCCCCCTGACATCGAAGCTGGATCCGCCCTTGACTGTAGGTAGAGGCCCTGTCCCTATCACCATTTAATATTAAGCGCTATATCATTTTTCTCAACGGCATGGTATGTGGTATGCAGCATATCTCTCGCTTTGTCCGAGCCCGCGCCGTGCATGCGCTCGTACAAGGCGCGTGCGAGGTGCGAGCGCGCGGGGCGGGCGCGGGGCAGCGCGCGGTACGCAGCCTCCAGTGAAGCGATCAACTCACGCCCACTCTCACCGTTATTAGGACGAACTTGCGCACCGCCGTTTAAACAACCTGACGGCGAACAACCCAGTTTGCTTTTACATACTTGTATATTCCTCTAGAACTTTCTATTTTTGTAAAAATGGATAACGCTGGACATGAATAGAGGAAATATCCTGTTTCTATGCATTCACTATTACTTACATATTAACCCTTTATTCTATAATATCAACACCTAATTTAAAAAAATAGCAATTTTCCACGATTATTAAAAAGAAAATTTGTTTTTTTGCTAAAAATACACATTTGCAATGCGGATGACGATTGGCAGTTAATTGGCTATTTTGGCCAACTACGGTGACCATTTGTTCGCTTGTCACATTACTGTATAAAAAATGTTTCGATCGAACATTTAAATTAAACAGAGGAATATTTCACACATTGCTTACATGAACATTCTACAAAGTAAATATTGGATTAGTTCGCGATAGTGACCTGTGTTTATTCACGAGTAATTTATTAAAAAAGTAATAAAAAATGCATCTCACCAGAGGGACATGCCATAACTTCTACGTAGTGGTATGGCGACTTGCCGCGTTTCAACTTCGTCACAAGATTCTGTATATTCCGGAAGCCGTTGGCCACCGCGAACCTCAGCACCACCTCACCTTCGCGCTCCAGCGTCAGCTCCTTGAAGTCAGGGTTCCTGGCACAAATTACAAACAAACATAAATAAATTACGTGCCGGCATTGTTCTGCATTGCGGTCACACAATGCATATTCAAACGCTTGCGAGAAAGTTCCCTTTACGTACTCGTATACTTAATAAAACACGATGCGTCACCGAGAATCGGAAATTATAAAATTTTGGTCCTATTCTCTTAGAAAAATCATTAAAACATATTTTACAGACGAATCGATGGTTAAAATCATTTTAACATTAGAAGCAAGCTGTAACTTGTAAACGCATTCTCACCTCAATTCCTTGTACACCATGGGCGGGTCTGTGATCCCGAACAATTGTTCAGCGGCGTGCAGGAACACGTGGTGCGCGAAGCCCCCGGAGCCCGAGCCGGCGTGTCCGCGCAGCGCCGGCGCCTCCGCCTCGCCGCCCCACACCGCTTCCAGCTCCGCCTCCGACACGTCGCACAAAGACTTGCCGCTGTTGCTCAGCATTTGTTCTAATTCAACTGCAAGAAAAAATAAATTCATCAGTTACGAATAAATATTAGGTCGCTTGATTGCACACTTACTGAATAATAAGTAATAAATTTAAAGATAAAGGCGGGAGTAACATTTTTGTATTTATTATTATATATAAATTAAATTTACTTATTTTCTAGCAAACACCCGGGGAAAGAGTGTATAAAGAAAAAAATGAGAACTCTATTGAGTTAAAAATATATTTTTTTTACTTGCGCGATGGTTACATCTTACAACCGGCCAGTGATTTTACAAAGCTTTTTTCATAAGAATATTTGACAAAAGAATAACTTACTGGCAGTAACAACACAGTCGACGTCGTGACAGGCGAGCAGTTCGCTATAGAAGTCCTCGCGGGAGGCCTCCAGCTTCTTATCGTAGCAGGGCATCAGCGTGACGTGGTAGAGCGCGGCGGGCGGCACCCCGCGCAGCCGCGACACCTCGCCCTTCACCAGCGCACCCATCATCTGCTGCGCAGACTTCGTGCTCGAGATGTACGGCAGGATGAAGTTGCCGTGCGTCTTCTCCGCGTAGCACACCCAGCCTGCGACACAACGCGCTAGCTGGCGACCGCGACATCGTTCGCGGGGATTACAAAACATACCTAAGTTCCAATTTCCATTCAAATCTGCTGTTGACTTACTAAACAATAAATCTTCCATATGTCCAAATTTTCATATTTATAACTTCAGTATGATAAGATATATGATCCTATGCAAATGTCTTCTAACCTTGCTATACATTCAATGTTTTTGACCGATTTCCCAAAAGAAGGAGGTACTCAATTTGTCTGTAAATTTTTTTTACTCAGACTGATTTTTATCACTTACCTGGACAAGAACTGGAGAGCATAGGCAGCTGTTTGGAGCTTGGATCGTTTTGGTGCTCATGGTAGCGTTGGAGGAACTCCTGCTGGGCCTCCAGAAGACAAAGGTCATCTGCTACAGTCATATCTAGAACTATGTCTACACCGATACTCTTGAAGTAACCTGTGGAGTGATTTATATTACCAAAAATCTAACAAATTTACTACAATAAATAGTACTTCAGAAATTAGTGTGAAAATTAACAATACTTTTTAAATAATGTTTCATTACAATACCTGCAAGTTTCTTAACAGCATTCTCAGCGCTGAGCTTGTATCGTGCAGCAAGCGACAGAACTGGTTGTGGGGACAGGGACACTACCACCAGGCTCACCTCATTGGTATTCCCTCTTGTGTCTGTGTACTTACGCTCTGTTAGCACTCTGCATGAAATATTTTTAATTGGATAAGCTTATTACTAAAAAAAAATCTAATATCTGAGTTTACTACATGAAATAGCATTAAAATAAATTGCCATTTTTAATTTAATCATCACTGTTTGTACTAATGTAATATATGTTAGACTAGCTGTTGCTCGCGACTTCGTTCGCGTAAAAAAGATATATAGCCTATGAACAGATAAATTACCTTTCTAATGGTGAAAAAATGTTTAAAAGTGGCCCATCAGTTTTTGAGTTATTTCAATACATTAAAAAATACAAATCTCTCCTGTCTATAATATTAGTATAGACATAGATAATAAAATAATTTACTACATTTGTCATGTTTCTATTACATTTGTTGTTACCTCAATAACTCCTCCTGACTCTGCCGAGTGACAAGCACACTCTCTGCGGAAGTGATACAGCCACTGCATGCGAGGCAGTCGGCCAATGTGATCTCAACCTTTTGTAATTTCTGTTCTTGGCCGTTTGATATATCGAAATATCCATCTTCGCCGATTTTGATTTTCGCGCCAGTTTTACTTTTCGTCTTTTCTATTTTCACTGGTTTAATACATTCCTGGAAAATAAATTGTACTTTTAAGCTTTTTATTCTTCATTGCTGCTTATATGCGTATATTCATAAACTTAAAAAAACATGAATATACATTTTAACAAAAACGCAACGTAATATGTTGTTTAAGACTTAAGAATTGCTAAATCATTGAGATGCCAAAGATATTATCAGATGTTATATTATTAATAAAGTACTAAATAGGAAACAAAACGAGGTTGTTTTACTAACCTGTGACGGAGTAATGAAATCGTCAAGGTCTGTTAATTGTAACGCACCACTGAACCGCGAAGCCATTTTGGTTTGTCCAGAGATTTTTAGGAATTGTCCAAAACAAATTACATGAATATAAAACTACATAAATACGGAATACTTTGTAGAAAATAATATAAACACTGTAAATTTTCAGCTGGTTTTGTCAAATCAACATGTCATTGTCAACTGTCACTATCAGCTGCCAACTGCTTCTACAGTAGGAAATTGGCAGCTATAGACATCCACTATGGAAGTTGTACTAAGTGCGACAGGAATGAGTTCTATCTGTACACCTTGCATTTTAAATTAAAAAAATAAAACTATATGATAAGGATGCAAGAGTCTTGTAGCATGCAAAATAAAATTCAAGCCGAGTGAGAGGGCCACAAGTGACCACTGTGTTCCTTTCTAACAAAGACATAAAGTTGCCAGATATCATTCCTTTCGTTGTTTGTAGAAGATTGGCCGATTGATGTAATGTAATGAAGTTAAAATGTTTACTTCTAAAATGTTTCAAAATATTAATAATAATTAATAACTTATATGTTTAAAAAAAAAACAATAATGCAATTTTGTTCTTTGCTACTTGTAAAACCTTGTTAACGCAAAAATTTTGCGATTGGCCTTTAAATTTTCTTTTATTTGTTTGAAATTTGGACACCTGCACTGACAACCCCACATATCATTCCGACTCGGACGTTAAAGGCAGAGTCTTTTTTGATTTCGTGGTATTTTTAAAGAATTCTAGTTAAAATGGGAAGAATTTGTGTCGTGGATGCTTGCCGAAACGAGTATTATGCTGATTGTGGGTTATATTTTCACAGATAATAGCTTTAAACATAATTTGTTGGCGAAGAATTACGGTGACCATGCATGACTAACCAATCCGAGTTTGCGGCATAAACTTCACAAGACTTTTATTTAGCAATGACTGATTTAGAATTAAGTGTTTTGTATTGTTTTTGGTAAATACAATAATGATAACAATAATATATTAAAGTCCATCTGAAGCAATAATATGCTGACGTTAGACAACAAAAACAAGAATTTTTAATAATTATTGTCCTGTAATCATATTTCAACATAGTCACCATCGCCAGAGAGGGATAAAAGGTACAGTTATTGAGGTCTCGCTCGGCTTCAATATTGGGACAAGAGCTCATGGATAATGATGGCGATGGAAATCGAAAAGGCGCGAAATTCAAATGTTTTGGAGGGAAACGATAGAGCTGTAGAGTAGCGTGTAGTTCGTTTTTAATATTTACGTACAAATTACATATTTTTATTGATTTGACAATTAAAGCAAGAATTATATCATTTTTAATTAACAAATCAGTACTCTATATATTGACAATGTAATGCAAAAGAACAGCGTAAACTCGAGAAAGATTTATTCTCAACCTTAACTCATAGAGTTTTGACGTTACTATTGCTTGGCTATACGAGACTCACATGATGAGAAAAATCAATCGTATCTTTCAGACCGCCTCTGTCGGTTTCCAAGGCGACGCATAAACAGTGGGGAGAGGAGACGTCACAGGTTTAGTCGCGCGTTGTCGTTGTTATTTTTCATTATTTGCGATTCGCGTTGAATGTTTGATAATTGATAATACTGTTGTCTTGTGGATTTTTTATGTACGATGGCTGAAGAAGGTGCAGTCGTAGCGGCGGCCGAGAAAATTATTCACACATATCCACTTGTGAGGGTAAATATACTAATATATTTTTATAAGTCAATAATTATTATGCAATTTTATTATTTAATTCCAGTAGGCGTAATTAGAAATGTAATTTTTATTCTTTTAATCGTTAGAAGCGCTTAATAAAAAGTGCGCTCTTTCTATTTCCACTTTCGCGATTGTATTGGAATATTTGTAAGAAGTGTATTAATTCATGTTTCCAAGATTTTCCCATAAATATACAATTAATTACAACGTGAAAGTGGTAGATAAGTAGTTATAGTGAAATAGTTTAGGTAAGTCAAGGTCCGAGGTCGTGAGACGAAGTTCCACTCTTGCGCATCACCGGCCACCGCTCACCGTGACATCTCCGATTACTTTTGCACGTGTATTTAATATATAAGTAGTGAATAGAAAATAAATGACTATTTTCTAACATATCTAATACTCTAGATGCTTATTAGTAATTTGGCTTTTACTAAAGATATTAACTATTATACAAATCGAACGCTAAAACCATATACTTATATAATTAGTGAGTTTGGCAAATTGCCCGTACTGAAAAAAAATAGTCTTAAATACTTTTTCCTGCAATGCGGCGGACGTGGAAGCCCGCGCTTGTTTTAACAGCTGGACAACTGGTAGAGAATTCCGGCGATAAGGCAGCCGTTACTCATCACCGTCAAAGATGCCCGCGCTAACAATATCCGAAGCTTTGAATAAATAATCAACTAATAACTAATGAGTAAACCATCAATCATGCATACAACCCGTTAATTATACCGAGAAATAACGTTGAACTCTAAAAATACCCATTTTTGGTATGATTCTATCGTTTGTTTCTAATTCTACAAGCAGCCGCGCGGTTGTTGTTTTGTGTAGCAGTCACAGCTTAAAGCCACGCCAGTGGTTAATTCTCGACTCCATACAAAAGACAATTACGCTAATTGGAAATTAGATCTGTTAAAGTGTGCATTAATAAAATGTGGGGTGTTACAGCATTCGGACATGTCGGAGGAGATGCGCACGGAGGCAGTGGAGCTGTCGGTGACGGCATGCGAAAAGTTCGCGCAGAATAATGAGCTGGCGGCGCGCATGGTCAAGGAGTCGATGGACAAGAAGTTCGGCCCCGCCTTCCACGTTGTCGTCGGCGAGAGTTACGGCTTCGAGATCACATACGAATGTACCACAATCTGCTACATATACTTCGGCGGCAACCAGGCTATTTGCATCTGGAAGTGTTCATAATTAGTAATGTTGTGATTAACAAAGTTTTGAGAACTATACAGAAGAGATGCGACGCGGCTGAGACGCCTTCACAGTATAGCATCTTCATTACAGTTTAGAATATAACTGTTTTTTGTGATTCGTTATTACAAAAGTAAATTCATAAACATCCAACGCTACTGCGTTACTTTGAACAACATTAAGATAGTTGTGTGAAAAGTGTAGTCTGTTTATAATTATTTTTATGGTTAATAGAGTGGAAGTCTTTTGATGTCTACGATATTTGTGCGATGGATTGTTACGGACTACTAGATCACATTCGTTTCTATACCAACATAGTAGACATAGATATGTATAGTTAGAGTTTGCCCTTGTCTGACCTATCAAAAGGGTCTCTCCCCGCTGAAATCGATTTCGAGGGAACACTTTGGGGAGGGTTTACTATCGCCTAAAATAAAGATTTTATTTGAAATTGCTTAATAACTCGCATTTGTAATGTATCGTTCCCAATCAAAGGTAAAGGCCGTCCATCTTTTATAAAGAAATGAAATATAAACAAAAATCATGTTTGAAACATTCTTTTTAAGTTTTTGCATATTTTTACTATGGACGTCTAATGTGGACGCGACCTATCGGAACTTGCTTAGGCCGTGACCACACTTCGTGTGTTTCTAAGACATACCGCAATGAATGTGTGGTAAAATATATGTTATGCCAAATTATCATTGTCTCATACGTTTGACCTTCAGCTGGAGAATAAATGCCGTTGCTGTGTCGTTTGAAATTACATTGTCTCGTATTTCTTTGATTTTTAGTGACAGCCGTTTTGTGGTGACCATTACAGTTTGGCTTCAAGGTTGATGTTTTAAAATGTAGTGTAATTTACAAAATTATCTTTTGTAAATCTGAAAAGTCCATGAATAAATTTTAAGAGATGTTTTAAACAATTATTTAATAAATTTTTATTAACTTATACTAGTGTATTATTTTATTGTACTCCTCCAATTGCTCATTAAGTTTTAATTTGAAAGTCTATACAATAAGTTAATACTTCAGATGATTAAGGATAATAAAACAATTTTTGATGTCAAAATTAATAATAAAATTTATTTATTTGAAACATTAAAAATTAAAACAAATTCCATACGAATAGTTTTACATTTCTGGTCAAAAATGATCTTATTTTACGTATTCTTTGTGTAATAATTTATTGCTTGTAATGTTTAAGGTTTACATTTATAAATACATAAGTTTTCAGTGCTAAATTCACTTTTTTCCAATCAACAATTCTTACTAAACTTTATAATGATTTTAATGACGTGATTTAAAAAAATATTTTGAACGGACGCTTTTCGGTTCATACGGCAAGGGTTCTCTTATCACTAGATGAAGGAAATAATAGCGATTATCGCTTTTGCCGCCAACGCATTTTTACGCTGCGTTAAAAAACGCCCGTTTGTAAAAGGTAGTTGAAAATTCAAAGTAATAAGTTTGGTGCCTGTTTGTTTTACGTATATGCCCTAAAACGTAACACCAACATTTAAACTACGGTATTACGCATACATTGGCACATAATTGTGATCAATTTCTTATATAATTCACATTTTTTAATACATTCGTTAGAAGCGTTTAATTCAATTAGTTCTGCAAACTGAATTAGAGACGACATATAACTAAAAAAAATATGTTACCAGTACGACAAAACTTACAGTATCTTAAATTCCACGTTGCTAGCGCCCTCTAGTGATAAAATTGTTGTTTAGTGCAAATACAACCTCTTTGGCTGACAAGAATTATAAATACAGCCAAAGAGGTTGCATATTGGCCACCAAGACCTCTATTATTAAAAAGTGTACAAGATGTGACATGAGAAAAGAAAGAACGTAAAAAATGTAAGCTTTAATAAATTGTATATTTTGTGTAAATATAAATAAAGCTGATTAATAACGTTGGTACTAGTTTACATTTATTCATTTGTAACGCTAGAGGTAAAATATTTTTCACAATTATTTTTTCTAGTTTGAAATAAGCACCAAGAATGTAACGAAATCATGAAAAACCGTTAAAAAATAACACAAAAACTAAAACATGTTTCGATTTGCAGAACTAAATGCGTACACAATCACAACTATAAAATTCACATCGCAACAATTTTCTATACAAATATCTATCAACATACATAGATTATGAAACGCTCGTATAAAAATCTACACGACTTTGACAAGTCGATTACAACTCGCTTTTACACTAATTACACTAAATAACGTTTGAGGCACGAATACAAAGTCGACATGCGCCATAGCGCTATAACCGTAAATTTCCACTGCCGTCACACTTGTATTAACACATCGTACAGGGCGTATAGGCGATCGCCCAGGGCGCTGAGAGGGCGTTACTGGTCTGCAAATTACACAATAACACTTAACCATGATTACATACCTCCCATAGTAAAAAAAAGAGCATAAAATCCTCACCCAGGGCGATAGTAACACTAAAACTGGTACGGTCTCTATTTAGACAAAATCTACTAGAGAAAACAATATCAGTCTTAGAAATAAACGCGGTACATAGGAATAAACTTTACTTATACTGAGTTTATTTCTAAGTTTAAATTTATATCGCGTTTATTTGTAAGGCTGGTAGTATCAATGCAAGTGTAGCCGTGTAGAGACAATTTTACAAGCACCTATAACACTTGGCTTATTAACATAAAGCTAAGTTAACACAAATAAGGGAGAAGCCCGTACTTAACAAAACAGGAAGTCTCAACTCTGGATGATATTATGCAGAAAGGGTACCATTTGTAAAATATAATAATAGACATTTTAATAAGTAAAAAGGTAAATTAAGTTGTATTCAAAATAAAAGTTCAAGTTTGCACCATGGTATAAAACAACCATTGCTTTTATCTTTAAAAAATAATATTTTTTACCTATATTTTGCGTTTACTCACTCAACCATATACTCAATGGGTGTAAAGAGAAGAAAAATAAATACTTAGTTTATAAACAACCTCAGGTACACTTAAAATATAAAATTTATTCTAAAACTTTCTATGGAGAACTTTCTTGTAATCGAATCACCTACTGAAATACAAATAAAAATCGAGAAAAAGACTTTTTTTTACGTATGAAGTAGACAAAATTTTTTTAGTGATATTCCAGTTAGTTAATCAACATATTTTTCTTTAAGTAAAAACTGTATTCTCTAAACTCGGTTATAATTTCTTTGGTGACAAGAACACAATGGTATATGAAGTGCTTTGTGACAAAGAAAATAAAATTTATAGATTTTAATTAAATACAGATTTGGGATTTAATTATAGTTAAAAAATAAACAAGACATCATTGACAGATTCCCTTAAAATACCCTTTACATAAAGATATAAAAAACATCCATAACAAAATAATACTGCAATAAAATAATTATCAGAATACCTATTTTTTATGCATAGTGTACATTTCCTTCAAATATCTTGTTCTATAAGTGTACAATTCCTGTAAAAGTGTATCGAAACTTTGGTCTTGGGTAATCAATCTACAGTTCAAATTGTTATAAAAATCTTTAATATAACATAGTTTTAATATCAAATTTTAACAACAATAAAGACAAATTTATACGAAAAAAAAAATTTGCAACAGAGATTTGATGGAATAAAAACCTATTCAATTTACAAATATCCTTATAGGTTGTTTTAAAATATGATTATTGCATGTTATGTTAATCTTATGGAAGAACAGAGGAAGTAACATATTACAAAATACAGTAGTTTGTATATAAATGTTTCAGTAGAAGTTTTTACGCCTGAAACATTTGTATAAAAAAACATAAATATAACTGAGACATTTTAAATCCTAGATTAGGTCAAAAAATGCTATATTGTTACAACCAGTATACAACTTTGTACTGTGTTAAATATTTTATATTATATGGTGGTATCAGGAGCCTTACTGATGTCGCCAGAACAGCGTAACAACCACGCCGAATACATCAGCAATCAGATGTACAGAAAAGAGACTTTTCCCTTTCATAACTCCCCCACCAAATATATTTTCCCTTTCCATCGTTTCCTTATTACAAAATGAAAGAAGTCAAATAGGTTATTGAGCATTGAATACATAAGCAATGTCCATACATTGTGATATTATCTGGATAGTTCAGGGTTAGGCTAAGCCTCATATCATCTAATTGTAACATTTACAAGCTCATACAATTATCTTGTCAAATAAAAATTAGCTATTTCATACAATTCCATAGAAGACACTAAATGCAACCACATTTGCTATTTGTCAAAGTTCGTAAAACATTTGATCAAATGTTGGACAAACATTAGTAAGAAATCCGACCACTGGCATGAGTTACAATCTAAATTCTAAACTAAGTGCCACATATAAGTGACATTTAATTAATACTTAACATCATAATATATATTTTAACATGATATCAGCGAATAACATTGAACAGCACTTTTTGAACACATGCATATCATAAATTGTCCTAACAAATAACTATAGTCCATTTTACTTTTTCCCCTTTCGTTACCTCACTGTTTTGACCATCTTTCAAGATATAATCTGAACTATTATTAGAACTTATTGCAAAATACTTTCAAATAAATCTAACACTTACTTTGTAATCCAGATTGCTTGACTTCACAAATATCTTTAAATGGTGCAAATTCCTTTTCTGAAGTTTTCATTTCTTGCAGTCACAACTCTTATGTTAAACTGATGGTGTCTGGTGGAAATGGTCACTAACACTTGTAACACTGTTCACTGTGAGGTAACACTGTGCGGGGTGGCGGGGGCGGGGTGGTGCACATGCGCACTACATGGTGTGGTGCGAGCGCGCGGGGGTCGTGCGCTAGGAGGGGTGCGCGCGCGTGACGAGCAGCTTGGTGGCGCGCGCCAGCTCGTAGGCGGCGGCGCGCACGCGGTCCAGCGAGGCGGGCGCCGCGCACGCCGCCTGCACCTCCTCGCTCGCCACGCGCAGGCTGTACACCACTTCCTGCAGCGTGGGGTCCGAGCAGTTCTGCAAACAATATACATCTAACTAAGATGTTAGAATTTGTGGACTAAATTACTATACAGATCTCTATGATATTTGCATATATATAGAGGAGAGTCAGGAAAAACATATGGGCTAATTTCTTTTGTTTTTTTAAATTCCACCCGGAGGAAGTCGTAGGTGACAGCTATGAACATATAAACTAGCGGTCGCCCACCATTTTGTCATACATCTAAATCAAGTATATATAGTATATATAGTCTGGAAGAACACAAGTTTAGTGACTATCCTCTACGTCTATACTTAATTTCATCGAGATCTGTTCAGCAGTTTAGGCTACAAACTCTAAGAAATATCCATCCATCTAAACTTTCACATTTATAATATTAGTAAGATTGCTTTAAACATGAACTTGTTATAGTACCTGTGGGAATAGCGCTAGTAGCGCGCGCACAGCACGTCGTATATGTTGTGCGCGGTCCGCGAGGTGTGGCTGCTGCAGGCGCGCGGCGGCCCACAGCTCCTGTATCGCGCGCGTCACCGCCTCCGCGCGCCGCTGCACCGCCTCCTCGCCCCCTACACCGCCCTCGGACACGCCCCCCGACACACCCCCTACCACGCCCGCCACGCCCTCCTCGCCGTCCAGCGCACTCTGAGTCAGCGACCGCTCCAGACCAGGTAGACTAGTCAGCTAAATGAAACAAAATTTTTATACAAACCTATATTTTTTTTTGTTGAAATTACAATTTTTAATATTATCGTAGGTATAAAATAAGTATTTCTTATATATGTAACATGCATTAAACATAGCAATACTAATGCCAATTCTACATAAAAGCATATAAAATGCAAATAATTTTGTTAAGATTTTTTTATTTTTACATCTGTGTTATATTATATTTAAAAATACGGTTTTTGATCTATATAAAGTACTAGTTTAAAGTTATATTATTAAGCAAATTAAAATATACATAAAACTAAATAATTGTTATTATCTAACTACTAATTTGTTGAAAAAGATATTTTTAATATGAAAAGACGAAGAAATTTCAACTTTACAAACATTACTTCAAAAAAACTAAATATTAGTAAAATTATTATGAATTAGTACCTGATGTTTAGTAACCTGCCAGTTATTCTTTGGGCCCTCCCTAGCCTCATACATACTGACCGGTCGCATCTTCGCGCTCTGTCGCACCTCCACCTCCTCGCTCAACGTCAATTGGTCCGTCTCTAAGCTCCGCCCCCTTTCTGGAAACTTCTCACCGCTTTCACTGATTGAAGTCTGTGACGTCATACTCTGGTCGTCATCTATACTGTTCGTTTTCAACACACTATTCTCTTTAGTTAACTGTTCAACTATCGTTTGTAGGTTTTTTAATTGATTTTTTAATTCCGTGATTGTAGAATCTCTGTTATCGAGTTCTTTTTTTAGTGTTTCGATTTCGTGTTCCGGTGGATTATTCGTGATCGGTGATTGTGTTCGCTTCGAGTCTGTATCGTTGGGTAACGATGGGTTATAAGTTGATGATACCGCTTCCGCTGTTCTTGGTAGAACATTCGTCATCTGTAACTGTACATTTAAATAGAATTTTATTTCGCAGCACTTTCGAGAAATATTATTGTTACTGGTTAGACACAGATAGGATACAGAAAAAAATTGCAAATAACTAAATTCAAATACTTAAATGCCCTACACATTTGGTGAGTTTAAGTCACCATGGCAACCTTACTTCCTTATTGCTTGTGGTTTTTGTCTGTGTTCAACAAAAAAAGACTTATTCAAAAATATTCTACATAACTAAGTAGTGTAAGTTTACGCTTTATTTTAATAGTGCTAGTTTTCGCCCGCGACTCCGTCCGCGTGGAATTAAAAAACGCAAGAAGCCTATGTGTTGTTAGACTATAGACTAGATATAGAGGATTTATGTCAAATTTCATCATTTACTGTTTAGGCTATAAAATCTAACAAACGTCCATCCATCCATACATCCATCCATTTCGACATTTACAATATTAGTATGTATTACATCAAGGTCTATAGGTGTGAGCGCCGCGTAGTCGTCATCGGAAGCCACAGAGTCGTAGAGCGGCTCGTCGTCCGACATCTGAGACATGTGCTTCATGTGGCTCGCGGACAGCAGCGGGTTCAGGTGACCACCCGGTGCTAGGACATCAACAAATATATATTCTACTATGAAAATATGCAGTTGGTAATATTAAATAAAACGCTTTTAAAACACTGAATGCTGATTATAACTCTATCTATATTTTCTTGCCGCACTCAGATATACAGTGGTATATAAAATTGGCCATAAATGGATTTAGTTATTATTTAAGATTAAGCAATTATTTAAGTTACAAAATAGTTTAAGAAATAAATTAAGTAAACAGAGAACAAAAACAATAAAAAAGTAAATACAACAAATACTGTAATATGACGTATAAAAAATAATGAAAAATATAACCTATGTTACTCACAGATAAATTACCTTTGTAACGGTAAAGATTTTTTAAAATCGGCCGAGTAGTTTTTGAGTTATTCCAATGCATACAAAATGCTATTTTTTTTTCTCTTTATAATATTAGGGTAGATTAAATGAAAAAAAAAAACTAGAAATATCGATTCCATGCATACCTCTAGGCGTAAGTGTTGCCAGTCGTTGTCTTCTGGTAGCATCAAGCAGCACATCTCGGAGCAGCGCGGCCAGCTCGGGCGCTGAGAGTCGGGCCAGCTTCTGCCGACCCTGGTTGCGCGGCGCCGACAGCGCGGGGTTGACCGGCAGGAAGGCCACGCCGCAGCGCTCCAGACCGCACGCCTCGCTCTGCCAGACTGACACAAACAATCCAATTCATAACCAGCTGTCAAGTGGCGGGCCATATAAATTGACTAGCTGTTTCTCGCGACTTCGTCCGAGTGTTAAAAATTATTAAAAATGTCATCTACATATGTTACTCAGTGGTAGAGCCCGCTTTAACATCTTCGCACGAATGGGTCGGCTAGCCCTGTGTAATACCACGACCACACAGAAAACAGGCGTGAAGTGAATGCAATTCCGCGTTTCGTCTGATGAGTGTGGTGCCAGAGGCCCTACTTTAGTCCCTTTTCCTTCCCACCCTTTTACTTATACGAAAAGGATGGGAAGGGAACGTGGATTTGACGGTACACGGGACGCATAGGTGGGGGAAGTGCCAGTTGGATATAAGACTAATAAAACTGACTTGTAGAAATACTGTCTTGAAACTTCAATACTTACTCGCTTCAGTCTCTCTCCTATCAATTTCATCATAAATGTCCATCACCAATTCCTCAAATAGATGATTTGGTAACTGTAATATAAAACATTTCAAATGTTTATATCTTATTAAGAAAATATTGCTAAGGCTGTAAATTCTTTTATTTCTTTGGTAAATTTAGGTAGAAGTGATCACATGGTAGCTTCTTAAAACAAGTTTAGAAATCACTATAGTCATTTCCTTTTATTTATTTAAAGCCACTCAGCACATGTGCTGATCTGAAACAAGAATAGAAAAATAATTGCCAAAAATTAACTAAAGGGCATTGATATTGCGTTGGTCAGCACTAGTTATTTCACGAACACCGTCACGTCAATGCCAAAAAATATCCTACACTATAGCTTTTAGGCCATTTTCTATGTCCAGGTAAATTAGGACAACGGAAACCAATGTTTTCTCATCGGCCTATAATCGTTCCCCTATAAATACTCACGAGCTGCAGCTTGCCGCGCGCCGCTTTAGCGACGTCCGTCATCTCGTGCGTGTCGTGCGCGCGCGGCACCAGGTAGTGGCGGCCGGCGGCGTGCGCGGGCCGCTCCCCCGTCAGGAACACTATCATGCGGTCCGTCGCCTCGTACACCAGCTCCGTCACACGATCCGCCACCTCGGGGTGGCCACCTTGTCTGACACCAATATACAGACTATTCATTTGTCTACTAGCTTTGGCCCGTGACTCCATCCGCGTAGATTTAAGACAAATTCTTGTGTTGTGACAAATGTTCTTTCAGACTATGCTTAACATCTGGGTCAAATTTCAGCCATATCTGTTCAGCGGTTTAGGCTACAAACTCTCCCTAATATGCATCCATTAAACTAATTTTTTGCATTTATATTAGTCTGAAGTATGATTAAAACCAATTTTGTTACTAATATTATAAATATGTAACTTTAGATGGATATTTGTTACAATGTCCAGAACAGCTATAAAGATCACCATGAAATTTGGCTTAGAATATAGTCTAGAAGAGCACATAGGCTACAAAATACTTTTTTTTTATTCAACAATGGCTATATATCAAAAAAATTATGTGAATAACGAAAACAATGCTATTATTGTTCATGTTCATAAAAACAAAGATAAACTGTTTACTTAAGTGTGTCAATATTGTGAATGGTTAAACACAGACATCTATAGATATCCACTGATTTGTTTACGCATATCTTTTCATGAGTCAGAAACGAAGATATTGGTATGTAATCCTGGTAGTTTTACATTTTAACAGCTAATATATAGAGACAACATATAACACTTTAAAAGTACAGTTTAACAAACCTCGCACAGTCAGCCGGAGTATTTCCGGAGCTGTCTCTTGTATTGGGATCCGCTCCCCATGCTACAAGGAGCTCTGCTTGTGCCGGTTGACCCGCTCGACATGCTACATGAAGACATGCACTTCCCTTCTCCTGAAACAAACAAGTTTATTTGCAATTTAAAATGATAACTTAATAAGATACTTAATTCTTTACCCTAAAAAATATACTAATATAGGACAGCTACAAAAAATACAAATCAAATACAAGTTTAAAATAGATCCAAAACCAAAAAAAAACATGTTTGTTTTATTTCACATGCACTAACCTGATTATAATAATTGGGATCAGCACCTTGTGCAAGTAACCTCATAGCAGTGTCGAGGGAGGAGCTCCTGACTGCACTGTGGAGCTGCCGGCCCAACTCACTGGGCGGCTCATCTCTACGCGCTCTCAGAACATATGCCAACCGTAAATGCTTTGCAAGAATAAATTCTGATTTTATGGGGCTGAAAAATTATTACAATTTAATTATATAACTGAGTCAAATCATAGAGTAAATTATAATTATTTATTTATTATATTGATGTCTACACCAATTTGTTTATATACTCTAGTATCATAAATAATAAACACTATGAGTTTGTTTCAAATAACATCAAAATTATTTAAATGTTACGTTCATTATGTTTATGTATGTCTACCTAACTAAAACCTGAGTACTTGTGGTTAATAAGTAACAAGTTAGCAGAAAATTACTACTTTAAGTCAATTTAAACAAATAACATATAAGATAATTGTCTAAGATGCAGTTATCAGTGGTATTTGTTGCATTGATAATTCTGCAATCTTATCTTAACTGGAAATAACTCATGGGATAAACAACTATTGCTTTATAAACAAATATAGCGTAAAGATAAATTAAGGCTATAAGTAAATGTAACAAATATGGCAAGCCTTGAGCAAAATACATTAATCTTTGCAATGATACTTTCAATGTAATTATAGAACATTTATTATAGCTATTTTTAATCAAATACATGATTCATTTGTCAACAACAACCAAACTTATAACATTTATGTATTAAAATTCTAACTCACTGAAGTGGATCTTTAGGTTGAGGTTTTTTACGCAAATGTTTTGGTGCTGAAGTGTCCAATAACGAATGTTCCCATATACTATTCACATTTTGCGCTGTTAGTGACTGCACCATCTACAAAACAATGTGTATACAACCATCAGCACAATATCTAAGCGAACTGGCCATATATTAGAGAAGAATAAAGTTCATCTTCATACCGCTAGTAAGGAGGGTGGCCAGGAACCTTGTCGTAGCGATTTAACGTGAGAAATATGTCTCCCCATACTGCGATGTACACTACAGCACTCGGCGCAAAGTAACAACCCACGGTTGATCGATGCCCACGTAGGATCTAAAACCGCATAGTTAGGCGGCACCCACCAAATACGTTAGATAGTTAACATTGGATTAATTTATACCACTTAAAGAAATTACAACACCGCCTGACCTGATGCCCCGCAGTCCGAACAAACTTCAACTGTTGAGCGGTGTTTAGACCGCGATATCATTTTAATATTGGAATATTTGGAAGACTACAAGAAAAGAAACTGAACAAAACTTTGTTTAAATTAACTAGTTTTAAGATTAATAGTTTCGCTTTTGATATAAAAATAAAACATTTTAGGTAAATGTCAATCAAAATATGACATAGATTATAAAATTGTTTGAAGGCACTTGTTATATATAGATAACAAATTGTGATTTAATTAAAATGAAATTAACATTTTTTAAAACATTTTATTAAATACATTCAAATGTTTGCTATGTAAAGCAAAAATACGAACCACGTTACTCAAATAATATATAAAAAATTATAAACTCTAAAAATATCATAGCAGTACAAGTTGCAGTAAACCTGGCGAACCTGAGGGAAGAACAAACGATGCAAACGAGCGTTTTTTAAACGCCCAAAACTGAAATGACAAAATCTAATTCGAAACATATTTATCCGGTAACATTTTACTCCACATTTTTTCAAACTTTTAATTAACAAGCTTGACTCAGGAAAATTATCTCAAATTTTTAATTTAATATGAACTTGGGACTCATTAAAATAGAAAAGAGTTTTACTGGCTTTAGTGTGTTGCCTTTCGTTAATGTTTCAACATGAATGAATGAAATATTAAGGGAGGCAACACTTGTCAATAAGAAGAAAAAAAAGAACAGGACACGTCATATAAAGTGAATTAAATATTTTCAAAATGAAGTTTTCTCTAATTTTAGGGCTAGCTATTTGTGTAACCATAGCAAAAGCTGACCAAGAAACCTTGGTTTTGGTTGATAACCTTAATATAAGAGAGACGCACTCACAATTCTTCAAATCATTGCAAGGTAAAATTTTCATGGGTTATGCAAAATGCCGGCTATCTACAATTTTTAATAATTCAACTTTACTCTATCAAGAATGGTATAAAGCGTTTTCCACGGTACAAAACATCGAATAACAGTGGTAGTTTTATTTTTCAGATCGTGGTTACACTCTCACATTCAAGTTGGCCGACGACGGCAATCTTCTCCTTTCCAAGTATGGCGAATATTTGTACAAAAATCTGATAATATTCTCACCTTCTGTGGTGGAATTCGGAGGTCAAATCGACACAGAAGCTATCACAAAATTCATAGATGATGGTGGCAATGTTTTGGTGGCGGGCAACGCTGCTGCCGGCGACGTATACAGAGAAATTGCTACTGAATGTGGATTTGAGGTAGTCATATTTACTTTAACGGATGATGGAAATATAAAAATTAATCTTTTACTCACACTTCTGTTAATGTTAAAAAATCTACATTTTAGATGGATGAAGAATCTGCAGCAGTAATTGACCATTTCAACTATGACACATTAGATGATGGAGACCATACCAGAATAGTTGTGTCACCAAAGAATCTCATATCTGCATCCACTATTGTCGGAGAACACAACACTCAACCACTACTGTTTGAGGGAACAGGATTGATTCTGGACAAAGACAATAGCTTGGTGTTGCCAATTCTCACTGCTGATAGTACTGCTTACAGCTATAATCCAAAGAGTCAGGTAACAACACTAATTACTAAATAAAAAAAAACATGCAGACGAATTGAGTACCTCCTTCTTTTGAGAAGTCGGTCAACAAAAACCAAAAACTACTTCTATAATGTTAAAAATACATTTAACAATTGCCAAGATGTCTAAATATTTTACATAGACACTACAACACATAATAGTTTCATTGTACAGTTTGAAATAATATTGGATATACCATAAAACTTAACAAAAATGATTAAAAAAACACATCCAATGTTAGTTTATTTGTTTGTAATGTTACAAAATGTGAGTATCATATTATTTAACAGGTGAAGGAATATCCCCATGCAGTTGGACGGAAGACTGTTCTGATTGCAGCTCTACAGGCTAGGAATAATGCCCGAATTGTCTTTAGTGGGTCATTGTTCTTCTTCTCTGATGAAGCATTCAACTCTCCAGTGGCTAAAGTACATGTAAGTTATCGAAAAAGTCATAAAGAATTGGAAAACATTGTCATAATAATTGATTATGTAATAGTAATGAACTAAACTTAAATCTCAGCTTTGGACACTATATTTGTTGTCTTAACTGACATATTTATCAATTTCAACTGTGTTTTTATTCATGAACAATAGACCTTTTAACAGCTTAAGAAGTCTTAAGTGAGTATGTTTAATATCTAAATTCTTATCTTTGTATTTTAGGGTGATAAAGTGAAGTCCGATCTTTCTGGCAACAAGGCTCTTGCTGTACATCTCAGTGAGTGGGCATTCGGAGAACGAGGACGCCTCCGTGTTAGACGCGTACACCACAACAGAGAGGGTGAAACTGAGTCTTCTAATACATACACCATTACTGACACTGTTGTATGTAGTCATTTGTAATCTTTTCATTTAGTTAATGTTATTTTGCACAAGATGTTAAAGTTTGTTTTCCGATACTAATTGCAGGTTTATAGAATTGAAATTGAGGAACTGAAGAATGGTAAATGGCAGCCATTTGAAGCTAATGATGTTCAACTAGAGTTTGTCCGGATTGATCCATTCATCCGAACAACACTGAAGAAGAAACCAAATGGAGTTTATGAGGCTATCTTCAAGGTGCCGGATGTCTGGGGAGTGTACCAATTCAAAGTAGATTATGACAGAATTGGTTATACCCGACTTTACCATACTACACAGGTTTGTTCACAGTTTTTCAGCTATACCACAAACTAATACCATGACTCTGACTAAGGTTTATGATTTATTACTAATTCTAGTGTGTACTAGTAAATTATTTAAAAATATTTTGTTTCAGGTATCTGTGCGTCCACTGCAGCATACTCAATATGAGCGCTTCATTCCCAGTGCTTACCCATATTATGTCAGTGCATTTTCTATGATGGTGGGCGTGTTTCTATTTTCAATTGTGTTCCTTTACTACAAGGAGGATCCTCCTAAGACCAAGAGTGAATAAATAAGTTATTGTTGTAGTAACAAGATTTAGTATGATTGTTTTTTTTTTGTATTACAATGTCTGTGTAATGGTTACTTTGAATGTTTTCCGTAACTTTGTATGAATGTCAATAAATTTATTATAATCAAGTAGTTTTTTTTAAGTCTCTTCCCCATGTCAAACATTATCAATGTTTAAATTGATTTCTTGAATTCATGTGATTCATGAAATTGAGCTTCAGGAAGTTTAGAGAGCAACTAATTCAATTTCATTTTGTGGAATCTCAGGATCACTTCACTTTTCGTCTTGGTTATTACTTTTTTAATTAAAAACAAAACTATGCAAATATCCTAACTTTAAACAGTTTAATAGAAAGGTGATTAAATCTAAAGTTTTGGCGCATTTTGCTGAACGCAACCATAGTTATCGTAGTTGACAACAAAGTTGACAATTCAAAGTGCGTTCTTGAACGCAACGGTTTTAAATGGCAAGAAAAAAATGGCATGCATGTCATTTACTATAATTTTTAGAATAAATGCTTTATTTGTTGCTTTTAGATAAAAATATTGTTAATAATATAGTGAGAAATTGAATTTAGTGCCAATAGGTTATTTGTATTTAATATGAGTGTGATTTTATGATATCATTTAACCGATTCGTGTAGGCCGTGATTTAGTGGTCCGAATTATTTAATATTTGCAAATCGTCGATGTTTCTTGTGCTGTGATCAAGTTAGATAGATAAAAAGTGAACTCTTGACGAAGCCGGTGGTTACCCAAACACCGTGGTGAATGTGATAGTGATGTGTTTACATCTTTAAACTGTCTCCGTGAGTATGATGTCATTTACTGTGACTGCCATTAAAAATATGTTGGCTTTGTGCCCACCCGTTTTCCTACTAATCCTATATTTCAAATACTGTTTTGTGGAAACACGCGGGATAAGTGAAATAAACCGTATAGGTTATAGTATAACATTATTTATACACCATTCATAGTGACCCTGGTGTATGAAACATTTGTTTATTTGTACCATAATGTTTGTAAAAATTCCAAAAGTGATTAGACAATAGTAAAGGTAAAGTACGAAAATACTAATAATGCATTTGTTTATAAAAAATTTTAATTGAAATTAGTAGTACCAAGTTAAAAGTTTTGAAATATATGAAAGACCAATATTTAAAATAATCTTTTGTTTATCACTAGCAGCTTACAGCATAACAATGATAATAAACACATTAAGCATTACGCTTCAATGCACCACTTGCATGTTATGTACAATGAACAAATACAATGATAAAGTTTACCAGATCATTAACTTTGTACTTAAAAAATGTTAAACAATTCAAAGTGCACAAACAATGCTAGTTATTCTAAAACTTAGTACAAATTGTGGGGATAAGTATGAAAAACATTATCATTTTTTTGGCAAGACATTTAAAATTGACAGCAACCTGTATCATTATTTACAAAGACATATAATACTTGTTTAACCTTGAAAACAAAACATTTGCTCTTTAATTTCCAACATTTTATGAATAATAATGTGTGCAAATTTCCTTAATATGTATTTTAATCATGTTCCTATTTGTTATCCCTCCACTTGTTTAGATGATTCATAATAACTTCCAATATATCATGCACAATATATAATTTAAACTTCTATATAGTATATAATTAAGTGAATAAAGTGTTGAGAAAATAAGATTTATTCGATATTCAGGTGATTGTGTTGGGTAATTTAGGATTTTAAAAATAAAAAAAAGCTTACGCTGTCTGAGAGATACAAATATGGCAAATAAAATGGATGTTTGTTAGAGTTTGTAGTGCAAATGGCTTAATGGATCTAGATAAAATTTGGCATAGATGTAGAGCATAGTCTGGAACAACACATAGGCTTCTTGCTATTGTTTTCTTTACTTCCATGCAGACACACACAGAGTGGTGAGCAAAATCTAGTTATTTTTATGTTTGTAGTATTGAGCTGCATTATATGCCCAGTATAAGTATAGTAAATAATCTATATGAAGGACAAGACATACTGTGAGTGCAATGTATTGATTGCACTTATATGTCTGCATTCGCAACAGCTGGTATGCGGATGGATTACCTTTGTTGCACCTTATAAAGCACATTCAGTTTATATTTCCTTAAGACTGACGGACAAGTTAAGTGAAGCCATATAGAATATACTAGTCATTGTAAATGAATTAGTTACTTCCTAATACTGTAAAGATGTTTAAATCTATCATAATAATCTATTAATATTTTGAGAAGGATGAGAAAAAATGACTCTTTAATAATTCACACCTATTGTGAGTGGGTAAGAGAAATCTAAGAGAGCCTAGCTTGTATCCTTATTTTTACAAAATATGTGCATGAAATGGTCATAATTTTTGTCTAATTCCACCATATATCCATTACCTCAAGCAATTAAATTTAAATGTTGCATTATCCTTATTAGACTTATTTATAAATTTATTTCACACTGTTTAACATAAAAATGTTTATGTCATAGGAATTACTACTATTGACGTGACTGTAATTTTAGTCTAGTTTTATGAAAATAATCATTGTAAATTTTTTGTCATAGGCAGCGCAGTGACAATCGAGATGGATCCGTCGCGGAGGCAGCGCACGCAGACGAAGGCGACTGCGGAAGAGCAGGCGCTGGACCAGATTGCAAGAGAGGTCAGTGGATAGTATATCAATTACTTTGACTGTTCTATGCCCCTCTGTGTCAACTGTGACTTAATAACTACCTCTACATTGCCAGGTACCCTTATTTTATTTGTATCTTAAATTATTTATTGGAAATGCAAATTATGGTATCTTTGATTAAATACCTTGACTTAAATAAATTTATGTGGTAAGGACATCGCCTGCCAATGACCTAGGCTAGGTTTAATGAGCAGTTGTCATATATATGGAATTACAGAAATTGACTTTTATATCCATTTTACTTTTTTAATTTCCAAGGCTTGGGGTTTAACGTCGACGTCCACGTCATGAGGCGAATTATTAAAAAACAGATATAAAATGAAATCCAAAAATTCGATAAACTTCCTGTAATACCACGTAAAACAATAGCGATTGATAAATATGTTGTTTATACTCTATGACGGTTGATGAATTTATTCAAAAAACACGTATGCACAAATGATTGTTACCTGTAACTTTGAAAAGTGGACGCTAATGTGATGTGCAGCAATTACCAGCGGGCAATTAGAGCTCTAATGTACGCAGCTGTAGCTCGCAGTGCGCTATTTGTGTTAATTGTTACAACACACTGGCCGACAATGTCGTTTACAATCTTATCAACGCGATAAGATTGTACGATTCATTTGTTTTTCAAATTCCATACAATAATGCCTTTAAGCTATGAAATGTACACTATACATATATGTGGAAACCGAGAGCTTCTACTGTTGAAATTATTGGATACAATTGTTGTCTCTATTTTTATAACTATACGGACAACGGCGAATCCAGGTGGGGGGTCATGACCCCCCCCCCCCTGAGCTGGTTGGTCAAGAGCTTGAAAAAATATATTTACCTATTTTGTCAAGCTCTTGACTTGACGACTATGGGACCCCCACCTGGCGTCAAAGCTGGATCCGTCCTTGTATACGGTTGACAGTGGACACTCATGTTGTTAATGATGTGTACTTTTTCAATACGGACCTTAAGTTATAAAATGAACATTTTTAATGTTTAAAGCTGCAGGACACACCTGTCGCAGGAAGTCGCGAAAGCTTGGCTACAAATAGAAATTCCGCGATTTATACAGTAAAGCAAATCTATGCTACATACAGGCTGTTACGATACTATTTCTCCAACACTACTAAGTAATCGTGGTCTCTGCATTTTGAGCTATATAATAATCTATACTAATATTATAAAGATATAGATTTATATTTTTGGATTTTTGTATGTATTGAAATAACACATAAACTACTGGTTCAATTTCAAAAATTCTTTCACCAAAAACTACGTTATCAGTAACATACTTTTTTATTAATTTTTGAATTCAAGCTGGTGAAATCGCGCACAACAGCTAGTAGTAGTATAATAACAGGATTAAAATAACATTTTCAAATGAACTCTACTCTGTCATGATGATGTTCACAACCGAAGACGAAATCTTACATTCCGTTACGTAACTTCTTGATAATTATTTTTCACTTTCACTTCTGGACACATTTATAAATATAAAATTTTAATCTCTCCGACATCTTACGTTATACTGATATTAGTTATAGTTATTTGCGAAAAACTTTATTTTTCTAAAATGATACTTTTTAGTATTAAGCTATCCTCCCTTTTGATGTATTCGGATGAAGAAACTATAAACTTGAAACGTTTATGAGCCCCTGAATGTATGAAAGTTGACATAATTCTAAAATAAGATTTAGTTGAACTCACCGAGATGGAAGTCGTCTTTTAAGCAAAGTTAATTCCTATGCGTATAGCAATATAATCCAAATCCTTTACAAGTTTGTATATTTAGTATCAAATTTATGTCCTATAATCTCCTCTTTTCGAAAAAGATGTCTTCTATTTTTTGGTACTTTAAAAATAATTATGACCACAATTACCAAAACTCATTGTCAACTGAAAAAATAAACTTTCTCATATTGTAATAGGTGTTTCACAAATAGATTAGAACAACGAAACATTTACGACTTCGCTGCCGTATTAAAGATTCCTCTTACTCATAGCATTGTTTACGGATCAGAACGCGGGTGGTCGTTGGAAGTATCTAAACAGCTCTAATTCTTGAAGCATAACCCTTTTGAAGGAAAGATTATCAATTTAAATGTATAACTTTAGTTCTTCGTCAAATTAAAGGTTAAAAATTGAACTTGTGAAAGACGTTGAGATTTTGTATGTAATTTTAATTTTAATAAAATAAAACACTTGCCCAGCCCTAAAGTTTAACACAGAGTTTTTCTTTTATTTTCGAAGATTTTCGAACATGGACCCTATTGAAATATAGATGTTTTCATCTATGCCAGTCCAAATCGAAGTAACAAACCTTCACGTAAGGCTTCAACTTTGTTTCAACTTATTATCGCATATATTTATTAGGCTATTTTATTTCGGAACTACTATAATTGAAAACCAGTTGCTTATCAAAACACAAGAGT